GAAGAAGAAGAAGAAGAAGAAGAAGAAGAAGAAGAAGAAGAAGAAGAAGAAGAAGAAGAAGAAGAAGAAGAAGAAGAAGAGGAAGGGGAAGGGGAAGGGGAAGAGGAAGAGGAAGAGGAAGAGGAAGAGGAAGAGGAAGAGGGAGGAGGAAGAGCTGAGGTCCTCCGTGCTTGTGGCAAAGACCTAAACTGATATTGGAAATCATCCTTAGGAAGCAGTGTTTGAATGGAGGACTGAAGGATATGTAGGAGTTGACCAAATAAATAAAGAGGGTGAAAGAGCAACCCAGGTAGTAGGGAGGGTATGTGCAAAGCCCTTGGGGAAGAAAAGAGGGAAATAGTAACAGGAAGAGAAGACACCAGAAAGTGGCTGTATGGTGCAAGCGTGGAATGGGGCCAAACCAAGGGGTTCTGCCCCCGAAGCACTGGGAAGTTCTGATGTCAGCTGGTTCAAAGCTTGGGCTGTTGATGGAAAGTCACACAATAGGGCTGATCGGTGGATGTAGACTAGGTAAGAACTTGCTCTTTTTATCTCTGGGTAAAAAAAGACCCTACATGCCCTGGCCAGCCAAACACCCACTTCAGATCAGAAGTGGCTCATTTCATTTCAAAGGGATAGGGATGACACAGAAGATGGGGTGAGAGCCTTGAGTGTCTGAACCCGTAAACCTACACAGAGGAAGATGGTGCTTACCACTTAGCACATCACAATGTATCACTTAACAAGTGATAGGTATAGTGAGCCCTATCATGTCCTGGGCCCTGTGCTATATATACTGAAGCAGAGACAGAAGAGTAAAAGAGTAGGAATATTTTAGATAAGTGATCTGAGAAGGCCTCTCTAAGGATGGACTTCTGAGCAGAGGCCTAAAGAAAATAAAAGGGAGTGAGCCGGGGGGGGGGGCATTCCACACCTTGGAAATAGTACACGTGGAGGCCCTGAAGCCAGGCCATGCCTGACATACGGGAACTGAAAAGGGAGATGGTCTGGACTTCACGGGTCATTTTCAAGAGATCGGCTCTTATCTGAGGGTGAAGGGAAGTAGGGGAGTGATATCATCCACATTTTATTTTTTATTTTTTTTGTATTTATTTATTTTGTATTGAAGGATCTACAGGGTGTTCAGGGTCTCATTGCTAGATAGGACTTGTAGTGATCCACCTGTTTACAGCCTCCCAAGAGCTGGGATTACAGGTGCGCGCCACCACGCCCAGTCTCAATTGCCATCTCAGGGCGCCCCAGGGGGATGGGGCCAGCACAGCAGGCCTGGGGATCGAACCCCTGGCCCCTGTGCCTGCATGCAGGTACTTTAATCCACTGAACTATTCGGCCAGCCCTCAATCATTCACATTTTAAATGGATTCCTCAGGAATAACTTCTTGTGTCCTATAGCATAGTAGAGTAACTACAGTTAGCAACAGTGGATTGGGTTGCAGAGATAGCTCCACAGTGACATAAGGGCCTGCCTGACATGGGCCAGGCCCTGAGTTCAATCCCCAGTATCAGAAGAAGAGGAAGAAGAAGAATGCATTGTACATTTCAAGATAACTAAAAGAAAGAACTGTCAATGTTTTCACAGCAAAGATGGATATGCTAATTACCCTGATTTGATCATTACGTATTGTATGTGTGTTCTGAAAAATCTCATAGTATCCCAAATCTAGGTACAATCATTACGCATTGGTTAAAAATGTAAAGAAAGAAGATGCTTCTCCGTGAAATAATTGTGGAAATCGGTGCGTCTGTGTCTGTCCCCTGGTAGGTGCCATGGGCAAGGGGGCAGATATCGTCTGTCTTCTCTTTCCCTTGCATCCAGGAGTGTAATCCTAGTTGGAAGTACTTAGCCAATGAATATTGCTGAATGAATGATGAAGGGCTACTCTGCCCTGCCCTGTGGTGTACAACCCATGGGGATGACAACAGTCAACGCTCTGGGAGCCTTTACAGTATACCCAGTACTGCTCTGAGCATCTAATTAACCATGACCTGCTGCCAAGCCCATGTAGTAGAGGAAAAAGCAAACCCAGACACAGGGAGTGACTTGCCCAAGGTCACACAGCTAGAAATGGTAAAGACTGGGTGTGGATCACACCCTGGCCCCAAAGACGGACAAGCAGTCACTATGGTGGAGACTGTGGGGATCTGAAGGGGCCTAGGGGCTTCAGGAGACCACAAGACTCTGTCTTGAGGACAAGCTGGGGCCCAACAGCACCCCAGACACTTACCACATCAATGAGGCAGATGGTGGTCTCAACATCATTGGGCTGAGAGACCACGACCTCGGAGGTGGCAAACACCTTCACCAATGCCTTATCCTTCTGCAGCGTCACTGATGGCGGGTTGGGCACCTGGATCCTGATGGTGAGCGGGCGGGACTCAGGGTACTGCTGGAACACCTGCAGGTGGGCATGAGGCCAGGTGAGCAGGGCCCTTGGCAACAGGAAGTCAGAGTACTGCCAGCCAATCTCCAAACCCAGAGCCCAGGGCCTCCCTGAATAGCTTCAGAGCCAGTATTTCCAGAGTGCTATAAGCCATAGGCAAAGCCACTGGCCCGCTGTAGTACCAGGGAAGAGGATGCAACCCCCGAGCCATTTGCAGGGCTGCAGTAAGAATGAAATGTGACAGTACAGACAGAGCTCCAGGCTCAACCCTTTCCACAGGAATGCTCAGACCTGGCACTGAGCCAACTGGAGTCTCACAGGCTTCTGGCCCAGGACCAGAGTGACAGTCTTGACAACTCTTGAGATACTCTTTCTCCAAGCTACAGATGGAAGGCTCAGAGGAACATCTCAAACAAGATGTGCAAGGTTCCAGCACAAGTCTACACAACACAGAGCCCCAGCCCTTTGCCATCCTTCCTACAGTGAGAAAGCCCATGCTTCTGAGCGTCTTACTGCCATGTCCCCAAGCAAAGGCCAGGCCGCTCGTCCTGCCTGAATTTACCAGGTCTCCTGAGATCCACAGGGAAGAGAGTGGAGCCTGCCTGCTGCAGACTAAACACCAAAGCTAGTTAACAACACCAGATGACCACTTTGCCACATTTACTGATTTTTCATGTAATTGATTTTAAATTCTCATTGAATACATTGAACAAGTAGAAAGAAGCTTGTTTGGAAGGAACTTCACTATGGGCCATGCTGTAGCACCGGGCTTGGCCCTGAGACTTCATTTACGTTCCTGAATTTTTTGTACAACCTCGTGGCCAGTGTAAAACTTACAAATTCAGCCATTTCATCACTGCATGAATTTTTGTCAGATTGGCTTTCAACAAGTCAATCACTTGACAAACTGTCTTTTCCTGGGGTCATTTTCAGCACTGCCTGGGAGGCACCTGGTGTCCCAACCATCCGAAACCAGAGCAAGCAGTCTTGCTGTCTTCACAGAGACCCCTCAGCACCTTGAACTGTTGCCACAGCAATCACTATCACCGCCCCCGCCACACACACACATCCCAGAGCTGGTCAGGCCTCTCCAGGGGACCTCCCTGGCCTGGGTCCTAGGAAATGGTCTCTGTGTCTAGCCCCAACCCACTGAGGCTGACCTACAGTGGTGCCAAGGCCGGAGTCCCTGCTCTAGCCCAGCTTTGCCACTGCCTCTGGGCCTCTTTTACCCCATCTGTAAAATGAGGTCCTTGTCCCTCCTTGCCCTGTGAGAGGGGACTGTTAGAAACAAATGAAAGTGTGGACTCTAAGAAAACGTTATAAGCTGGGCTGGTGAGATGGCTCAGTGGTCTAAAGCACCTACTTAGAACAAGCTTAGCAAAGCACAGGGACCGCGGTTCAATCCCCCAGCACCACATGCCAGCCAGCCCTGTCCCCTGGTGGGCTGAGCTGGCCCCACACACACACACACACACACAAATAAATAAATAAAAATTTAAAAATAAATAAATATATTTTAAAAAAAAAAAAGAAAGAAAACGTTATAAGCTATAAAATGCAATATGTCCAGGATGTGATATAGGGGTCCCTCGACCTCCTGGAGCAGCCCCTGCTCAGCACGTAGAATCGTTGCCTGCCATTCTGCTCTCAGACACATGAGGGCGATAACAGCCACTTATTGGATTTCACTCCCTCCTTTTGAATTTGAAGCAGGAGACCAAAGGTGGAAAGAAGGCAGAAATGCCCACAACATCTCTGGCTGTGGCCACTCTGAGAATGCTTCCTGCCACAGAACCAGGGCTGGCAGCAGAAAGGCCTTTGCTCCATCTCTACGTGGCCGCTAACCAAGAAAGAGTGCACTTGTCCTTGTCTTTTTTAAAAATGTATTTGGTACAGGGTCTCACTATGCAGCTCAGACTCACAGTGATCCTCCTGTTTCCAGCCTCCCCAGCACTGGGGTTACAGGTCTTAGTCTTTTTTAAAAAAAAATTGTAATTATCAACAGTAACACAGTTTAGTTTGCCAAGCATCTGCTCTGCTCCGGACTCCAGACCCTAGACGCACAGCCACCCTGAAGAGAGTGCATGGTTGTCCCCATGTTCCAGATGAGAAATCAGAGGCTCAGTGATAGGGCCATTTGTATATGGTAATATGGCTGGGAGGTGCTGGATCTTATGCTGTCATCTCCAAAGGTCTAGTGGCACCCTTCGAAGGTCCCACACATCAGTGTGCCTGGCCCTGTGCTCTCTTCTTTTCCTGCACCCTCCCCTCCACTCTCCCAGGTCACCTGAGCCCGTGGGACTGTGTTAGCATGGTTTCCTTGACCAGTGAGGCCTCGGCCTTGGAGATGTTGGGGCTGGTGCCAAAGTCACACAGCGAAGGAGTAGCCTGGCCGTGCTTAGACCTGCGCAGTTCAGTCCACCTCCCTTCCTCCTTGGAGCCCTCCCACGTGGTGTCTGTTCTCCACACCTGTGTCACTGCGCTGGCTGGAAGCAGCGGGGAGCCACCACCCTAGTGCTGAGCATCTTCCCTTCCAGCCAGCTCAGGGGAGTGAGGCCAGAGACAATGGCGCTGCCCACCTTACCTACTCACCTTGGGAATCAGGGCCCCAAGCGTGGACGTGGTAAGCGGAGGAAGCTCATCAAACTGTGGGACAAGAACAAGGGCCATGTGAGTGCAGAGGTGCAGAGGACCAGCCATCAAACTTCCACCAGTAGGGAATCTTCTTTCCCTGAGTGGTCCTGGGGAGACTGCACCTCCCAGGGGCAGCCACAGTGTAGTCACAGAGCAGTGAGTGAAGGGGGTGCCAGCAGCTTAAGCTCACCACAGCCCTTACTGGAAGAACAAGCGGTCAGAGCTGGGTGCTTCTTCTCCACAATGTAATTCCTTGTTAAAGCAAGGTGCACATCCTCGAGTCCATTTGTACAAACCAGTGTCCACCAAACTCTTGGCTTCTGGCATGTCCCCAAGCCAATTGTACTGTTACTCACTTTGTGTTTTCTATAAATTGTCTCACTTGTTAAGAGACCATAACATCAATGCGATGTGGTGAAACATTCGCACTACCTGCTGCGTGGCTATCACTGGCTGACAAGTGCTGATCTCCCTCAATTAAAAGGGAGTGCATAACAAAGGAATAGGAGAAGAACAAACTGCGTATTGTTATCTTCAAAGCAGTTACTAATTTTGTTTTTCCATAAAATAAATTTTTTAAAAAGAGAAACGCTTAAAACTGCAAGAGGGTTAACCAAATGCTGGCACTCCATGGATATGTTCTCCTCAGTGGAATCCAAGGTTGGCATAATATGTGTGATTTCCTTCTGGAGAACTCTTTGCTCTTAAGGGAAGCAGCAAAGTTTATGGGGCAAAACATTAGGAGCAAAATGCCAGGTGGGGTGGGTAGAGGGAGGGAGGTGTGTGGATGAGTGGGTGGGCAGGCAGAGAGATGGAGAGAGGGTGGAGAGAGGGATCTGTGGATGGATGGATAGATGGATGGAGGTGCAGGTGAGCAAATGGATGGATACATGGAGGGGTAGATGCTGGGTACTGGGTAAATGATGGGTGGATGGGTGGAAGCATAGATTGGTAGGAAGATGGGCAGGTATAGGTAGGTAGGTAGGTAGGTAGGTAGGTAGGTAGGTAGGTAGATAGAGATATAGAGAAATAGATAGAAACTAGTGAATCTGGGTAAAGAATAGGTGTGCATAAGTTGTGCTATTCTGCAACTTGTCTGATGGCCTGAAAGATTTCAAAAGAATTTAGAGGGAAATGACTCGAGCCCACCTCATAGTGGTGTTATGTTTTTAATTACCTTTCTTTGTGGGTGACACTGGAGATTGGACCCAGGGCCCTCATACTGAACTTACACCCACATAGCCCTTTTTTGGGACAGGGTCTTAATAAGTGACTAAGTTGTCCCGGCTGGCCTCAAACTCCCAATCCTCCTGCCTCAATCTCCCACGTATGGGCCAGCATGCCTCACTTCTTATGTATCCTTTAATTATTTATGTACTGGGTATTCATTTTCTAAGTGGGAGGATTCTAAATGCTTTTTTGAGGTACATATAAGTGAATATATGGTAAGCTCTTTTTCAAATATGATTGAGGGCCGGGGAGATGGCTCAGTGGAATAAGCACTTCCCTGGCAAGTGCAAGGGAAACAAAAAAAAAAGATGATTGAGATAGAATCCAACAGACTTGAACAGGAGCAACACGTTTCCTGCAATGGGACAATATTCAGCATCAAGTCTGTGAGCCAAGTAGAAGCCCCTGAGCACCAGTTTTGGGCAACCAGATATGACCTACGCACCTCTGGGACCTGGACATGAGCCAATGTGGCCATCCACAGCTGTGGACTGAAGCATCAGCCAAAGCCCAGGACTCACCATGCCGTCGGTGATGTCGATGTTTAGGGCCCCTTCCTTCTGCAACATAGTCAGCACCTTGCCCAGGAAGTTAGCTGAGATGCCCAACTGAGAGTTGGTGTTGTCGCCCATGGGGGGCAGCTCTGGCATCTGTGGTCTGGGTGACATAGCAGGCCGGCCCAAGGGGTAGTCAATGAGATCTCCTCCTGCTTCCGAAACCAGAGTCTGTGGTGGCAGAGAGAAAGGGGTCACAGGGTGCAGAGAGGAGGGAAGTGAGGCTGAAATGAAACCAGAGCAAGGGTCTGGGTGCCTCCTTCTTATGGCCCCAGCTCTGCTTTGGGCTGTGATGGAAGGGTCCTCTTACACCCTCTGTGCACCCACGGCACAGCTTCTCTGCAGTGCATGCAGGCACTTCTGCAGGGCACACCCTGGCACATCCCAGCTGTCAGGGCCACAGTCCTGGTGACAGCCCACAAAGCTCTGTGGACTCTGTCCAGGGGCTGCTTAGGCCCCACTGCAGCCCCTCAGCTGGCACCTGCCCTCTGTGATACAGCCCCCAGGACTCTGTCAGTCCTCACCCCTCACCATCCCACCCTGGCCCTACTCCAAAGCTGCTCCACCCTGCCAAGAGCAAGGGTCAGCCCTCCAGAAAGCTGTCCTGAACCCAGGGTCCCATCTCTGTGATTTTGGTGCTTATACAGTACTGGATGAATCACTGTGTATTTTTTCCAGCACTCTTTGTGGCCTAATCCCTCTAGGAGCTTGGCATCCCCCAGGGCTGACTTGCCCAGTGCTACTGTCCCAGCTCACAGCCCACCCAGGCAGGGCACCTAGCAGGAACCAGCAAGGGTCTTCTCTGCAGAGCAGTGTTTGTGAGTGTGTGTGTGTGTGTGTGTGTGTGTGTGTGTGTGTGTAACGTGTGTGCCTGTGTACACAGATGTTTCTAGCCCCTAGTGGCAGGTCCTAGGGCCCTTGTCACTGATTCCAACTCATATATCTCTTCCCAAGTTCACTTTCAGTGGGTAGAAATTGACCCCATCAGCAGTGTTTATGCCATGAAAATCAGCAAATGCTGCAAATCACAATTTTAATTTTCATTGTGGAGATGCAGTTGTTAAACACATACCATTCTAGTAGGAAAAGGGCCCCGTTCCCATATTGCTGGGGCCATGCCTCCCAGGCCAAGACATGGGACTCACGTTGAGGTCCAGCTCCAGGAACTCGCCGGTCACCAACGGAAGGCTGGAGAATGTATACTGCACACTTCCCAGAATGCCCAGTGGAATCAGAGCTGTGGGCAAAAGGAGAGGTCTCAGGCTGAGCCCTTGGCTGCCCAGACACCTTCCCTCCCTGTGCCATCTTAGGCAAGAGGAAGCTGTGGGACCTCTGAGTGCACAGCCACCAGGGCAGAACCAGCTCGCACCCTCCTTCTCCAGGCCAGGTGGGATGTAAGGTGGGCGGGGGAAAATGCCTGCTGTCTGCACCACACGGGGCTCTCCTCCTAGGAGTTGCCATGTTCCCACACCCGGCCCTGAGAAGCCATTAGCCCACTGCTGCCAAGCAGGAAGGACTTACAGTCCACGAGACCCAACTGGTCATTGACGAGACCCAGCACCACATCCACGATAGGGCAGAGCTGTGGAGAGAAATGTCATGGGTCAGGTGGCCCTGAAGGAAGTCGGGAAAGGGGTGCACCCATAGCAACAAGGCAGCTCGTGTCTGATGACTGTTCTGTGCCAGGCTGTGTCCTCACCTTAGCCCCAGTGGGAGCCTCTGTCACAATTCCATTCTAAAGAGGGGAAACTGAGAGGCATAAAAGGGACATGACTTGTCACATGGCTCAGAAAAGTCTAAGCTGAAAGTTGAACCCAGAGCTGTGTGAAGCTCAGGCATCTCCCCCTCACCCTCTACCCAGCTGTCCTTCCATGTCTCCAGCCCCTTCCTGGACCCCAAGAACTTGTCCTTCTAAGTCAACTACATGGCCCTCAGGATAGAGGATAAAGGTGAGACTGTGTCCCTCCCACCTGCTCTTACCAAGTCAGGGAGCACGTTGGCCAGGACTCGGTTTACTAAGTTGTCCACAACGTTAGGGAGAAGCCTAGAAAGATAGGGACAGGCTGAGTGTAAGAAAAAATGCCCCCCAGGCAGTAAACTCCAGTTTCTCAGTTACCCAGGTAATACTTCCTGTTGCAGTTGCTACTGTCTTCTAGAGACAGCTGGTCACTGTGATGTATATTGTAAAAAGCCACCAAAGACAGCCAAGTACTCTACCTCTGTACTTCCCCTTTGCAATCAACCCCATAAGAACCTCTCTCCATGAGCTTTTGGGGCCTTTTTGTCACTTCACATTTTCTAAGTATGTTACATCAAATGTATTTCCAAGTGAAAACATGAATTTGGATTTGAAAATCTATGGGACTTCTATGTTTTGAACCCAGGGCCCAATTTTCTCTGCCCGCATTCACCATGACACAGAAATAAAGACAGGGAGAAGCCCAAGCGAAGCAGAGAGCAAGGATCCACAGGTCACACGGAGCTTTTCTGCTGCCCGGATCTTGATATGAGGAGGATGGCAGCTCTGGGCCAAGGGATTGATAAGACAGGAGTGAAAGGGGTGACAGCGACCCCAAAGAGAGGAGCTAGAGAAGTGTCCCCCATGCTGGGAGAAAGGGACTTGGCTCTGAGCTGTCCCGAACATGTGTTATCCCAGCTGCCTCCTGGGGACAGGGTGCTGGTCAGTGCATGGACACCCAAAACCCCTCTGGACAGAGGTGAGGTCTTGGTGACTTCATGGGGAACGTAGAAATGTACCTGACTAGGGATGCATTGGCAGAATGGCTGAGAAATGGCCACAGAGGGACAGACCATAGCTGAGACATGCTATGGTCTAGGTCTAGATTGTCCCAAAAGTCTCAGGTACTCTGAGGTGGGGCTGGGGACGATGATGGATCATGGGGAGCTCTACTCAGAGGTGGGTGAATCCTCTAGGGAGCTCAGTCTCTAAATGCACTGTTTGGAGGCAGGGCCTGGAAGGCTTCACTCTTGTCCTGGCTCCTCCCTCCTCTCTTCTCTGTTTATGCAGCTTTACATCGTCATCTCAACTACCAAGGAAACAAGAATGTACCTTCATGTCACAGATGGGGAAACTGGCACCCAAAGAGGGCAACAGAGTTGTCCAAAGTCACAGAGCAATGAAGAGTAAAGCTGAGCCCTAAACCCCAGGTGTCCTCCTGGTCACATGGATGAAGGCCTGGAGCTGTGTGTCATAACCACTCCCCAAGTTGGCTGAAGCCTACATCCTGGGTTCACAAGCACACCCCTTGAGTTCCCATCAGACAAGCACCAGGCCAGGGCCAGGGGAGAGTGTGGATGGTTCTGTGTGAGTCTTCACTACTCCCAGGTATCACAGCTCTGCCTGCCTTGCTCACAGGGAGAGGAGAGACACCATTCTATTTGCCAGAGACAGATGTTCCAGCATTTCCCACAGCACTCCACCACCAGCTAGACTCACCCTCGCAGCAGCTTGACTTTGATGCCCCCCAGTAGGGTGTCACACCTCTCGATGACCAGCCGTGGATAACCGGTGCGGTCCATGGTCAGCCGGACCTTGGCTGAGATGTTCACCTCCACTGAGATGTCCAGGAAACCAATGAGACTAAAGGCGACCAATGGGCCAGGAGGACAGTGAGTCACACTCCAGCCACCAGGCCTGCTGGCATCTCTGAGTTCAGGCTTAGCCCTGGCTGTCTCTGTCAGCTGCCATGCCCCCTTGCTCATCTCTAAGAAGGCTGGGAACAGAGATCTGCATAAATCTGGTTTCCAAGGTAACCATCTAATCACCTAACTTTGGAAACATGACCTCATCCTTAAGGGTTGAATGATACAGAAGCCCACCTCTGAGGCCCTCTAGGGAGCACTACTCCATGGTGGGACTCTGAGGGTGGCCACAGCCAGCTGGGAAGGGAGGTAGTCATACAGACAAGTACGGGTGAAGACACTAAGGCTCATTGACACTGGAAGTCTGGCCCAAGGTCACGCAGCTTGTAAGGGTCAGGAAGCAAACCCAGGTTCTCCCTTGACTCCAGTCACCCAACATGCTAGGCTGTCTTGACAGGGGATGTTGACTGTGGGGTGACTTCAGCTCTCCACATTATGGGTTCAGAGACCAGGTGTGGTGAGGCAGGCAACTTGCCCGAGCTCTGTGGGAATACGGTGACAAGGACACACACCTCTTCCCGCTGATGGCCACACGGGTGTACAGGTTCAGGTAAACACCCACACCAGGCAGGAGCCGCACGGACACCCGGGGCAGGGTCAGCTCCATGATGCGCAGCCTGCACGGGGTGACAGTCCTGTGACCTGAGGCACCCACTGCAGGGCCTGCAGTAGAGCCCTCCCTCATACACCACTCTGCTCCTCATCCACCCCCCCCCCCCACAACTCCAAGACTTACCATCTTTTTTTTTTTTTTTTTTGCACTGGGAATTGAACACAGAACCTTGCACTTGCCAGGCAGGTGCTTGTTCCTCTGAGCTATATCCCTGGCTTCCCCCAATTCTAAGAGACCTGCGGTTCCCAGACAGTTCATGGCATCCAAGGAGGCACTCAGGGACATCACCCAGACACCCGCTGAGCCTTTCTGCATATTTCCACACCAACACGCCATTCCCTCTGCCTATCCCTGCCCATGTGAGGCTGCCCAGGCTTCAGACTGCAGCTCAGCACCCCCTCCAGGAAGCCCCCAGCCTCTGGCGGGTGAGCTCGCTTATCCCCTAGACCTCTATGCTTGTGGTGGCTGGCAATTTTCTGCAAGCTCTGCCACCCCAGCCCACATAACCCACCAGCCCACAAGCCCCAGGGCCAACGCTACCCTGGATCTGTGCCGACAGCGTCCTTTGCATAGTACAGGCTCTACATATTTGTTGAATCAAATGACTGCAAGAAGGAGCCTGGATGTGGCTGAATATAACACACGTACACTACGTGTGGTTAATTTTAAATCCTCTGGCTTTTCTGCTTACTACATTGTTATGACCATTCTACAGCTGAGGAAACTGAGGCTGGACAAGTGGAAAAACTAACCTCGGGTCACGAACAACTACCTAAGCTACAGCTGGGCTCAGACACTGCACTGTTTCCTGCCAAGACCCCAAACTATGTAAAATTGGTCTGAGAAGTCCAGTGCCAAGGTCCCCTCCTAAAGACGCCTTCCTATTTATCAGATCATGGGGAACTTGATAGGAAACCCAGCAGACTTACCCGGTGATACCCTGCACAGTGCTGATGAGGCCACCTTCGCCGAGCAGCCCCAGGAGGCCTCCGTTTCCGAGCAGGCCTCCCTCGCCGAGGGCACCACCTCCGCCGAGCAGGCCGCCTTGGCTCCCCAGGATGCCCTCATTGGCTAGGATGCCCCCAGAGCCCAGCAAGCCGCCAGAGCCGAGCGCCCCGGTGGCCACCCCCGCGGGGATCTCCCCTGGCCGCAGCTCCCGGCGCCTGCGGACCCTGTCCTCTGCAGACCGGTACCGGTACCGGCCCGGGTGGCCGCCAGGGGCGCTCTCGTCCCCGCGCCGCAGGTCTCTGACACTGCCGTCTGACTCTAGGATCTCGCCATAGCGGTATTTGCCGCCCAGCTGAGCGGAGTTGTCATTACTCTCAATGTGACCATATTTGTAATTTCCACCAAGCTGTTTGCCATTAGTGTATTGGGGGGGACGCTCCCGGAAATGGAAGTCATTGTAGGGGACACCACCAACACCTCGGGGGAATTCAGCACTTCTGTAGTCATCGTACTTGTGCCGGCCACCACCCAAAAGGCCATGGCTACCACCCAGCAATCCACTACCACCACTGCCACCCAGCAGCCCCCCACCACTGCCACTCGCTCCATTACTCAGCAGCCCCCCGGCATTGCCACCCAGCAGCCCCCCACCAGTGCTGCTACCGCCCCCCAGTAAGCCTCCGCCCAACAGGTCACCACCACCCCCACTCCCACCACCAAGCAGGCCTCCCAGAAGACCACTGCCCCCTCCACCGCTGCTCCCCGAGCCACCAAGCAGCCCCCCCAGGAGGGGCCCGCCACCGTCAGCGCCAGCTTTACCCGTGGGCAATTCTCGCAGGGCCGAGTGAAGAGCGTTGCTCTGCTGCAGCGTGCCCGAGATGGCTGTGGGGAGGCACAGGTCAGTCAGGGGCTGCCTGTGTGGCCCAGCCTACCTCCAAGCGCCGTGTGGGCAGCCCTTGGCCCTCTCCACCCGTTCTGAGAAGGGGTAGGGCAGAAAGCCCCTCAAGGCGGGGTCACTCTCTGCTGGGCTTTGCGTGGCCTCATGTTATCTAGATTTTTACCTGTCCAGCCATGCTGAACTAGATTTCCATTGTCACTCTCCCTTTCCAAGTCCCCTACTCTTTGCAGCTTTAAAAAACACATTTTTTGACCTCTTTATGCATTATCTATTCCTGAAAAATAGGAGCAGAATGACGGTCCCTATTTGCCAAATACACTGAGGCCTGTGAGGTGCTCAGAGACCACTCAGATGGGAATGGTGGAGTTTTTACTCACATGCCAACAGGGGGAGGGCACAGGGGCAGGGCGCGGGTCCTCGTTTGCCAGATGAGAACATGATAATTGGAGGCAGGAATTACAGGTCATACATTTGAAGGCCTCCTAGACCCTAAGAACTGTGCTATTTCTCAGAAAGTTGTTTAATCCTCAGTTTAGTTCTCAGAGGTAGGGATAACTACACCCACTTTTCAGATGAGGAAACTGAGGCTCAGAGAACTCAAACCAAGAATTTAAGGTCATGGAAACAGAATTTGAATCATGGGAAATCTGATTTTAAGGCCCTGATTCTTAATCACTGCTCTCTACTGCCTAAAGAAAATGAGAATGAAGTCCCCGGAATGGTACCTGCCACACAGCAAGGGCAGCACCCTCCAGAAAGGGGAAATTGAGGCCCAAAAAGACACCCAGCCCCTCAAGGTGGATTCTGCCAGTGCGATCCTTGAGTACCTGAGTTGTTGGCCCAACCTGCCGGCCCCATGCCACCCTCACCCCATTTTGGGGTGGACTCACCCTTGCTCAGCACATCCTTGGTCACCCGGAGGACCGTGTTTGTCTCTTGGCTGCTGCTACACACGACCACCACGCACACAGCAGCTACATGCCACACCACCCACATGCTGCTGCTGCTGCTGCTGCTGCTGCTGCTGCTGCTGCTGCTGCTGCTGCTGCTGCTGCTGCTGCGGACACAGTGCACTGCATGGCTATGGCCAGGTGTGACCACCCCAGCCAGCAGAGCTAAGGACCCTCAGCCAAGTACATGTAAAAGCCCTAGAACAGCCAGGCATGGTGGCAGCTGTGTTCTCAGCTACTCAGCAGGCTGAGGCAGGAGAATTCCAAGTTTCAATTCAACCCAACCTACATAACCAGATTCTGTTTCAAACTAAAATTTGAAAAGGGCTGGGGATTTGGCTCAGTGGTGGAGCAATTGTCTACATGCATATGACCTTGAGCTGAACCCAAGTTGTGGGAAGTTAGAGGTGGAGCTGTGGTTCTTTTATTTTTTTCTGGTACCAGAGATCAAACTCAAGACCTTGCACTTGCCAGGCAGGTACTTAGGCCACTAAGCTATCTCTCCAGCCCAGAAGCACTGATTCTGAAAGCATCCTTTGATGTTTTCAAATTGCCATGAGTCTGGTGATGCAACACAGTCCCATTGCCCAGAATGTCCCATAGCACAGGTGCCTGATTATCTCCTAAGATGAAATACATAGTGTGCAGCCAGCAGAGGGAGAACAGGATAGCAAGCTGATGGCAGGCAGCGTCCAGGAGACCTTCCGGCACCCACCCACTCACCATCCACCCTTATCCACCTACCATCTCCTTCTTACTCATCCTGCCAGCCCATTCATCCTTCCATGCATCCACCGGCCTTCCTTCACAGCTTTCCATCATCCAGCCATCACCCTGAGTGCGCCCGCCCAGCTATACATCCAGCCAGCCATCTGCCATCTGCCATCTGCCATCCACTCATCTACGCGGTCTTGCAAACCCTCCAGCCAGCAAACACCTCTCTGCCTCTTTGGAAGAAATAGTTCTGTGCTGTGAGGTTCAGATCAGGCATCCTGGATCAGAGCTGACTGGGTTCTACTCCACAGGCAAGAGACTTGACCTTATTGAACCTGATCATGAACGTGCTGCCTCTAATACATGTAGGCACTCTGTGAACTCTTGCTTACCCATATGAAATGCAAAAGACTGGAGGGGTTGAGGCATGTATTGAGGAAGACTAGTTAGCCCCCCGGAAACTCACATCCCCTCCACACCCATGCCCACTTGTCCCACTCCTCATTTCCAAGCAGTCCATTCACCAGCCTCAGAGTCAGCAGAGGACAGCCACCCATCCAAGCCAAACTGAAATCATTGACTTCATTTTCTTCCATTTATGCATCTTTCTTTTTTTAATTTTATGTATTTGGTACAGGGTCTCACTACACAGCTTGGACTCATAGTGATCCTCCTGTTTTCAGCCTCCCCAGTGCTGGGATTACAGGCACGCACCACCATGCCTGGATTCTGTTGCCAGCTCAGCGTGCCCGGGGCTGGGGGGAGGGGGCATGCATTTATCAGCTTCTTCCAACTTCTTTTGAATTCTACAAAGCCTCCAGACTCCCTGATCCCATCTGCTCCCATGAAAAGCTTTAAGTCACTCATTTATACTACATTATGAAGGACTAAATATGCTCAAGAATTCTTATTTCTGGCTTCCTCACCTCACCCCAACCCTGCTGCCTAGAGAACTCTGTGCCCAGACAAGGATCACCCTCCTCAGTTACAAAGGAAGGCAGGAGAGGAGGTATTTCCCACATCAGCATGCAGGTGAGGAGTGTCAGCGAAGCCACAGAGATTGAAGGTGCTTGAGATCCCTGGGAAAGCATGTGCAGCCCTGCTGGCACCCAGAATCAGCATGACTCAGCCTTTCTGTGGAATCCCTTGAGGTTGGCCTGGTGAGGCCCGTGTGACAGGCAAGACACTCGAGCCCAGAGGGCTTGCCCTGGTGGCTCTCCAGTGGGGCTCTCTCTTCAGAACCTCACAGGCCTCGTCTCCCCTGATGGCCTGGACACAGAACAAGGAGGGGATCTTCCTTACCCCCAGCAGGTCCCAGCAGCTCAGTCCTGAGAGGTTCCACTCACCGGGCCCTCTGCTTTGGGCTCAGCCTGGTCACTATTGGCCTTATATAGCAGCTGTAGTCCGAGCCCAGACCCCAAGAGGGAAACTCCATATAATTATGAGAGATCAGAATTACCAGAAACCGGAATTCAGATTTTTTTCTACATGTCGAGCATTAAACTCCAAAACCACAAGAGTCTGTGGTTTGCAGGTAATTCCAAGAGGTATGCTCAGCCTGGGTGGTGTCACTTGAGCTGGGCTTATCAGTCCCCTGTCTGCATGTGTTCCTGGAGACCCCTGCTAAGCCTCCAGATAGATACATGTGGCTTCTAGCCCTAAAGCAGACACTGTTCATGCAAGAGGGCCTGGGGGACAAACTGGGGCTGCCAGAGACCAGATTCCAAATCAGAGGACCCAGGTTCCAGTCTTTCTCAACCCCCAGCTCACTGTGTGACCTTGAGGTATTCCCAGCCACTTCCCTTCCCTGAACCTCAGGGTATTTCCACGTGTGACATGGGTGTAGTACCTGATTTACAGGGGAATTTGAGATGGATGGATGGGAGTGGACATGGATCCAGCACCTCCACCCTGGGGCTGGCGCACAGCTGGGCTTTTTAAGACCTGCCCATCATGAAATTTTCACACACACAACAAAGTTGAAAAGTGTATGCAATGAACACACGAGCTCTTGTCAGTTCACACCCACCAGTCCCATCAGCCACTTGCATTCTGCTGCACTTGCTTAGCCACAGGCATCCACTCGTGGGTTCAGGTGAGGAGCTGGGTCCTGCCACTACACAGAGCGAGCAGAAAGTATCTGCCAAGCACTTGCCATATACCAGGTGCTGCATCTGATGTGTCTATCCCTAAGGCACCAGCTTCACAGTGCCCGTGTCCGGTGGCTATTACCATCTCATTCCACAGAGAAGCCACTGAGCCCCAATCTGACAGCTCTCCTTTGGCCAGAACTAGAGTTCAGACCTGATGCTTCTGGCCCAGTTCCCTATCCAGGCTTCTCTCACTGCAGTACTCTGAGTCGTCCTGACTGCTTAGAGCCCTCATATGAGCCCGACTGGGCTCCAAGTATGTTAGGACGTCAGCCCCCAACTGGTCCTGCTTTCTTCTTTTTTTTTTATGAGCAAAATATATTTATTAGAGAAAGAAAGCTCCTGTCCCGAGAGGGGGACAGGAGGGGGGGTGCCAAGTGGGTAATTCCCCCTGGGAAGTTGTCTCTTGCAGGGACTTTTATAGAGGAAAACCATGTGGTGAGGTGGGTCTAAGGTGGTGGAGAAGACATGGGAACTCACTTAGTTGTGGCCCTGCTTTCTAGATAGTTTTTACCTGCTGCCTGCAGTTAGAGAACCTGAGGCACAGAGAGCTTTTATTACGTGCCCAAGACCATGCAGCTAGGCTGTGACAAAGTCAGAATCTGGACCCCAAAGCCTTAGCACTCAGCCCCGGGTGTGGGCTCTAAGTCTGGCCCTTAGACTGGGGGTAACAGAAGGCAGCTGCTTGCTGACCTGGTGAGCTGACTGGTTGAGGCGGACGGGGCTGAGTGGAGGCATCCATAATGGTTCTAGGCATGTCTCCTGATCTCAGTAGCCCCTGGGTGACCCCAAACATGTGTACACTTGACCCCCTGCATGGCCAAGTCACCTTCAGGGTGAATCACCTTCTGGGAAATCTGGTTGCTCTGCCTGCCATCCCCACCAGGTCTCTCTAGAGCTCCGGACAAAGGGGCCTTTGGATGCTAAGCCCAGGTGATCTCCTTGGCGCCAGACTTTGCTAATCCTCTCAGGGTGACCAGAGCAGGCCCTTCGGGGGCTGGGGAGCCTTGCCCAGCCTTGATCTTGGGGTGCTGGCTCCTTTCCTCCTACTCACCCTTCAAAATTCAGCTCACATGGCCCTTCAGAGAAGTGTTGCAAAGTCAGAGGTGGAGAGAGGCATAGAGGGAAAGACAGGCATTGAGAGAGAAAAAGAGGGAAGAGAAGGGAAGAGGAACAGAGAAGTGGAGAGAAGCAGAGGCCAGATAGGGCAAAGAGAAGGAGGCCAGGCCACGCAGGTAAGTCTGGGACTCAACACTGCAGTGACCTGGCCCCGAGTCCCCTCACCTCCCAAAGCTCATACTTAGGCCTGGAGAGGACACTGGAGACTGAGGCTGACCCCGGGAGGAACAAACCAGTCAGCAGGTTCTGAGACTGAGGGGAGGTTTATTGAGGCCTGCCACTTTCGCAGAGGCCTGTAGTGCTCTGGGCAGGCCTGAGGTGGGTCCACACTTCCCGCTCAAATGGGGGCAGAGCTGCAGGGCACTGGGCAAGGTGGGCCAGGGGGACAGGAGGCACTTATGCTGTCACCGACACAGGCTAGAAGCCGGGAGAGAAGCTGAGGCAGAGCGGGCAGATAGCCAGAACTCGGGTAGTCGGCAGGGAGTGATGGTGGCCATGGGCGCCTCAGGATGCCACGGTGAGCACAACGGCATTCTGCAAAGAGCAGAAGTCCTCAGTTAGCTTTTGAGAGCCGAGGCCCCAAGCCCAGCCACATCCCCATATTTGAGTCACCACATGGCCCATCACTCCACCCTGCAGTCAGCACTACACCTGCAACACAGCAGGTACTCAATGAAAGTGTGGACAAGAGGATAAATGATAATGGAATAACACCAAGTGTGGGACAGGGTGCTGGCTGGAGGGTCAAATTCAAGTGCCATTTCTGGCACTAGTGCCCTGTGCGAACTTGGGCTAGAAATTTGGCCTACTCAGCCTTGGTCTTCATCTGAAAAATGGGTGCAGAGCTTCCTGCCTTGCCAAACTTCCAGAGCTGCTCCAAGATTCAAAGTCAGGCTGGTTTGAATAGTAATGTTTGTAGTGAGCAAGAAAAGCTGTCATGATCTATTTGACCACACCTGCTACAGTGCAGGTGTTTGCTACCTGTTGGCCAGGGGAACTGTGACTCTGTGAGTTAGTATGAGGTTCCATTCTATAGGCCAGACGTGTCTGAATTCAAGCAGAAAGGATTCTGGGATCAACTGGCTTGGTTTCCCAGCCACAGACAGGAATGAGTGGGAGTGTTCATGTCACGTGATTGGCATTTCTGGGTTGAGTCATTTGTGACTCTTTTAGAACATGGTACAGGAACAGACCAGAGGCTGAGGCAGAGCCCCTCACAGGGCCAAGCACAGTTCTCCAGACACAAGCCCAAGTCCCACCCAGGCCACAGCCATGTGGGAATCTCACCTCAATGATGTCCAGAACTGAATTGGAAAAATTGACATTGAGAATCTTAGGTAGGGGAATTCCAACCTCTAGGACAACTGTGACAGGGAAGGATAAAAAAAAAAAAAAAAGGATATATGAGGATTGGGATGTCAGACCCCAGGGGTCCTTGAACCCTGCTGACCCTACTCAACTGCTTTCTTTGAGCCAGTCATTTCTCTTCTTGGGGACTCACCTTCCTATTCAAAAACTCCTATTCATTTTACTATAGCCAAACAAAAAAGTCCCCTTTCTGTACTGCACCAGTGGCTCCCCTCAATCCTCCTAGGGCTCCCTCAATCCCTTGCACACTCTGAGTCTTCTATATCCTAATCGTATGTTCACAGGACATTTTCCACTGGTCTATGGGTCCTTAAGGTCAGATCAGTTCTTGGGCCTCAATTCCTGATGTGATGTAAATGCTAATCAAGGGTGTTTGGATGGAAACACTGGTGCCTCCATTCCTGCCTCTTACAAACGAAACCTTTAGAAAGTTCTAAGCCCTTCTTTAGACTCAGTGTCCCTATCAGAGCAGTGGAAAGAGGCAACAGGCTAGACAATCCCAAGTCCAGACACCTCCTGTGTTCAAGAAGAGAGCGAAGCCACCATACCATTGAGCTTGGACACATAGGCAGCCCGGAGCACACTGCGGAGCCACTCTTCCAAATGGGATACCTGTAACACAGCCCACAGAGGGGAGGGTTGGCCCACAGCAACAGCACCACTTTTTCTAGGGAAGGAGTCCAGAGACACAGGTGAGCCTCCCCCAAACTCAAAGACACAGTCCTTGACAAGCACAGGGCCCATGAGTTTGAACTGCCCACCAGGAACCCTCAATGGCTCTCTGATCTAGGCTGGCTTCACACCCGGCCCAGGAGTTCAGGAAAGGCACCTCCTAAGATCTGTGGGACAGGAAAAGGAGGGCAGTGTCTGAGAAGGAAGGAAGCATGCTCAGCTCCAGAACACTGAGCTTTGACCCTAGGTTTCTGTCAGCATAGAGATCCTTAGAATGTTCTAGAATAATGATGGTGAAACTTTTAGATAACAAGTGCAAACCAAAACCTACTCATTTATTGTAAAGTGCCAACACTGCAATTAAACCTGAATACTAAGGTTTTCATTTAGAAAAATACAACTCTACATTAACATTTCTTTAGGTTTTTTCTTTTTTTGGGTGTGTGTGTGTGTGTGTGTGTGTGTGTGTGTGTGTGTGTGTGTCTCCAGGGTCTTACTATGCAGCTCAAACTTGTAGTGTTCCTCCTGTTTTCTGCCTCTCTAGTGCTGTGATTACAGGTGTGCACCACCACGCCCAGACTCCATTGCCAGCTCAGTGTCCCCAGGGGTGGGTCTGGCACAGCATGTGGTGCCAGGGATCAAACCCTGGCCCCTGCACTTATCTAAGCAAGCGCTTAGTCCACTGAGCTATCTCATCGGTCCTCTTGTTTATTTGTTTGTTTTTAAACATTAACTTTTTTGTCTTAAAAGAAAAACACAATAGTGTGAATGTCCTAGGTTCACCACCACTGTTCTAGAACCTGTATCCATGAAACGCCTCTAGATCCTCAGCCTCTGTGAAGCAGGAACCTCAGGGCTCTGAAGGGCTCTGGAATGTTAGAACTTTCCGAGGTATAGAACTTTATTTCTTGTATGAAGTTCAGGGACTTTGTGGGGTTCTAGATGATCACAGCCTTGTGAGAACCCCAGTTGTCGGAAGATCATGATTCTCACTTTCCTGAGGTGATGGCTGTTACACATACATGCATACGTGCATTACACACACACACACACACACACACACACCTGCCCTGATGCTTGCCCGCTGTGGCTTACTGGGGCAGAGCCTGGACAAGGCAGGCTCAGCCATGGCCCAGGACCTGTCCCTGCTCCTTTCCTGCCCCACCTAAAGACCCTCCCAAGGACAAGCTCCTCCCCCACCAGAAACTTACGTCAAAAGTGTAGGCAGAGGAGGAGTCCAGCTTGCCCCTGAGCCTGACAGAGAAAACAAAGCGTGAGGGGCCTGGCCTCCACCGTGCCCCTGCTGAGAGCTGTCCTGCTCACCCAACTGCCGCTCTGCAGGACAGGGGCACAGGGATGCCAGCTCGGTTCTGCCTCCACCAGCAGGACCTGAGACTGTTTTCCTACCTATAAAGTAGACCAGGAGGGCTCTAACCTCCTCCTGAGAATCATGACCACCTCTGGCTTCATGGCCTCGGAGCCTTGGTCTGGGCCCAGCTGTTTGGCCCTCTCTCTGAGTATTTGACACAGGGTGACCTACATACAGCAGGCATGCACTAAAGGAGTAACCCAGCAACCAATCCTGGCCCAAGGGCAGGTTTGGGACCAAAGCCTGGATTCACATTCTTAGACCTTCAAAGTCTAGGGCATGAACTGCCACCAGGGGCGCCGTAGTGAGCCCAGGCAACACAGCCCCCCTCAAGGTTCTCTAGTGTCAATGGACCCATATCCTGCAGAGCTGTAGCAGTGGAAGGGAACCTGAAAGTGGGTCAGGTGAGCACTGGGTGCCTGGGGCTCAGACAGGCAGGTCTCAGAGTCTCCTGGGAAAGCCCCTGCAACTGGGACAGGTAGAGGCAGGCCTTTCTGGCAGAGGCCTGGGCCTGAAGAGGGGGCCTAAATCACAGACTGGGCTGCGCTGCATTTGCAAACTATAAAGTGTGGTGCATGCATAAGGAAGGGGCGTCATTGGCAGCAGCATCTTGGCTATCATGATTATCACATGGCCTGGTTAGCACTGGGCTGGGACTTGGGAGAAATTCCAAGTCCATATGAAAAGCGAACATCTGGCAGCACTCCAGGGGAGCCGTGCTTGTCCCCCCCCCCCCACATGCTGTGGGCGGGACCCAGTGGTAGGGGAAGCTCCAGCCGCAGTGGCCCACATTGTCCCTCCCTGGAGGGGTCAAACGAACAGGAAGATGCTGGTGAAGTCCTGGTGTTGCCATGCTCTGCCAGCAGCAGGTAACACCTGCTTTGGGGGGGCCCTAATTCTGTTCTCAGGAGCCCACATTACCGTTCCAGAGACAGGGAGAGGTGCAGCTTGGTGGCCGAGGGAGCCAGCTGGGCGTTTAGGGTCAGCACCTGGAGGGGGCAGCGAGTAGCCGTCACCCAGGCCTCTGTAGTGATGGAGACTCTGCCCTCTGTGCCCTCCACCAGCTCTCCTGGGGCACTACTGTGTCACGGTCACACTGGGCTCCAGAGCATAAGGAGCCCTTCTACAAATGTGGGGGGGCACTATGGCCGAGCTCAGGGAACACAGGATCAAGGCTCAGGGATGGTGCACAGGGACGGAGCTATGAGACACAGCGGCCAAGAGCCTAGGCTCAGGGCACAAGGGCTGGGACCCGGGAAGAGGCAGAAGCCAGCCAGAGAGGGAGCAAAGGGACCCTTGGGTCAGATGCATCCTGGGCACAGCTAGCAAGGATGCGTTGTGGGGAGCAGACTGGAGGAGGAGGCCCACCCCTATTGGTAGCTGGAGGGAGGGCTGCTGGGGCAGCTGTGCAGAGAGGCCTGGGCCCACTCTTGAGCCCACAGGAAGCAGAGTGACCCGACAGTCCTGGCCCCATCAGAGGCGCACCAAAGAATAGGCAGGAGCTGAGTGGGTGCTCGGGCTCAGCTTGGCAGAGGCAGGGGGTCTCTGGGCTGTGCTGCATGGGATCCACCCAAAAATCAGGGGCAGGTTATCCCCAGGCACCACCCAGAACCCAATCCTGGCCACTCACCTCATTCATCTGGAAGAGGGCTACAGGGGTCCCCTGAGGGGCAGGAGCCAGCACGTGGATGGTGGCTGGGATGGAGACCGTGGCCTTCTTGTTCTGCAGTGTGATGGTAGGTAGTTCCTTCACCCTCAGTGAGAGTAAGAGATGCTGGCCTGGGGGCAAGTTTCCCAGGGCCTGGGGAGAGACCAGAGCAGAGCAGGGCATTCAGGGGCAGCTTCACTGCCCCAGTATTCATCAGTCAGTCAGTCAACAAACACTTTCTGGAGCATCTAGTGGGTGTCAGGCACTGCACTAAGCACTTAGATTACAGCCTGACCCAGACAGGCCTGGCTTCCACCCCAGAAGGCTGACACTGAGCCACCGAAAGGTAGAGCCACCAAATCAGACTGCCCGTCTCACACAGAAGCAATGTCTCCCCAGGTGCACAGGCCCTGTGCGGTGCAGCCCACCTCCTGCCCATCTACCAGTGGTGCCCTCATGCTCCCTCTCCCCACCTCAGGGCCTTTGTGCCTGCTGGCCCCTCTGCTTGCCGACGCTTCCCCCAGGTGGCTGCTGCTTCCCTCCTTCACTCTTGGCTTCTGCTGGAGCAGCACCACAGCGAGGCTTTGCAGAGCACAGTGTGGAAGCGCCTGCACCCCAGTGCACCCCACTGCTCCATCCCCTGCTCTCCCAACACAGATGTGCTCACAGTCTACCTACTTACTGGTGTGCTAGCTACCACCTCCTCCAGGACAGCAGCCCCTGCGCTCAGGGGCCTTGCACCCACTTATCGTGTTTGCACCTTCTGTACTTTCAGGGGCAGGCACCTCTGAGCCAGCACAGGGCTTGGTGTGTGCCAACTACCCACTGGGTGTTTGTTGACTGGCTAAACAACTCACACAATCAGGAAGTTCTAAGTCTCATAAGACCATTGCCTTGTAGAAGCGATGAAAATCATAGAGCCTCAGAAGCTCCGAAGATAGAGGCATGGCCTCAGCACACTCGCATGACAGCATCTGGGGACATGCACCCCAAGCCCAGACACCAGGCAACAAATTCATCAAGACTGGGGATGACTAGATTCCACCTAATGGGGCCACAGAACCTGAAGCCAAGCAGACTTCCGCTGGGGCCATGTGAGCGGGCCCTGTGGGTTCCACTCAGTTGGCTCTAGGCTAACAAAGGTGTCAGTCAGGCTCCAAGGACAGGTGCTACCTCCCCGCTCTGGAGTAACCAGCCCAGCCAGCTGCCTCCACTGTCCCTCTGCCAGCCACATCTCCTGCCCCGAGTCCCTCTCCACCTTACAACTCCAACCCTCAGGAAGGTCTTCCAAGTGTCTGACTGCAGTCTCACTCTTCCCTGAGACTCTTCCACATCTTAGCCAAGGGGCTCTGAAAAGTGGAAGCCCTAACCTTGCACCTCGAGAATGCTTTGAACCAACCATCAAGGACTCACAGAGCTTTCACCCCCAAACTCAGCTGCCACCTGCTCAGTGAATGCCCGAGTTCTCTGGGCCTCTTCCCCACCTGTCAGAACCTGCTGCTACCTACAGACCTTATAGTAGTCATTTCCACTTCAGTATAAATTCAGGTTCTCATAGCTGGAGAGTGGCCGGCCTATGGTCAGTTGAATGAATAGGAAAGCAGAGGCTGGGCCCCGGGATCTCACACTATAGCCAGTTGTCCCACCTTCTGACACTCTACCTTGTCCTCCCTTATCCAAAGCCAGTGTCCAAGTCAGCTCTTGGACAGGGGCAGCTACAATCATGAGGAGCTAAGGCAGCTGGAGGGAGGGACTCCCAGTGTGGAGAGGATCTCCTGTTACTGTGCAGCTGGAGCAGATGGCTTCGGGCCAAATGACTTCCAGAGAGGTCAAACTCTGTCTTCTCCTTTCTAAGCAAACTCACCGTCAGGCCAGGACATAGTACCTTTCACACTTTAGTGTGAATTTGGTCTCAACATCCATTACAGGGGCCTGGAGAGCTGAACTGAGAAAGAAGCTGGAGTCCATCCAGGCTCACAGGGCAAGAGCGGCAGTGCCAAAGCACTCACCTCTGGCACCAAGGTTGCCAGGCTTGTGGTGGTCAGCAGAATGTTGCCAGGAACCTAAACCCAGGATCAAATGGGAGAGGGGCTTTGTGAACACAGAAACAGGACAGGTGCCCCCTCAGCACACACAGCAGTGCTGTCTGCCCTTCTCTGGCTTGCCAATCCCAGACCCCCATGCTGCAAACCCACAAATCTGATCTCATCTCCCATATTCCCAAGGACTTGACCCAGGGCCTTCACGCTGAGCTACATCTTTGGCCCTTTTCTATTTTTTTATTTTCAGACAAGGTCTTCCCAAGCTGCCAAGTTGCCCAGGCCGACCTGGAGCTCTCAATCCTCTTGCCTCAGCCTCCTGAGTGCTGGCATCACAGGTGTGTAGCCCCCCCAACCTGGCAAGCCCTTGAGAAAGTAGAGGGGACGTCAGCCATTCACACGTTAGTGTAAAAGCAAGCTCAGACTCAAGGCCTCCTCTGGTGCAAAGATGGGAAGTTGGCTTCATTCCCTTGCCAGCTCTGCTCAGGGGAATCTTGGAAGCAATTTCTGGGTGACTGAGTTGAGAAGGATTCAGAGGCTTCACTCAGGTTTAACTAACCACAGGGCCACTAAGGATTTGTGATGTTCTCCCCAAGTGCTGGGACAGGCAGCAGTGGTGTTGGCACAACAGATTTGCCCAGCTCTCTCCTGGCATGTGGCAGAGGGCCCAGTGGAGCTGATTGTATCAGTGTGACAGACTGGCACTGGCACTTCCCAGCCACAAAGGGGCAGGAGTGCCCTCTGTGCAGGCCACAGCGCCCTCTCCCCATGCCACTCACCAGCTCAGGGGTGATGTCCATGTCCAAGGCACCGCTGGTCTGCAGGACCCCAAACACAGTGTTGAAGAGATACAGTGGCACAGTCACCTGGGATGTGTGGTCCTGCTTGGGGGGCACCTTGACCGGGACACGGGGCTTGGGGAAATCAATGAGGTCACCGGCTGCACTCTTCACGATGGACTGCAGAGGCAGAAGATGGGGCACAGGGCATCGCGGGCTGCTCACTAGATGGCGAGACCCCACCTTCGCCTTCCTGGACACCCACACTGCACCCTGTGGAAGGGCGGCCCCCTCGGCGGGCACTCACATTGATATCCAGCTCTATGTACTGGTTGGAGATGAGAGGCAAGGTGGCCACAGTGAACTCCACGTACCCCAGAGAGCCAATGGGCACGAGGCCTGCATGGGAATGGGGGCAGAAAGATGCCGCGAGCCAGTTCCCAAGAGTAGCAGCCCCGCCTGCGTCACTGCAGCCTGCTGCATGCCTAGCACTGGACTCCATCTTCACTTGCTGCTGCCGTTGCCCTCCCTGTGCAGGGGAGGACACTGCGACCCAGGCAGAGGAAGTCACCAGGCCACTCTGTCCCAGAGATGCAAAGCAAGACCTCTGTTTTCCAGAGCTGGTGCCCCCCAACCATGGCCACCCACAGTCTCTATCTAACCCAGCACCTCCAATGGGGACACCAGACTCCCAGGCTCTGCCCTGCCCCTGGTTGTGCCTTGGTGCTCTTTCCAAAGCCCTTTTGTGAACTAAGGGCACCATTTCTCCAGGAGGTGCAGAGAGGTGGGCTCCTGGGCAGGGGCTGGGGGAGGAGCTTACTCAAGCTCTCAGGGCCTCTGTCTCCTCACCTGAGCAGGAAATAATGCTTTTGTCCTGTTCTGGCCGCAGCATTCAGTGAACGCCACTTGGCAACAGCCTCTGTGGAGACCTCAGCCCAGAACCTCCCCAGGGCCTCAGCGCAGCCTCCCAGGCACCATCAGGACCCACCCTGCCCCACCCCACTGGGGCACCAGGAGAAGGTGCCAAGAGGGGGGTGTGCCCCGACTTACTGAGTGTGGCCCCCAGGAGCTCATTCATCACGCCCAGCACACTGTCCACCATGGGGCACAGCTGTAGGGAGGAGACAGATGTGACAGGAAACTCAAGGGTGAGCCCTACTCAGTACAGGGGGAGCTGTGTGTCCTCTAAATGGGCTGCTCTGTGGTGCTAAGGACAGGGCAAAGCAGGATGTGGAGATGGGGGGGACATGGATGGGCTGAGGGAGCCCTGAAGCCCACTTTCCTCTGTTACACGAGCCTCAGCAGAAGACCCCAAAGGTTGCTGGGGAACAGGGAGATGGATTTCAGAGGCCAGGTGAGGCAAGACCCCCCCCCCAAGGATGTGGTGCTGCTGCAGTGACCTCGGAAATGGCAGACCCCTCCTGTGACCCTGGGTGGTCATCGGAGGCTTAGAACCAAGACTCTACGGTGTGGGGCATCCCCTCCCCTGCACCCTGAGAGCTGGGCCAGGATCCAAACTGCCATGTGCAAACTACCACCAAGTTCTCTCAACCTGGGCTGTGACGGCAGGGAGCAGACAGAGGTTTGGGCTTAGTGCAGAATCTGAGTTCCACAGCCCATCACAGTGAGACCCTAGCCAGCCCTCCCACACACACACTACATGGGGCCCTAAGAAGAAGAAAGGCCACCGTCCCTGGTCAAAGCAGTTTGCAGGAAGACAATGGAGGGCTGCTGCCACCTTGGGGGCCCCAACTTCAGAGCCTCTAGGATCAGGCAAGTTTACAAAAATGAAAGGAAGAGACTGCAGGGCTGGGGTAGGAAGGGGTGGGTGCTAAGCTACAGGAAAGAGATTCCAGCCCAGGGGAGTGGGGGTGGAGTGATTCCTCAGAGAGCCAGAAATCAGATTAAGAGAACTCAACCTCTAAATCTTGGCAATAGCTGGGAAAATAGCTCAGCGGCATAAGCCCCTGCCTGGCAAGCACAAAGTCCTGAGTTTGATCCCCAGTACCAAAAATAAAATGAAATAAGATAAAATAAATCTTGGCAATAAAATTTTTCTTATCTGGAAACCTCCTTATGTGGCACAGAACCCACTTCCGCTGGTTGTCCCAGACACCCCATTTAGGGGCTGGGGTACAGATGCAGCCACGGCCCCTCAGTGAAGTCCATAGTGGGGAGGGGACTCCCCAACCGTGGGCAGATTCTTTCCCACACTGGCATCAAGCCCAGAATAGGGCCTCCACCCCACCTTCCAGAGGCCCCCTGCCCTCTGCTCTCTGTGGAGCCCACTTGTGGCTACTCCCACCCTCCATGGAACACAGCTGCAGCCCGACCCAAGTGCAGTCTGCTTCCCCCGGTGAATCCGGACTGCCTAGGTCAGCAGCGGACACGCTGCCTTGAGCAGCTGTCAGGCAGAGTCTCCTCTCCAGGATATAGACGCGATTTTCTAGACATGATTGCTGAGCACACGGCTCCACTTAAAATCAAGAGCCAGTTTTAATTGAAAGCTAATTGAGAGGAAAACATCAGTAATAATACAAGTGGCAAAAATATAGCAGAGTGGTGAGAGACAGGTTTGTGAGCAGGGCACTTTCTGGAGCATAATTTCAGGCTACAAATCAGACAGGGAGGCCCAACAGCTGGGGGCATAAGATGGCCCTGGGCCAGAGGGGACATGCAAGCTAATCCTGCAGGCGCCAGCTTTATCCCAAACAGGGAGGGGCAAGCTGGGCCGGATCTCACTCACCAGGTTGGGCAGCACCTTGAACAGTGTCCGTTCCACGACTGTGAAGAGCGGTGCCGGCAGCAGCCTGGGCAGAGAGCAACAGGATACTGTGGCTGCCCGCAGGGCACAGCGGGTGACAGGCAGGGGGCGCATTGGGGCTCTGCATTGCTTCTGTCTCCTCCCTCAGTTAGGGCTTGCTGGGGCTCAGGGGTCTGGTTTGATCCCTGGCCCTGACTAAACCGCCCCCCAACCCTGCGGGCTTTAATTTCCCCATCTGGGCAATGCCCGCCTTGTACAGCTGCTGTGGCCAGACTGTGGGTAAGGGCAGATATGAGCCTGGTTTGTGACCTGTGCACACAGGTGTCTGTCCCCTTTTCTCCAACACCCGGGTCTAGAATGGTTCTGACTGAGCACAGGGCTCAATAAGTATGTGTTGAATGAATGAATGAATGAATGAATGAATGAATGAATGAGGAAGTGGCCTGAGGATGAAGTCCCAGTAGATGGGCTGGGACCTGTTTGGAAACTATGGGGGCACAGAGCCACTACCACGGATGACACCGTCCTGGACCCCACTCCATCCAAGAACCCTCTATCCCAGAGGAACAGGACAGAGCCACAGGAACTTAAGGAGCCCAAAGAACCTTTAGGAGGACCCCCTGTAGAGACAAGAGCCCCCCAGGGTCACCCTGCTCCCAGGAGCTGATATAGCTGTCTGGGGATCCAGTACTGCTCACAGCTGCTGGCCAGCACGGAGAGCTAGGGGAAGCCCTGGTCCTAGCCCAAGACAAGCGAATTTCCGTCCCTACCATGGGCTGTGTGACCCTGAGCCAGCCCCCTCAACCTCTCTGAGAGACATTCAACACACAGGTAGTAAGGGCCACCTTGTCATGCACAGCCCCACAGGGAAAAACAGATGTGTTTTCTGAATTAGGGAGTCTATCCTCTTCTTATACAAATAGGGGACCTGGAAGGGAGAGGATCACTCTGGGGTCACAGAGACAGGGCCCTGAAGTGCTAAGAGCTGAGATTTCAGCAGATGGGTGGGGCTCCAGGCCAGCTCTGCGTACACCCCGGAGTCTGGTCTGCCTCAGGACAGAGACTGAAGGGAGGTCAGGCTCCGCCTTGCCGAGGCCCAGCCAGTCCAGAGCAGCAATGACACAGACTCACCCCGAAAGGAGGCTGATGTGGCCCAGCAGCGTGCTGCAGCGCTTGAGGACCAGGGTGGGCGTCCCTCGTGAGCTCATGCCCAGCCCCACCCGCGACGACACGTTCACCTCGGCAGCCAGCTGCAGGAGGCCCCCCAGGGGCCTGCAAGGTGAGAAGTTGGGGTGTGGCCGGGCTGCCAGACCCCACCCCCCGGGCCACGCCCACCTATCCCGCAGGTCCTGAGGAGGGGCTGGTGGAGCAGCCTTGCCAGCGGTGGGCCCCACCTGACTCTCACTATAGCCCCCACCCTGCCTACCTGTCCCTGAGCCTTTTTCCCATCCCCTCTGGTGAGCTGGGTAGTGGACCAGCCTGGAGATCAGGGGGCCGGGGTGGAGGTCCCCAGGAAGGATGAGGGAGAAGGATCCAGGGTGTGTTTGTAGGGTAAAAAGAAACTCAGGGTGTGGGGTCATGGACAGAAGGGTGGGTTCTCAGGGTGTACTCACCCTGAGCCATGCAGCCCGACCTTGGTGTGAAGGTTCAGCTGCACCCCGAACCCTGGGAGCAGCTTCAGGGACACCTCTGGCAGTGTGAGCTCCTCAATCTTCACACTGAGATGGGGAGGAGGCGGGACTGCTCACTGTCACAGTTTCTCACCCCCACCGGGACCTGGACCATCTGGGCACACTCCCTGTCCCACCTCAAACCCGTGAGACACCTGTGGGCCCTGGGGCCCGTTACTTTCCCTCCCTGGACCTCAGTGTCCTCACCAGCGGAGTGGGGCAGTGCTGGTACCTGCGTCCAAGGGAGGCGACACAGCTGCTACCCTTCCATGGCCTCAGCTTTGGTTTGGATTGTGACCTTGAGGCTGCTCCCACTGCACTTCCAGGGCACCCCCACACGGGCAGCCAAGGCTTCTCAGGCCAGCTGCACACGGTCCAGTGCTCTCTGCTGAGCTTTCCTCATCTCCTACTGTCAGCCAGGGCACCCCTCCTTGAGGAAACCGTCCTTCCTAGCTCCTGGCCTCAGGCAGAGGCCCTCTATTCTGCCTCTATCACTGCCTAAACCTGGGATGTTGTCATTGTCAGCCTCTGCCACACACTGGGAGTGTTTTGGGGCAAGGATAATGTGAGGTTGACATCTTAGACCCCAACTTCACCCACCAGGGGGAGTTCTATGATGCAAATAATTGTATGAGAGAGAGACAGAGAGAGCCTTGGCACACAGTTCAAGTTGGTCTTACACTCACTATGCAGCCCAGGCCAGTCTTGAACTTGCAGCAATCTTCCTGCCTCAGCCTTCCAAGTGCTGGGATTATAGGCATGCACCACCACACCTGGCTCTAACTCTAACAATTCTAATAGCATTTGTTGAGCATGTACTGTGTCTGTTTGACATAAATTAACTCATTTTCTTGGCAGCATCCCCCTGCACAGCTGCTAAGAGTGCAAACAATCAAAGCCCAAGAATTCAGGTCCTAGCTCTGCCACTGATTGACTGTGCTCCTGGGCAAGTTACACTGCTGCTGTCTCGGCTTCTGGCTTTGTACAACAGAGCTACTCCACACATGTGTACTGTTTTGAGAGGTAGACACACATTCTCCTTTTTCTTCTCCAGCACCCCATTTCTACCTACCATTCCCCGATAGCCTGTTTTTCCTTCTTTTCTTCTTTCTTTTTTTTCCTTCAAGTACTGGAGACTGAAACCAGCCCTTTCCACTGAGCTATGTTCCCCAACCTTTTTTTTTTTGAGACAGTCCTCCTAAATTGCTTGTTGCCCAGGCTGGGTGTAAACTGCCCCACTCCACTGCAAGTGCTAGGATGACAGGTGTGTAGCACAGAGCCTAGCTGGGCCTGGCCTTTGACCTTCCTCTGACTCACCACCAGCTTCAGCCAGGCCATGTAGTCCATGCTTCATCACGGACCAGGATCTGCTCCCAGCCCAGCTGCATGGGCCTGGATGGGACACCACCCTGGCTTTAATTTGCTCAGCAGCTAAGTACAGGAGTAACTATCCCACCCTGGCTTCAGCGGGACAATACACTGGCAATGTTTAGGCTGGTGTCAGATACATGGAAACCTGGGGTGGGAGATCGTTAGGTACAATTATAGGTTGTTATGTGGTTTCTTTCATTCATTAAAAAATTATTTGGGGCACCTATTATATATTATAGCCTATTCTTGGTATGAGAACACTGCAATGGACAATGAAGATAAAAATCCTGGGGTTTATAACCTACCTGGGGGAACAGACATGAGATGGGAAAATGCATGGGGTGCAGGAGAGTGATATGGTGGGGGCTGGGGATCAGAGGGCCAGCTGGTGGGGCAGCAGTAGCGGCATCCCACTCAGGGCCCTGCAGGGACTCACCCAGAGAGCTCCTCCATGATACCAAAGACCCCTCCAGTGCCCAGAAGGCCACCTCCTCCGAGCAGCCCCTTGGAGCCCAGCAGACCCTGGTTTAATGATGTCACTGTGCCCAGCACGTTCTGCAGGATCGGCCCCCCAACCAGCGAGTTCTGGATGGCTGCAGAGGGTGAGAGTAGGAAGGTACTGGAAACTCCTACCCAGTTGCAGGGCCCTGGCAGCTGCCCCTTTCCACTGAGCTCTAAGGAAGTTTCAAGCACTAGGGATTCAGGTCAGGCCCCTGCGCATATTAGGTGAGTGCTCTGAGCTGTGTGCTGGCCCAGGAAGTCTCCTTTTTTTGGAAATGACCCACAGGTTACAGTCAAATATCAGAAACCATGACCACCTCCTGCTTCCACTATAGGGTCATAACCTGTCTGGCACACAGGAGGTACCCAGTGCCTGGGTGGTATGAACGAGTGAATCCTGTCGGCATCCCTTCATTTTGCAGGTGGATAGACTAAGGCCCCGAGAGGGGCAGAAACTTGCCCAAAGTCACACAGTAAATCAGTCTTGGAACCAAAAGTAAAACTTGGGCTTTGGATCCTTGGCTGGCTGGGACACCAAAACGGGAAGACAAAACAAAAGAGGAGGGGGCCTCAGAGGTGTGATCAGGGTGGAGAGGACCCCTCCTTTCCCCAGGACACCAGGGGTGGCCTCCCTGAAGCCTTCATGCTCACAGCCCACTCTACTCCTCAACTGAGACTGTAGTGAGGGCCACAGGGCCTTGGAGCAGCCAGCACCAAATAAAAGGCTACACCCAGAGCCCGCGGGGCAGAGCAGGGCTCAGCAGGCCTCCTCCATGTGGCTTCTCAACCTCCTGTGAACTCCCAAGCCCCAGCACCCCCATGCAGCCTCAGCCAGATGGCCCTGTCCTGCGCAGCAGGAAGGGCAGCAAGTGCCCTCTGCACTCAGCCAGCACCAGCCCCAGGCTCCCATCACTGCTCCCAGAACCCCAGGAACATGGTGGGCTCTTCTGTCCCTCGGAGCAGACACCGCCTACCTGGCCTCACCTTTACTGAGTTCATCCTTGTCAAGCCGAGCGAGTGTTCCCACGGTCTCAAGCAGCCCCTCACACGGGGAAGCCAGGCCCCAGAGCAAAAGCAAGGACCACGGGCCCAGCATCATTGGCCACACACCTGGAAGGAGTGGGGGCAGGGACTCAGACAGGCCTCCTGCCCAAGCCTTTCTGTGCCTGCTTCCCTCTTGTTTACCTGGCGAAGCCCAAATTCAGGTTCACTCCCAGAAAAGGCCTCTCCAGCCAAGCACACAGCAGCCTCCAACATGCTCTGAGGCTCTCAAATCTTTTCTAAGCCTTTCCCTCACTGGATCCCATTTCACAGATCGGAAAACTGAGGCCAAAAGATTGGAGAGGCCTTCACGAGGCCCCAGAGCTAATCAGGGTTAAGGCCGGAATTACAGCCTGAGCCTTGCCGATCTCAATCTCTGTGTGCCTTGGTGAGCCTGTCAGGGGTATGGAGTAAAAGCTGCACTGGAGCCACACGACGATGGCAGGATGAAGGTTGGGGTTCTGGACTGGTTCCTGCCTGCTCATGAGGCCATTTCCAAAGGAGTGGCTGGCTGGAGACCCAAAACACCTAGCCTTAACGTGCCCCGCCTCTCCTGTCTGCCCCACCTCCATGCCAAGTGCTGATGGGGAGATGGGGTGGGGGATGGGAGCAAGGCTAATCATTAGTCTCACGGAACGGTTTTTCTTTATAGATGTCCCCGTCCACCTACCCTGTAATGTGCCCACCTGTCCCCTGATGTCACCCCTGCTGAAACTCTTGTCATTACCCGCCAAGTCCCCACCAGCCTCTTGGAGCACCTTGGCCTTAGGCATGCCTCAGGGCCTTTGCACATGTTCCTTCTGAAGAGAAAAATCTTCACTGCAGTCACTGGTGACTGACCCTTTTCTTTCCCTCTCCCCTTTTCCTTGTCTAGAGAAGCCAGCCAAACCTGAACAGCTCCCAGAATACGTATTTTAAATTGCTCTCACGATGCATTAATGCAGCATGTGACAGCCTCCTCGGTCCTTGCTTGCTATCGCTGCAAGCTCCCTGAGGGCCTGGGACTGTGTGGGGGAGCCCCTGTCCCCTGGCTGCATGCTGAAGAGAAGGGCTGAAACCCCACAGCCTGTGCCCTGGTTCTGGGGCAGCCCAACCATGCAGCACTTTCTCCACTTGATGCAAAGGTGCCCTGTGACACTATCTGTCCCAGCAGCAATCTCGCTTGGTCCAGTTGGCTTCCCTAAGTCTCACCTGTGTCACCTCTGAAATTTCTCATGGAAAGTGGGAAGCCAGTATGGTGCCATGGCTTTAGAGGGAAATGGGGCTCCCTAGAACCAGTGCCCCCATCCTTGGCCACCCTCCGGGTAACCCTGCCCCTCCTAGATGAATTGTCCCTGTGCCCACTACTGAGATGGCATGGCAGGAGGCCAGCTGGCCAGATGCTGGAGTCAGGACAGTCCAGGGGCTGCCTTGGGCAGCCTTACCCGCTGTTACTGCTGCTCCACAGGGGTGGGTGGGGGCTCGGCCTCCGGTCGGTTCCTCCACCATCCTGAGGCCAGGCCAGGCCCTTATATGCACACAGCAGCTCTGGGGACACAAAGGGGGCACAGCCGCCAGGAACACGTCAATGTGTCATGTCACAAGCAAATTGCGGTTTTCCCCAAGGGCTGAACTAAGCCTTCCTTCTGGGGGAGAGGGAGGAGGCTGGGGTGGGCTCTCTGGGGTGGAATCCAGGGTGTAGGGGCTGCAGACACTGCCAGCTCCCCAGAGTTCAATGGGGTGGGACCCTGTCACTCCTGTCCTGGCCCCTGTTGGGCTCACTCCAGGTTTGCAAAGCTATCCCAGGGCACAGAATCCACACTGCCTTCCCCACCTCCTCCCTGAGGCCCAGGAGGGAGAGGAAGCAGCTTGAGGTTGCTGGGCCTCTGAGCCTCTGCCACAGGGACCTGGTGGGGAGCTGGCCGTGGGCCAGAGAAAGGGACTCTGGGGGCTCATGGATGAGGCCACAAACTCTACTTCCACTTCCCACAGCGCACTGTTCCCAGCAACCCAGAGCAGGTGCTTTGCCCCCTTTCAGAGGCTGATTCAGATGACAGTAGAGAGAAATTCCTTCCTTCCTTCATTACTTATTCTACAGCAGGCATCTGTGGAGCATAGAATGCCAGATGCTGGGGACATCACAGGAAGCAAGTGACAGCACCTGCCTGGAGGACTGACTTTGCTCATGCAAAGCTGGTCAAAGTTTTCCAGACGCCACAGTTAAAAAAAAAAAAAAAAAAAATTAAAAGCCAGTAAAATTAACCTCACTAAAATAGTTTTCCTTAACTAATATATCCAGAATATTATCATCTAACACATATTCATCACAAAGTTATGGGGGCTATTCTGCTTTCTTTCTCTCAGATAACGTATACTGACTTTCTCAAATCCACTCACAGCGTTCTAAAACTGGAGCTTGCCACATTTCAGGCAGTCACCACATGAGGCCATAAGGGGGTTCGTGGTTCTAAGGGAACAAATCCCCAGAGGGCAGGGCAGCGCAGGAGCCACACTCAGCGCAGCAGCTGGGGCTGCCGGGGCCGGGCAGCCTGAGGTATCTGCTGCCAGAACCACAGTGAGGCTAGCGGGGTTATGGGGCCACCCCCGTGACCATGTAGACTCCTAGGATGCGGCTCCATTTGCCATTCCTCAGCAGGCGGCTGTCCGGGAGACTCCTCCAGAGCAGATGAAGTGCCACCTCTGTGCCCCCAGTTTCTTTGAAGTTTCCTCTCTCAGAGCTGTGACAAGCCCAGCATGCTCGTGTGTGCCCCACCATGAAGTTGACAGAGGCCTCCAGAGGTCTCCATGTGTGCCCTCTGAGTCACCCCATCCCAGCACAGTCCAGGGGTCCCTGGATGCCAGGTGCCAGCAGTACATGACATGGCGTCCATGCCATTCACCCACATGGTCCTGTGACACCCACCCTGTGCCTTCCCTGTCCAAAGACTGTGGCCTCCTAGATGTGGCTACTGACTGACCCTGCTGTGGGAGTTCCTCACCGAGTCTTTGGGGCTTTGTGTCTTGACTTTCCATTTCTCTTGGGGGAACAACTGAGAGCAGGATCACAGGATCACAGTGTCTTGCGCTCGCTGAGCTATAATAGTGACCACCACAGTGCTCCCGAACAGCCATACGAAGCCACCGCACATTCCCACTCAGATCCATGAGTCACAGCCACCTCTCCATGGCCAGGGGCCACCCACACTCCTAAGTCTGACACCTAGCATTTATTGAGCACTGACTGTGTGACACGGGATATGTGACTGCAACAGCAAACCCGGGGCCATTGGTACTGAGGTTACGTCCTGCTTCCACTGGAGGAGGCGGGGCTCGGGAGGGTGACTCTGTGCCCACAGCCTGGCTGCCGCCTGACTCAGCCTCTGAAGGGAGGAAAACACTAGCAAGCTTCCAAGTTCCCGCCAGACCCCACCCCCAGGGGACTCCAGCCCCTCCCACTCTCCAGGTACCCCCACCACCCCACACATCAAAGCCCAATCAGAATCGGATGTGTGCGAGGGAAGAACCTCATTCAAATCCATGATCCTGGGCCCCCACTGTGGCAACCCTGACTCCATAAGTCGGTGCAGGGACCAGGATAAGCACATTTCCCAGCCTCCAGGGCTACATGATGCGCGGCTATGGCAGTGAATGTGGTGATGGTGACAAGAGCCAGGAAGGGATAGAGCAGAGGACAGAAACATTGCCCTTATTGAATTCTGATGTCATAAATTGGCTTCAAATTCTACCCCATCACTCACTATCAAGTATCAAGTAACTTAGCTCCTAGAGCCACAGTTTCCTTATCTACAAAATGGGCTAACATTGAAGGTGCCACCCTCACTTGGTCCCACTGTGTGGACAAGTATCCTGGGTATCAAGGGAAAGGTGCTAGGGAGCTTTAGATGATGGCAATGCCTCACGAGGCCTTCCTGGGGTGCTGAGTGGAGTCCGGGCAGGAGGTAGAAGGGCAGGGCAGATGTGGCTTGTGGACTCAGGTGTGGGGAGTATCATGTGGGCAGCGTGGGAGGTCCTCAGAGGCTGACAGCTGTGGACCTGACTGCTCCTGGCTTGCCCCATGCCCTTAAAGGATGACAATGCGTTGGCAGCAGGCTGTGGCCCTGGGCAGGTGGGACTCAAGCCCAGCTCCACCCGCATCTGATACTCGTGGGCAGCTCCTCTTCATTATCTAGGATTGAGGAGTCCTGCAAAGTGAGCAGCACCCAGCAGGACAAGGAGTGGGGACACAGGAAGAGGGCTCCCTAGCCCCTACTTCCTGTCCAGGGAGAATCTTGAATAACGGGCCACCCAGACAATGTTGGAGGTCAGGGTGGGGAAACAGATCCAGAGAGGGTCTGTAGTTTGTCTAAGCTGCACTGTGTCCAGGGTCTGGTGAGAACCCAGGCCTTCCCACCCCGAGCCTTGATTTCCCCACCTGTACACAGCTGTAGAAGGTGGCAGAATGGCCTGGGTGGCTATGAGGCTGCCATTAGACACACAGGGCGGAAGTGTGGGGCCAAGGTGGGGGCAGCAGGGTGTCTCCCTGGGGCCTGGGGTCAGATGTCGCCACCCACAGATTACCCAGGCATCTGTACCTCTCAGACCTGCCTCAAGGCTGCCACTGTCCCCTAGCTAGAGAGATGACAGGTGATGGAATTAGGGCCAAAAGACAGCGATAAGGAGCAGCTCTGGCATCCGGACCTCCTCGTTGTGTCATGGGCCTGTGCCAGGCTGGGATGGAGTCCAAAGGCCAGGGCCTCATGGGCCTTGGGGAACCCTGGTCCCCTGCCCAGGCCTATGGCCACACCACAGACACACTCACTCACACCCAGACCCTGCATCCAGACCCTGCCACAGAGACGCAGACAACGACACAAATGCACAGTGTGGACACACAGACGCACGGTCACCACCGCCCCCACCGCAGCTTCCATGCTGGAGCAGCAGCCAACCCCAGGGATCCTGATGTGCTCTTTTCTCAAAGTTATTGGATCTACCTTTTTTTTTTTTTTTTCCTTTTCTTATTTCTTTCTGTTCTAGCAAGTAGCACAGATTTTCAGGATCTACTTAAATTATTTTTAACTTAGTTATGTTAAATATGCATTCACTTTAAAATGGATCAATTTAAGAATATTAGAGCTGGGACATACTCAGGGGTAGAGCGCCTGCCTGGCATGTGTTGGGTTCCATCCGCAAAAGCACACCCTCCCCGCAAAAAAGTGAAGCCAGGAGATGAAGGAGATGAAGGGAGCAGATGCAGTAAATGTCAAGCTCTGATCCCCCCACGAGGTGGGGCAAGGGAACGCCCTCAGGCTGCTCCCCGGCGCATGCTCACTATGTGCACGCACGTGATGTCTCACGGCCACTGTGACGGAAACCCCTGCGGCCATCCTTCTCAGCCTCTGGCTGGAGACCTCCTGTGCTAGGTCTGTCTGTGGGCCAGGCACCATGCTCAGCATTCTGAATTATTCCATTTCTTCAGCCAGCCCTGCTGAAGTCAGTATTGACAATATCCCTTTGTACAGGTGAGGAAAGTGAGGTTTGTGTCAAGAAAGTGACTCACCTGCCACCCTCAGCAGCTGCAGCCGGATGGCAGAGCTGAGATTTGAACCCAGCAGGCTGGCTCCAGAGCCCAAGTTCCAATCCCGCCTCTGCCTTCAATTTGCCAGATGGCCTTAAGCCTACACCTCTCTAAGCCTCAGTCCCCTCATCAGCAAAAGAGGGACAGTCCTTGACTCCTCAGCTGTTGTGAGCATAAAGGGAGGAGACAGGCAGAAAGCTCTGTGGGGACACAGGTTCCCTATGAATGTAGTGTCCTCTATCAACTTGGTGGCAGAGAGCTAAAGCAGGAAAAGCTTTGCCCTTGCTAAGGCATGTGAACTTGGACAAGGCCACTGACCCCTGGGCTTCAGGGTCCTGTCATCTGTGTGGGTGACAGGAGACTACAGGTGAGCTGGATGGTATAGGGCATGGGCATGCTCCAGCCCACCCCAAGGCTGTCAACAGCTGTCCTCACACCCCAAATGAGTTTGGACCTCAAACCCACTAAAGAGGAGGAAAAGCCACACATCAGCTTGCAACAAAAGAGACTAAAGCATGGATTCTGTAAGGGCTTTTCTCCAGTTTATTGCTAAGCCCCAACCCAATCCTGTCCCACTCTCTCCTCTTCACAAGAAGTGGGGTCAGGGCCAAGCCGCAGGCTCTCATCGGGCAGCTCCACTACAGGGTGTAGGGTAGGAGGTGTGCAGGCAGGGAGTCCTGTGTGGTCAGGCCTCCTTCAAGTCCAGCACCAGGGCATTCTGGCAGGAGAAAAAGGGCCAAGTAGAGGGGGTTGGCAACCATGACAAGGCCACCCAGGCACAGGGAAAAGGCAGAGCTGGATCCACGCTCAGGAGATAGAAACCAGCACAGTGATTACACCAAGGTTGAAGTAGACTCCCTTGTGACCCTAGAGTGGGCCCTTCCTTTCTCTGGGCCTCAATTTTCCCACCTGTTAAGGGAGGGCACCCAACCCTACCTCCTGGATTAGAGGGATGGGATGGGGGAAACATACATTTAATACTCCATGCTCAAACCTAGGTCTGCAATGAGAAGCCTGTGTTTATGGAACACTTACTAGCTTCCTGGGGTGATTTATCTTAGTGAATCATAGCCACAGCTCTGTGAAGTCAATGCTCATATTTTCATTCCCACTTTAGGCACAAAGGGAGGCATAGAGAGGGGTCAAGCAATTGCCCAACATGGCAGATCAAGAGCATAGCAGAATTTCTGGGGAATCCGTAGCCAAGAAAGGTCTCCAGATTTTGGGGGATAGGATCTTGCTCCCGGGGTTGGCAAGATTATATTGATGATCACTGGCTCTCCCCAGTACCATTCCCTTTAGATGGAGGGAAGTGAGTTCTTGCTCGTCACCCATTGGCTGAAAGGGTGATTGACATGTCCTCCCAGCCCCGTCCCTCACCTCTATTATGTCCAGTTCGGCCAGGTCATAGTTGATAGCTAGAAGATCTGGGAGTGGGAGCCCCACTTGGAATACATCTGAGAAATACAGAAAGCATCATCGTACCCTGACTGTTCTGCAGTTGATTAAGAAGCTTCCTAGACCAGACAGGAAATAGTACAGTGATCAATTTATGTCTGCCAACTGCATAAACAAGGATGTACACATCTGCCATGTACTTACTCCCAGGTCAAAATCTCACTTGACATAAGGTCAAGGGTTGGAGTCTGATATGTGGGGTGGGCCTTTGCCTCTGGGCAGGTGATAGTAATACTGTACTTGTCTCAAAGATCAATGATAGCCATCCAGTCACTCCCTTTGGCTTCCTTCATCTGCACTCAGCAACTGGGCATTGAGACCACTCAGCGGGTCTCCCTTCTTGCTTAAGATGCTTCTTGCGCTGGTAAAATGAAGCCTCACCATTGACCACTGGGGTGTAGGCCTCTTGGAGATAATCCGTGATGAAGTTAGTTAATTCGTTTTCCTAGGGGAGAGAAAGAAAGAAAACATACACATGCCATTGCGCAAGCCATTGAATCCAGTAAATCTAATCCAACCCAATCCAAGGCAGTGCAATGTAATACAATACAATGCAATGAATTTATTCTGCGTCCCTCTGGCTAGGCCTGGGGACCACAGCAATGGATTTTGGAGACATCAGATAGTTGTCCAGATAGCATCAAAACTGGGGCTCTGTGTGCCTCTGCTCAGTCCCTGCTCAGGGGACATGTGGGGCCTCAAGTTATGATGCAGGAGTGGGGGAGTTCAGGAGACAGAGGTGGTGTTGTAGACTAACTCCTACGCCAAGGGAAAACCCAGCAGCTGTGATCAGTTATCTGCCTACCACCTGCCTGTCTCCATTTCCCTGGCTGTGAAATTAAGGTACAGTAGCACCTATTCATGGGATTTCTGTAGGGCTTCAATACATGCAACAAGGCACAGGACCCAGCACCTGCTGGGGGCAGGTTCGGAGTTGGGCCTGAAGCTCTAGAAACAAACAAAGATAACAGGTAGGCCAACTGATGCCAGCCCAGGCTGCCACTATCCATGGCAGTGTTTCAAAAATCAATCCTAGGAGATATCTCAATTCTATCTAGAAAAGGAAACAGGGACTCAGAGAGGTTAAGGGACTTTTTCCAAGATCACAAAGCAAGTCAGGAGCCCCAAACTTCCGAATTGACTTGCTCTGTCCTCCCAACCTCTGTGCCAATGCCTCTTCCCTGGTAACACAGAGGAACCAACACAGTCTTGGTCTCAAACCAGACAGACCAGGCAACACACATAGGACACTTACGTTGAACTTGCCAACTGATGAGGATCCCCGGGACAGGCTCAGTACTCTGTGGGGAGAAATGTTGGTCAGAGCCATTATCTCTGGCCCTGGAAAAAGAGGATCTCAGCATTTCCAACTCCTCCCTGATGCAAGGGTTCCCCTTTTGGCCTTCAAGTATATGTGAGTCTCAGTTTGCCTGTCACCTCTGATGGAACACAGAGCAGTTGTCTGTCCCCTCCATTCTCTTCCCACAGCTCAAATCTCCAGCTCTCCTGGATCAGGGAGAGAGCCTGGAGCAGGAAGCTAAGTGATGCTGGCGGTGCCCTTGCTGCTCTGGGGATGCCAGCCTGGGCCAGCAGAGCCTACCTGTTCAGAGAGGTGGCCAGCTGTAGCCGGTTCTCATGCACAGAGTACTGGATCCTCAGATTGAAGTGCTGGTGTGAAGAGGAAGCAGAGAGAGAGAGCAGAGGTCCGCAGTAGGAACTCCACCTCCAAGGCAGAGCAGGAACCCTCCTCTCCATCCTGCCCCCAGACAGCGAACCCAGCAATCCCCACACTCATGGTCCAAGCTTCTGACGATTTGTGGCCAGGGCCACAGCAGCATCACCCGGTGTACCTGGCACCCCGGAGGGTACCTGCACACACTGTGGACCTTTGCCATGCTGTGACCTTCACTTGAAGTGTCCTCCATGCCCTGCCTCAACATAAGCACTTCCCCTGGCCAGCTCCTTCTCAGACTTCAACCACTCTCAGCTGTCACATGCTCTTGGAAGGCCTCTGTGATTCCTCACACTGGGTTTGTGGTCTCTCAGTCTCCCATAGTTCCCTCAGAGACCTTATTCCTGACTTTACTGCTGCTAAGAAATGATATAGGCAGGATGGAGGGAGTGAGGAAGGAAGAGCTACCTCACTGGGCCATTATGTCTGATCTGTCCAGCCACTACAGGTCCAAGGGCAGAGCCAAGGCTCAGAGAGGTGACAGTGCCCAGGTCAGGCCACACAGCTGAGATGAATTAAGAATACCCCATCTACTTTTGGGCTCTCATTGAAGCTCTCCCACCCCCACCCCACCTGGATGTCTTTGAGGCTGGGCATGAGTGGGACAGACCCTACTCACCAGCTCCAGGAGGAAGAGGGATACAGGGCGCTTGCCCCGCTGAGCAGCAAACATCTCCAGGGTGCCGTGGAGGTGCAGCAGACTCTGTCCTGACTTCATGGTGACCTTGGGGGACTTATTTATCTTGATCTGGGTCACCAAGGGCTTTGGCTTGGGATAGATCTTGGCCACCTACAGAAACCAGCAGGCTTTACTCAGGGCTTTGGACAGGGCTTCATTCAGAACCAAGAGTCCCTCATGAACAAGCTGACTTCTTGGACACAGGAAGTGTGACATACAATGGTGGGATGTGCCTCTCAAGGGACACAAGGAGAAAAACATACAATGTAACCGTCTCTGTATCAGAACAAGGAAGTAGCAACATGGAAAGGCTGAGCTGTTTCAGTGCTGGACCTTAAAGATACTTTATGGAGAAGCTAGGGTGTTTCCATTTGGGACAAGGCACGTGTGGCATTGAAAAGCTGCTTCCCAACCCCCACCCCCCCGCAGTCCCGTCCCGGTCCCGGTCCCGTGCAGTGCTCTTTGGTTAGCACTCACCACAGGGAGGAAGTCAGCCAGGGTCCCTGTGGTTTGTGGGGGCAGCTCACCAATCTGCAAAATCAAAGTCAATGCTGGGGAAGGAAGTTCCCCACGCCCACCCTAACAACCTCTCTGACTCAATGCTGTGCTCCCTCTGAAGCCCCCTCTGTCATTCCATTCTCCATTCCAACTGACCCGGACAAGGAGCTTCTGGGTAGCCCAGACCAAAGCCTACAACTTCCAGTTCCTGAAGATCTCATCATGAGGTCAAATGCTGGGAAAATATGGACACATGGAAAAGCAGGAGAGCAGAGGGCAAAACTGATAGATGCAGTGGACAAGAGGAGTGAGTGGGTGGGTTCAGGGATGGGTAGCTACAGGGACAGTGAATGAGCAGTTGAGTAAGTGAATAAATGAGAGGATGGATGGACTGGGGGAAGGAATGGCACATGGATGGATGATGGGTGGATGAATGGGTGAGTGGGTGAATGAAAGCAATGAGGAATGGATGGATGGTGAGTGGGTGAATAGGAATGATGAGCAGGAGGAAGAGGATGGGAAGATGGTGCAATGGGAGGAGGAGTGACAAACTAAAGGAATGGATGGAGGGTGGATGAGAGGCACATGGTGGATAGCAAGTGGATAAAGAGAGGCCAAACTATCAGTGATAGAGGGATACAGAGATGGAGGCTGAGGCAGATAGAATGGGTGGATGAGCAGGAGAACACATCATGAAAAGCTGGGTAGGTATACACAGGTGCGGGTGGTGAGTGGCAGGTGCACAGATCCACTTATTCAACAATATCAGGCCCTGTTCTGGGTGCTATGTGATGGCAGGAAGGGACAGGTGGGTTGCTGTTTGGGAGGACAGAACTAGGCTGCGATTCCCAAAAGCTAAACACAAGTATAATTTGAGGGATTATTTTTCCTTAGATGGATGAGTGGGTGGGTGACCATTGGGCAGAAGGAGGGGGCTGACCACGGTACAAGAGATGCAGATGAATAAGTAGTCAGATGTCTGGACAGTCGGACATGGACATGCACACAGAAGGATGGTGGATGGTGGAAGAAGTCACAATAAACCCAAGCTCAAGACCCAGAGCACAGGCTCAGGGTGTGAGTGAGACCACCTGGGGGCCTGCAGATCCTGAATAGACCCAGAACCCAGGCCAGACGTGTGAGTGAGACCGCCTGGGACTGGGGCTGCTGGGTCCTGAATCAACCCAGAGCCCAGGCCCGGTGTGTGAATGAGACCACCTGGGGCCCACTGGATTCTCATTCGACCCAGAGTACAGGCCCAGCATGAAACCCTTCAGCAGAACTCCCTGCAAAGAGGTTAGAGGCAAGACCCACCCGGCTGATTCAGAAGCAGAATTTCTTGCCAGAGTGACACAAAGGGTTTAACTCCAACAGCTGCAGCAGAAAGAAGTGGAGCACAGCAGCCAGACTCCAGCCAGATCCAAGTAACACCCATCTGGAGGAATCTGAATTTCGAAGATCCGGACCAGGTGCTAAGGTAATAACTCTAAGCTCTACACCAAAGGTCAGAATACAGTGGTTAAAAAAAAAAAAAGCCCCTAAAAAACAGTGGTATACAAAATGACAAAGAAAAGGAACAAAAGGCAGTCTCAGGCCCCAAGTCCACCCAGTACAATTGCAGAAGACACTAGCATAGAGGAAACTGGAAATCATACACCTGAAATAATAGCATTGGAAGTAAAGAAACAACTGCACAAAGGTGTAGAAGAAATCAGATCAGAAATAATTTCTGAACTAAAAAATGTAGTGATAACTATAATCAAAGAAGAACTAAGTGCTTCTAAAGAATAAGCAATATAGGAAACCCCTGAATAAGCAATATAGGAAAGAAATAGAATGTATGAAACAGATTCAAAGTGATATACAGGAAATTAAAACCTCAATCACAAGCTGGCAAAACCATTTGAATGAAAGTGAAAATAGACTTTTTAACCTTAAAGACACCATTGTAGCTAGTGAAAAAAGAAAAGATCTCTTAAAAACAACTAGGATGCAGGAAAAAATAATTCAATACCTGCAAGATGATGCAAAGATGTACAATGTGAGACTAATAGGCATCAATGAGAAGGAAAGAGTCAATACAAATGATATAAAAAGAATATGGGCAGAAGTTGGAGCAGGGAGATAGCTCAGTAGAATAAGTGCTTGTCTGGCAAACACAAGGGCCTGAGTTCAATCCCCAGTTCCGTAAAAAAAAAAAAAAAAGAATATGGGCAGAAGTAATAGCAGAAAACTTCCCAAATATGGGGCAACAATCTGACATTCAGTAACCAAAGCATATAGAACTCCAAATAACATCAACCCAATGAAAACCACACCCAGACATATAATAATCAAGATCCCAGAAATTCAGCACAGGAACAGTATACTAAAAGCCACTAAAGAAAAGAAACAGATCGCATTTAAAGGAAAACCCATCAGAATAACGGCAGATTTCTCTTCACAAACCATCAAGTCAAAAAGAGCATGGAGCAAAATACTTCAAGTCTTGCAAGAAAACAAATTCCAACCCAGGCTGATATACCCTGCAAAACTCTCTTTCAAGTATAATGGAGAAGTGAAATACTTCCATGTCAAAGAATAACTAAACAATTTCATGATGACAAAGCCAAGCCTACACAGACTACTAAATGATGTTCTAGAGAGGGAGCAAATTGATCACAGCCCCATGAATGAGAATGGAAAGAACCCACCAAATAGGGCAAACAATTAAACACAGGAGAATAAGAGGTGTACAATAGTAGTCTTTCAGTTATTCTTTTGTGTTCAGCAGCAGAATATTTCCATGAGCACACTCTACAAATGGACTTCTCTTCCACCCTATGGGTCATGATTCCATCTGAGTCTACAGGGTAGATTTCAAAGAAATAGCTATATCTCAGTCCCACAAGTGATGCCTGGCCACCAGTAACTGTCATGGTCATTATGTATGTCCACAACACACTAGAACTTTGTGCAATATCCTATCCTCAAACTGGTCATTAGAAGTGCTGGTCATTTATTTGCCATTCAGGTATTTATCTTATGTTTTACTCTTAGTACTTCTTTGCTGTCATGAAAACTTTTTCTTAGTTCAATTGTTTTGAAACATTTAATTTTTAATTAATTAGTATTTAATTTTGTGAATATTGCTTAATCTTAATTTTTGCTCTAAGATTTATACTATATCTTTGACTTACAATGTATTTAAAAGACATCCTATGATATCTTCTCCTGGTATGAGAAACGTTAAAAAGTATATTTCCATTTTCTGTTGACTTTATATTACTTCTTCCCTGTCTTTTACACACATACACACATATATATGAAAAAAAAGATGTGTATAACCCAACATAAGATTGGTACTGTTTCATAGAAATCTTCAATGACCTTTAAATAAGGGTTCATCTAATGTATCTTTTATATAGTCCTGCATAACTATCATATTAAGAGCTCTTTATTGTTCATCCAGGAGCATACTGCAACTTCTCTTGCCTTTTGAATTATGCTCTTTGTTATTTCCTATATGCTACTTCTGGAGGTATTAAAATATTTCAAGTTTGTATAACTAGAAAATCTTACTTTAAGTTTTCAAAGGTACGTTTGCTAAGTATAAAATTCAAAGAGGACAGATCTTTTCTTTCAATCCTTTAGTTAGTCTAGTTTCTTACACACTTGGTCCTTTTTTTTCTTTCTAATATGGAATAAGATGTTATTTAATTTTGTTCTTCCATAGCTAATATTTTTTATGTATATGCTTTAATGATTTTTTTTCTTTACAATAAAGTTTTGAACAATTTCATTTTTGTGTATCTTGGTATGATTTTATTTAAATTCCTTGTGCAAAAATAAATAAATAAACAAACCCTAGCCCAGACTCCTTCCAGTTCTAGTGTGTCCCACAACCCAAGACCTTGTCAGATGGATAAGCAGGCAAAGACTGTCACAAAAAGAAGAGGCAGATAGGGCAGGCCCTGGGCAGCTCACCATCTTATCCTGGATTTTCACATCCAAGGACTTCTGTAGCAGGCCCAGCTCTGCTGTGAGGAAGGCAGCTGACAAGAGTAGCTGGGATGAGCCTTCGGCATAGTCCTCGGGGAATTCCAGGGCCTCCTCGGTGTTGGCCAGAGGGATAGTTTTGCCCATTTGCTGCTGCACCAGGGGCTGTAGGCAGTCAAAAGGAAGACAGTTGGCTAAGAGGGACAGAGGCTGGGTGAGCTTAAACCAGGCCCCAAGTCAGCAGGTCACTAAATGTTAGAGCCACTGCAGGCCACTGTGGCCCTCCCAAGGTACAGTGGATACACTGAGGTCCAAGAGGACAAGGGCATCAATCACTACTTTGAGCCCTCATTTATCCAGATATGGTTTCTACTTTATTCTCAGGAGCCAGAGGAGATGGGTGGTCAACACAGGACCACTGTTCAAGCCCCACTCAGGGGAGCGGTCACAACGCAATGAGTTCTTAGGAGTTTTGTCCCCATTCTTTGATGATACATCTCACCTCACCTCCTGAGGTTCTAGAGACTTAGTTGAGGACCCTACTTTGCCCCCCAATTCACTGTGGCTGCTAGCCAAGCCCTGCCTCCCCTGAGTCCCAGAGGTCCCACATGGCTATACAATGACAGGGCACAAGTGGCAAGCCCCCCTCAGTGGGAGAAGCAATAGCCATGGGAGAGTGTGAGGATAAGGTAGGCACCATCCTCACCCCAGAAATCAGCTGGTGGACTCAAGATTCATGCTTAAAGCAGAAATCAAGAGACATTAGGAGACAGTGTCATAGAAACCTGGTCTCCAACCCCAAAACCCCTTCTACCCTCCTGCCCACCCCATCTACCCAACTAAGTGTAGAGTTCCTTACACTTAGGAACTTTAGTGAGTAAGTTCCTAAGTCCCTCAGGCCCTGGAACTTACACTAAAGTCCACCTGGACATGGCTGGCTGTTGTGGTCGGTGCGGATGCCAGAGCATATTTGACGGTGCCCATACGGCCCACAGACACAGGGTCTGTGAAGAGGAGGTTCTGCTCAGAGAGGTGCCAACCCCAGGGCAGCCCAGAGAGGCTGCACTGGCCAGCTGCTCCCTGATCCTGTGCCTCTCTGTGACCCAAGGCTTCAGCTATAGCATGGAGGCTCTGGGGTTGGGCTGGAAGTCACACTGCTCTTCAGGGACAGATCCCCACACTCTCCAAGGGTGTCACAGCCTGAACTGAGGCGGAGTGGTGGGCTACAGCATTGGCTATCTTACAGATGATCAAACCGAGGCTCAGAGGAGAGAAGGGACTTTCCAGGCCATGATGCCAGGGGCATGAACCAGGTTTATCTGTCCCAGCTACTGGGATGTGTTTTTACCCACACTAGGATGGCCTGTAAAACCCAAAATGATGGAAGCAACAGGTCCCCTTGGTAAAGGCAACTCCAGCATTGCTCCTCACAGCTGGTTTGGCTCTGCAGGGCAAGAGGCTTGGGGATACATGCAGAATGGCTGAAGTGCTTGGGACCCCAAGGATGTCAGAGGGAATACTGCATTGAGAGATGAGAAGGGAAGACCCAGAAACCCTGGGGCCTCAGGCTTTCCATCTGGGCATTGAGGCTGGACACTCAGGCCTCAGGCCTCTTCCACCCCCAAGGCTGGGCTGGGAGTTGCCACTTGAGTGGGCAGCAGGGGGTGGAATCACAGCCATCCTGCTGTCTGAACATGGGCTGGGGTGACTGGGGCAACACTCACTATTCAGGCTGGCCCATCTCTCGTTCACATACACCAGTACTGCATCGATGGCTGGACACATCTGGAAGCCAAGGAGTCACAGATTGAGAGGCCTCACTCCTCACAGATCAGTGGAGCTCCAGAGGAACAACCTCAAGAGTGTGATGGGATTGGCACTGGTAGGGAAACTGAGGTCCAAGCCACACAAAAGTCAACGCAGAGTTTGAACTAGGACCCAGATCTGACAATGGCCTGCAAAATCAGTGAGGTCTCACTCCCCAGAAGCTGATCCTCTAAGCAGGGCTGGCAAGCTGGGACATGCGAGCTGCTCTCTCCCCCAACCCTGGCTCCTGGACACCATGTAGATGAACATGCCACTTCCAGGCACTGAGCTGACACCACCTCTGAGGCCTTCTCAGCCACTATGCACCAATGAAAGCCAACAGCTAAATCCACCCAACATAAGCAGGGTCAGCCAGGCCACACTGGGCCACTCACTCACCAGGCTGGGGAGGACTTTGTGCAGGGTGCTATCCAGGAACTTGTTGATCACCTTGGGCAGCATGCTGGGCACAGGCACCGGGACGGGCAGGCAGCACACCAAGATCAGGGTGTTGGGCAGAGGACATGAAAGGCCATGATTAAGTCCCATGTCTTGGGGTGGGGAGCAGTGTGGACCAGCCCTCCTCCCAGCCACAGCGCTCTCACTTGCTTGGCAGGTTGGTCTTCACGCTGACCAGGATGATCTCACAGTCCTCACTCTTGAACATGGGGAGTCCGGTCTCCTCATCCTGCAGAAACCGGTTGGTGGCTGTGATGTTCAGGACCACGATGATCTCCATGTTCCCTCCCGTGAAGCTGGAGATCGAGGCAGGCGGGCATCATGGGCATCTCTGCCACTCTCCCTACCCCTCTTTGCTCACAATCTCAGCATCTCTGAGAGGGGAGGAGGAGAGGGGACCACCCTCAGGCACAAAAGGGGAGAGGATCTGCCCAAGTCACACACCCACACTTTTCCCCTCTTGTTGACTGGGGGAACCCCAGCAGGAGCTTCAGTTGTGCAGCTGTCCTCTCCAACCCAAAGCCTTTCCTGATGCCTTTCTCCCTTGCTCAGCGCTTCCCCTCTTCTAGACCAACTGTTCGGTCTATGGTTGTGCTCAGTCCAGTCCCCATCAAAGTGAGAACCAAGTGTGCATCATCTCAGATCCCGGTACACGGCAGAGCCACAGTGACTGTGCCCACAGGGCTGAGACATTCCCTGTCCCAGGACTCACCTCTTGCCAGTGATGGTCATGCCTGTGGCCACACACTGGAAGATGCCTACTCCAGGTACAAAGTTCAGTGTGATGACAGGTGTGATGACATCTTTGACCTTCATACTGGAAGGGCACAGGCATCACAGTGAAGAGCACTGCGCAGACAAGGTCCGGGCTCTCAGCCCCAGCCTCTGCCCCTCTGGGAGGCCTTGCCATCCCTTCCATGCCATATTACAGCCTTCTCCTGGGCACACCATGAAATTCTAACAAAAAGCCCTCATCACATGGGAGGTGAGACACGTGACTATGTGACCTTGGTCCATCCCTTCCCTCCTGGAGCCTCAGTTTCCCCATAAATAAAGTGGACTTTGCTTAGGTCAGGGCTCCTCAGCAGTAGCTAAGAGGCATTTGGGGCAGTTCAATTCTTCATCACAACAGGCCGTTCTGTCCTCTCCACAGGAGGATGTTTTATAACGTTCTGACCACAAGCTCCTGGATGCCAGAGCACTGCCCTGCGAGAGTGACAATCAAAATTGTCCCCTCGGGAGCACAGTCACCCCAGTAGAGAACCAGTTTGTACAGGCTAAGGAAGATATGGTTCATGCATCTCCACCTGCCTCTGCTGAGCTCTCAGTGGGCACTGCTAGCCGGTCCCCAGTGCCATCTCCTGCCGAGTCCCAGTGTGCCCAAACCTCCCCTGTGCAGTCCCACATGGTCCTCATAACACAGGACCAGTTTCCTCCTGTTGTTAGCTGGTAGTTGGTGCCTATCCAGCCCTACCACTGGCAATATCCTCACTTAATTCCACACAAACTCAGGGATCTCATGGTGTGTGTAGGGAGTTAGAGGCTGACTTTCCACTATCAATTCCTTCTCAAAATGACCCTGCTTATGTCCCACATGGGAGCAAGCACTTACCCAAGTCACACAGCAAAACAGCAACAGGCAGGGAAGAGATTGCAGGCCCCGGGCAGCTGTCACCCACCATCTTGGGCCTTTGCCACAGAGTCCCACCCCAATCCTATCTATCCCCTACGCCACTTCTGCTTACTTGCTCAGGCCCTTGATGGGTTTAACCCCAGGCCGCTTCTTTCCTGCCTCCGCTGCCATCTTTTCCAGGATGTGACTCTCCTCCATGGCCCTCTGGACCTCTGGGGGGACAGGATCAGAAAGACGCTTAGCTGGGCTTCCTGCTCTGCCCTGCATGGCACGAATATCTTGAGCATCCCAAGCCATTTATAATCACTGTGCCCCACTGGGCTTGGCAATGCCAGGGATCTAGAGATGGGTCATGCCCAAACCCTGCCCTTCCCTAATCTACTGGAAAGAGTCTCCAGCAGTGACTTTCACTAGTGACAAAAGCCATAACTGAGGTAAGTACAGGCAGCTATAGAAGCCACATGAAGGGTTTAAGGTCAGAAGGAAAGAGCTGGGGAAGTCTGCCAGGAAGAGGAATAGGAATTTTACCCAGGAAGAAAAGAAACAAAGGATGACCTGCTGGGCAGAAGACACAGCAAGAACAAGGCCAGGGAGGGGAAAAGCAGGAAGGGGATGGAAGAGTGAGAAACCCTTGCAGCTGGAATGTGGAGAGAACGCAGGAACCAGTTTGCAGAATGCATGCCGTGGAGGCCCTGAGCCTCAAACTAGCGCTTCAGCCCATCCCTGTGACCCAGGTCGCCCAAGCTGAGCAGTCAGGGCTCATCTGGGAGCCTGTTAAAATGCAGGTTCTGAGTAGAAAAGTATAAAAACGAAATATAAGAAGTAAAGCCATGCTGTTATGTTGAGCTGTAGGGGACTCAGGTCAACAATTTGTGACATTGCCAGTCAAGCGGAAGACCCAATACTATTATGGGCTACTGGACTCTTTTAGAATATTTTGCTGAGTTTACACACCTATAATATTCAAATAATGGATCTTAACAAAAAAAGGGTATACAGATGAATGTCCATTTTGTATCTGTGTATTCAAAGTGGTTAGGATAGATATATAGCTACATTCTCTTAATGAATAGAATGATTTGTTCTAATAGTGTTTGTAAATAGGATATCAAGTCCGCATCTTGTACAGCAATTAACCACTAAGAAGAATGTATGCAGTGTGTTAATTATTGAAACTGTCCTACCGATTTGATTTGAAACTGTCTCATTGCTATTTATCAATAAAATTATGGCAAAAAAAGATATAGATATCCTGCATAATCCAAAATCTGTTAAAATTGAAGATATACAAAAAACTACCTAGTAATAAAATCTCAGGTCATTGCAGACCCACTGGAAAAACAAACAAACAAAAAAAAAATGCAGGTTCTGGGCCTGACATCAAGTGATGCTGACTGTCCAGGGCAGGAGGTGCCAACCCCAAATGACATCCTGACAGAAACCCCTCCGATGTTCACAAGCTGATTCCCAGAAAGGGGACAAATTCTCAGCTGCACAGACAATCCTTAGTCTTGTATAACTGGATTTTACTCCATTTTTCACCAAGGTGGCGGGGGGGGGGGGAGATTAAAAAATAAATTTGTAAATTTGTAAATCCTCTTCCAGGGGATTTTAACTTCATATTTCATTTTGTCCTGCCAGGAAAAGACTGACCTTTTATGTTTATTTACATTTACGGATGGGCAAACAGCAACACAGATGGGGAGTGACTTGCTTGAGGTCATACAGCAAGTTGATGACAGAACTGGGATTTCACCTACATCTGTCACTCCCACAGCCAAGATATGGCCACCAACCCCTGAGATCAAGCCCAGGAGAGACCCCTAAAGCAGGTTTTTCAACTCTGATTCTAACTAGAGGGAGCTTTGGGCCTTAATTTCCCCTTCCACAGAATGGGAGAATTGTGGACACATTGTATGGGTTTGGTTTGAAGACTATAGGGTGCTCAAGGGCCGCAGCACAAGCACAATCTCCCTCCACAGCCTGAAAGCACCTCCTGCGGGCTCACCGTGGTTCATGATGTCCATGCCCAGCCGAATCAGCGCCCCTGGGTCAGCCCGCACTCCAGGCAGCAGGCCGAAGAGCGCCAGACACAGGATCTGCAGCATGGCTCCACCTGTGTCCAACAGCCTGGATTGGAGGCAGCCCACCAAACCTTTGTCCCCCAGTGTGTCCCAGGCCCCAAAGCAGGTGGGACCTTAGATACTATGGAGCCAGGAGCCTTTGTACTCCAGTCAGCCAGCCATTAAACATCACCATGGCCTTCTCCCAAGGAACCAAGGACCACCCACATGCAGCACAGGGCTCTGGCGTCACCCCACAGTGTGCTTTCCTCTCTGGGCCTCAGTTCCTGCATGGGCTTGATGCTATCTGACCAGCTCGCATTGCATGTTGGTAGGAGATTCGCTCAGAGCATTGCCTAGGTTCAGTGTAGAGCCACACTGGTGCGCAGGGAAGTGCCACCTGCCCAAACAGGGGCTCCCATGGCAGCAGCCACATACCAGTAGCACTGCCACCCCTCCCACACAGCCGCCTTTCCACACAGAGTCCCAAGTCTCAGTCAAAACCCCTGAAGGTCTCCTAAGACATAGTCTCACCAACAGTACAGCTGAGGCTCACACAAAGTTTTACAGCCAACAAATAGCAAACTCATTCAAGATCTCCATGAGAATCTTGAGATTCAAGGCTCCCAAGGAACTCTGGCTCCACCGCTGGTGCCAGAAAGCCCCCTCCTACTCACCGAGACCTGAAATCCTCCTGCCTAGAACCACGAGTGTGTGCTGGTTCACGCTTTAGCTGCTGAAGGGAACCAAGGAGGGGTTCATGGTGGTCTGGCCTGTCAGCCTGGAGGGCGGCCTCCCAGCTGGTCTCTGGCTGACACTGGCCTCGAGGGCCCCTGGATCCCCAAGAGTTAAGACAAGCCCCTCATAGGCCATCTGCCCCCCAGCCCCTGCCTGGGCCTGTGCCCCTCACGCACTCCATCATATGCCCACCACATGGCAGGCGGGTGGGAGTGCACCATCCTCCATACCATCCTGCCACACTTGGACCATAAAGTCTGGAGGGAAGGCAGAGGAGAAAAGATGATGCCTAAGGGACAGAGAACTCATGAAGGATTCCCCAGGAGAACACATTTAGGTAAAAAGCAGCTGAGTATAAAGAGATCACAATGGCTATTCACTGAGGGAATACAACGTCCTTTTCTGTTTTGTCCCTATCAACTGAACAAGCATCTGGGCTGGAAAATGGTGGACCTTAGCTTTTCCTGGGCTGCTGGGAACACAAGCATGTGCCCTGCGTCCTATGCTCCAGGGCAAACCTCTCTGGATGCCAACCAGAGAAGGCCTGCAGCAGTCTGTTGGGCACCCGGGGGGAATGGGCTTGTTAGGTCTCCTCCAGCCCCAGCCCACCATGGATGGGAGCGCAGTCCCCAGCTCCTCTTCTTCAGCTGGAACCCACACCAGGCTCTGGTGACTTGAGGCAGGAATCTTTGCTGTCTTAGTATAGAAAAGTGACTTAGGGCAACATGGCACTCAGGTATTTCTGGGAGAAACAGTTAATGCTGGAGGGTTTTTTTCTTGACTGTGCTTTGGCCTGAGATGTCCTTCCTTTTAGAATGCATGCCCGCCCTCTACCTGCCTGTCATCTGCACATCTTTCAAGGCCTATCTCAGCCCTGGCTCCTCCACCAGGAAGCCTCTCCCTAGACCCCTGCTGTCTATCTCTAGCCTTTGCTGTTTTCTCCTCCCCGTCCTCTGCCCGCCACATGTTCCTAGGGTCCCCAAGCAGTTACCCAGCTTAGCTCTGAGCTCCTACAAAGCAGAGCTGGGGGTTCCCTTCCTGATCCCCTCTTAGCTGCTGAACCTGTTACCTCCTTGACCTTCCCTGAGCCCAGCACACTTGGTGGTCACGGTGTCCAGAGACTGCCTGTGAGGTGAGCAGCACTGGGGGTATCAGGACAGGGATGCAAGCTCTGGCCCTGCCACCCTGTGACCTCAGGCAAGTCCCTTCCCCTCTGTGGGCCTCAATTTCCTCATCTATAAAATGACACTACTGGATGAGACTCTCTGGGGAGTCCCAGGCAGGGCACTGACCTTACCTTGACAAGCCCACGGAGTTCTGCAGCTGACTGACACCTGCCTCCAGCCCTGAAATGAGGAAACCCTTATATTCAGGAGCCTGATCAGCAGCTTGGATAATTAAGGGCTTAATAAGGGCCAGATAATTATCTAGAGGCCCGAAAAACAGGAGCCTGGTGCTCACGTGATACTTTAGTCTGTTCCAACGTAAATAGCATGGAGGACAAAGGTGTCTGGAAAGCCTGGTGGCTGCACAGGGACAGACACTGGGGAGGGGATGTGGTTGACTAGGCGGGTATCAGTGTTCATGCTGTCCCCTCTCCTAGTCCCAGCATCAACTCTGAGGCTGGGCACATCCTAGACATAATCACTCCTGTAATAAACATCTGTTGAGTACTGCTGGGTGCCAGGCCCATGCAGGGTACTGGGGGGACCATAGGGGCATAAAGCACATAAAACACTTTTGCCCACAGAGGACTCCTGGAGCCCACAGGGCAGGATGGGTACCATAGAAAACACCATCACAAAACTGCGTCATCCCTGAGGAAGTCAAGGCAGGTAGAAGCACTCAGCCAGACAGAAACAGGAAGACTGTGCTAGCATAGGAGCTGGGCAACCGTGGAGACCCTGGAGCAGGCAGGGTGTCAGTGCTGGAGGGGCAGGGAGAGCCAGCTCCCAAGACAGGGAAAAGGGTCTCCAAAGTGAAGGGTGTGACTGGACCCATGACCTGTCCCTGAAGGTCCTCTCCAAGGTCACAAGAAGGTCCTGGCCAGGCCAGAGGAAGCACAGGATATGGAAAGCATCGGTGAGGGAGAATTTCTCAAGATCTCCACCTGGGAGTCCATGAAAGTGGAGATGATTCCAGGGTCACAGGACAAGCCAGCTGCAGAGCTGGGGCTCGCTTGGGTCTTGGGATACAGAGCCCCAGCTCTGTTCCTCTGAAGCTCCTTGGAAAGCAAGCTTAGGCCACCTCAAGGGCCTTTGGTGAGCAATTCTGGGGGCACCTGCCTGAGGTCATACTGCACAGAGGAAGTCAACGGCAACAGAGTGAGAGCAGTCCTGAGGCAGCCCGGCCACCCCCACCAGAGCTGGAGTAGCCATCCACAGATAGCATCTTTTTATCCCTGCTGACACACCCCCACAGACAGGGAAGGCCTCACGGCCTCCTACTACCTACCATAAATCTACCTATGTGCTTCGGACTCCAGCCACCTGCCCTCCCCACTCTCCCTCAGCCCACACTGGGTACTGGAGAGGGGTAAGGATGGGGCATAAGCAGAGAAGATGGGAGAGACACAAAGCTCTGAGGCCCTGTTGCAGTCACTGCCCTCACAAGCCGTGTGGCCTTGAGCAACCCTCCCACTCCCTGAGCCTCCCTTTATCCTCTAATTCTGTGATGCAGGTGATAACAGCAACAACGGCTCCACTTACCATGCATTTTGGCCAGGCCTGTGGGGTTTGTCTGTTATGTGTGGCCTCTGTACTCCTCAGAACTATGGATAAAGGGCACTTGGAAGCCTTCCCCATTTTGTAGATGGAGAAACTGAGGCTTGAGCCATTTGCCCAAGGTCACACAGCAAGTGAGTGGCACAGTGGTTCTGGGTGCAAGGAATTTTGGAGCCAAGCCAAGCCCAGCAAGGTCACCCAGTGGGTTCCTGCCTGCCTCTGGGGACTCCCTTCCCCATGGACCCACAGGGCCCTTAGCACACCCTCCGGGACACTGTTTCAATCTATTCGCCTTCCAGGACTGGCGGAGGTGTCCCTCACCCCAACCTGCCCTCAAACACTGATGGCGGCCTAGTGTCAAAGCTCAGTGTCACCTTGTCTCTTCCCCTTGGGCCCTTTGGGAACCCAGCAAGGGTGCCTCCAAGTCTGACAGCCCCCTTTCCCTAGCATGAGGCTTTCCACAGGGCTTCAACACAGACCTGGGGAGGCAGCTGGCCCACCATCCACTTACTATGCTCTTGCTGTGTGCTGGGCTCTGGAAAGGGTCAGAGAGGATGTCAGGTGGCAAAGAAGCCCCAGACACCAGTACTCACAGGATGCATCTGAATAGCATTTGCATGGCCAGAGGGACTTGGAGACTGAGAAGCAAAACACTGCCAGACCCCACTGCTGTGGCCAGAGGAGCCCACGTGAGAGCTGGAGCCAGGGGGAAGGCTCTAGTGAGGACACAGCAAGGGCAAAGGCCTCAGGAGGGGGTGAGCAGGGTCATGTTCAATGTCAAGGATGGCCCACAAGGTGAACCAGTGAGATATCTGTCAATGAGCCAGACCAGGGAGGACATTTCCAGCTCTGCTCCAGTATCACTTAGCAACCAGCTGCCTCTCTGCTGGACATGTGCCCCTCGACGTGCTTTCCATGAGTGGGGCTTCACCTTTAAAGGGAGCACAATGGAAACTTTTCACAGGGGAAGGCACTGGAGGAGTGACACACAACGGTGTTACCTCTCCCACAACTCTGAAAGCTGGTTGTGAGAACATGAAGCGACACCTTCCCAGCCGTGGGCCTGGAACTCCAACTTTCTGCCATCCCACACCCTTAGCCATAGCACAGCCCCTTGCTGTCCTCTCAGAAGAGAAACCAGGAAAATACCTCCCATGTTCACCCATCCTCCCCGTTCACTCTGGAAGCCACCCACACATACCAGTGCCCAGACCCTCAGGAAGTACCCTGTGTGACCTTCACTACAGCCACCTGCAGCCCACAGAGCCAGTGCCCTCACCCCAGCCCCAGCACCAATGCCCTTTCCTGTGCTGTCAGCAGGTGACTCCAAGGGTCTCGACTGCCCAGCAACTCCAGGCCAATAGGAATGATAGCTGAATGGAAGACTGCTAGAAGAAAGGGAAGAAGGATATGGGCATGGATAGAGATGTAAAAGAAAGAAAGGATGAATGAATAGATGAAAAAGTTAATTTGTGGACTGATATATGAATGGATGTACAGATGGATGGAATAAATGGATAAATGAATGGGTGGATGGCTGAGAAATGAATGAATGGGATGAGATGGAAAGGGTGATTGGAATGGATGGATCTATGGACAGATAAATGATGATAGTAATGGTGGATAAGTAGATGAATGGGATGAGTGAACAGAGGGTTGGGATGTATGGATTTATGGATGGGATGGATGAATAGATGGATTGATGAATAGATGAATAGATGGCTAAATGAAGGTCATGAATAGATGAATGGATGGATGGGTGAATGGGTGGGATGAATATATGGACAGACTGATGAATGGAAGGTTGGTAAGATGGGTTTGAATAGATAGATGATGGATGGATGAGATGAATAAAAGAATTATGAATGGGTGGATTAATGGGATGGAGGAATGAGCAGGTAGGATGAATGAATGAATGAATGGATGGATGCAATGGATGAGTGGATGGATGGAAGAATACAATAAATTGATTAATAAAATGGATAGATGGGGTAAATGGATGGATGAGATTAATGAATGAAAATTGGTGGTGGGTAGATGGCTGGATGACAGGATTTCATAAAATGTTGAATTAATATGTTAATGAGTAGTCAGGTAGAAAGATACATTAATGACATGATGGAAAAGTGGGTGAATGTGGACATGCTTGGACAACTGGAGGGGAGAAAGCGTCATAGATGAGTATTGGTTTGAAGAAAAGAAGGAAGAAAGGAAGGACAAACAGTTGCATGAAGAGCTTGATTCGTAGGCTGGTAGATAAACAGATTACTGAACTGCTGGATGGTTGGATGGATAGTACATATGGAGTTCATACCTTTTCCTATGTTATTAACTTTCTTTTATCAGGTGGGGTGTGTCTCAGATATTTTGCATCTCTTATACGCCAGACTATATAGTTTAAGACTGATCCTATGTTAATCCCTAATAAAAGTAATACTAAGGGATTAAGCAACCAAAGGAAAGACAAAAATCACACTATTCCAAGCAAAATCAGGAGGGTAAATTATTTTTCAGTAATGAGAATCAATCTCAAGGCCCTTGCACTAAGCAACATCTCCAGTCCTTTTTATTTATTTTTATTTTCATTTTTCAAGACAGGTTCTCATTAAGTCACAGTGTTGCCCAGGCTAGGCCTAAACTTTCAGTCCTCCTGTCTCAGCCTCTTAGAGTGGCCGGCCACCATGCCCGGCCGAGAGGCTGGATTTCATGGCTAGCTCCTTCACTTTCTCGGCAACACACCTATCTCCTCCGGTCATCAGCACACTGGGCTGAATCCAGCTCCCTCAGCTTACCACACTAGAGACCTTAGGAACGGACCAGTGACATTTAGGGAGAAAGCAGCTAGTTCTACACTGGATCAAATATTTTCCTTATTGTAGGGACAAAGTGAGGCACTTTCTACTCCTGCAAGGAAACACAAAAGGGAAATGGACCCCCGGAACTAGGCAGGAAGGAAGCCTGAGCCAGGCTGAGAGATTAGCTTTGCACAGGGTAAAATCCCAATCTCTAGCTTGCCCATATTTTCCCTTTGCTATTCCCCAGGCTACCCTGTTGTGAGTGACCCACTAGGTCTATGGGGTCAGGAGTGTGTGGTGTGTGGTGCGGCCAGTGAGCAGAAGCCCAGGCAGCAATGAAAAACCATACTCATCGCCAGAGAGAAGCAAAGGTGGAGACGTTGCCCGGATGGCCCAGCCGCTCCTTGTCTCCTGGTGTGTGTGACTGAGGGACCATGTCTAAGTGAGGTTGCTGGTGAACAGCAGAGGAAAAGGACATCTTATGACTGAATTCTAGGAAGGTCACAGGCTTGGCAGCCGGCTGCCCTCCGTCCCTGAACTCTGTGCCTTCCTCTTCTTACCGGGCTTTAGTTTCTACCTTTACAGAATAGACTGTAGACCTTTCCTGCCTGGCTCACAAGAGCCTCACAAGAAGGGACATAGCACCAGGCAGGCAGGGCACTGCACCTAAAGAACAGCACCATGCCCACATCCATCGGCTCATCCCCGCTGCTCTCCAGGGTGATCTTGCAAAGACGAGCTCCCTGGGCACAAAGGTGGTCGACGCAGCGAGTGTGGGTAACGAGCATGTGCACTCATCTTCCCCCTCTCCAGGGAGAAAGAGAATATAAGGAATATACAGACAGAACTGGCCCAGGGTACACAAAGAGTTTGCTGGGTTTGGCTGGAACTTGCAGCTCAAGAGATGTTTAATGAGGAGAGAGGTCTGGATAACCTGGAGAAGCAAGCTTTTTCTTCAGGGAGCGTAGAGGTTGGAGTGGGGAGGGGAAGGAGGAAGAACAGATAAGAAAAAAGGATGAGGGGGGTGCAGGAGAGGGAGCCAGGTACTCGGTGAAGACTAGACAGCCCAGCCAGTGATGCCTGTGTCTTTGCCTCAGTTTCCCCAATGGTCTGAAGGCAGAAGGCATCTGAGCAGTGAAGCTGGCTCCCACTCGTCTCTCCCAGTGGCCTTGCATTAGCGCTGGTAGAAGAGTCCACTGGATATCACGACGTATCCCTGAAGGGCAAAAAGAACCAAAACCCAAGTCAGAGGCCTCCGAGGACAGGAGGAGCCCACTGCCCCATGGCCTGGCTCTGAGTTCATTCTGCAGTCCCTCTAGGCTCAGTTTTCTGCTTCATTACTGTGGGGAGGTTTAACAGCCAGCAGCTCCAGAGGCTGCAGAGAGGATGCAGAGAGCCCTTGGAAAGTACACTCAGCTGGGCCTCTGGGTGTGGGTGGTGTCGTCATGGCTACAGGACCAGGAGTCCAGAACCATAGGGCATCCTCCCTGAGTCCAAGTCCCCTGCACAGCCTCCCTACTTGCTACACAGCTCTGCGGAAGCATCCTAGAAGTTCGCCAATTATTCATTCATTTGATGAATCTTCACTGAGCCTCACCTACACACTAAGCCCTGTGACAGGTGCCAGGGATTCAGCAAAGAACAAGCTAGACTTAGACCCAGTCCCTGCCCATAGGAAGCTCAGTCTAGGGCTTTGTGGTACAATGGGCTGGCCATTAGCCATGGGTGAGTATGGAAATTAATTAAAGTTCAAAAAGAAATTGCAGCCCTCAGTTGCATGGGCCATGCCCCAGGTACTCCGTGGCCACACATACCTGTGGCTGCTGCTGAAGGCAAGGTACATTTCCACTAAGAACACTGTTGGACATCCCTGGTCAAGGGACCTGTGGCTTCTGGCCCTGTTGCTAGCTTTGTGAGTGCCAGCAGGTATCAACCACAAGGGGAAGTCTTAGGCAAGCTCCACCAGTTGGCCTAGGCCCTTGTGTGCTCAGGGCTCCTTCTGGTGGGAGAGGGTCCCCCCGAGGCTTTGGGACCACAGTTCTTAAGGAACCTCCCCGAGAGAAGACATGTGACATTTGCCCTTCACAGGCCTTCTGAGGGAATTTCCTCTTATTCCCTGGATAAGACAGAAAGAAGCTGCAGGGTCTCACCCTGGACTGTGTTGTGGTTGAATTTCTCACTGGGCTACAAGTTCAAATATAGGGACAATACTTTCAGAAGGTCCAGAAAACTCTTTTCACCACACAGTCCACAAGAGATTGTCTACAAGGCCAGAAAAGCCCTTCTCTCACCCACCCCAGACACCAACAGGACCATAACAGGGTACAGAGTCGTGGGACAATGGAAGATCCAAAGCCCCTGGTGCAATACTGCCTGAGGACCAGAGGAGGGAGAGAAACCTTGCCCTACAGGATCTTCAGTGTTCTGAATCTTCCATCTCATTACAATTCATGGCAGGGGCAGAGTGCACACCCAGGCCTGGTTGACCCCAACACATCACCTTGTGCCCTAGAGGTGACCCTGGCCCTGTCAATCCCAGAGGATGTCCGCTGGCCCCTCCCGAGTCTCTCACCTCATACACAAAGACCTCAGAGTTGGTGTAGTAAAGGTTAACCACACTGGGGAGGGCAATTCCCATGCCCAGGAGAGCTGCAGATGAGGACAGAGAAGTTCAGTGAGAAGTGGGAGCGAACCATCCCCCGGAGCCAGTCCTGTGCTGAGTCCTCATGGAATCCAGAAGGTAGGTGCCTTTGTTATAGTGCCCATTATACAGAAAGGAAAATTGAGGCTTGGAGAGGGAAAAGAACTTAGTAAAAATCACATGGCAGCTGTGTGCCAAATGCCCAATTGGCCAGCTAGACCCCTCGACCACCTCTTATCCTCAGAGAGATGAACAGGGGCAGAGGTAGCAAAGAGAGGATATGGGGTAAGGATGGGACAGAGGCCCGGGTTGAGGGGAGCAACACTAACCATTGAGGTGATCCAGCAGTGGCTTCTGAAACAGGGTGCCCACAAGTGTGTGTACCTGCTCCACCTTTGGCCACAGACCCAAGACAGCAAGCGGGTAGAAGAGACAAACAGTTAGGCGCACACTTAGACAGAAGGACGTACAGGCAGCAGAGCCCCAGGTGGAGGGGGCAGGCAGTACATTCCTTCTTGGGTTTAGGTGGAGTTCAGCTGTACCACAACCTGAGAGGACAACACATGCCCAGGGGAAGCCTGAGAGCTGAGGCCTGATTGGCTGACACACCATGTGAACAAAGACTAATGGACAAATCTGATTGGCTGACATACAGTCTGACCAACAGATGGACTGGTTAGCAGAGCCCTTGACCCCAGATGACCAACAGACTGAGAGGTAAAGTGTTGTGGCACATTGCCCATCAGACCAGCTTTCATATGGACACACAGTAGCCGGGGACCTAACTCCATGACATGACTAAAGGGTCAGTCCCATTGTCTAACATGTTCCACTGACCAGGGGACTTGGGCTGAGGGGTTGGGTTGCCGAGTCCCCAGGCACTGGACAGTGTGTAGGCAGGAAGACTGTGACAGGTGGATAGGCAGAAGGAAAGACCAGCTGACTGTGCCCAGCACTGGGAAGTCTGGCTATGGGGCACATGCCCACATGGCCCTGCCCGTAGGGGCCCTAGAGACTCAGCCCCACTCACATCAATGAAGCCCACATTGGAGGCAGCCACCATGAGCCGGATGTCCCTGAAAGAGAAGTGGGGGTCTCGTGCTATCACACACCAAACTGCCAGCTATGCCCTGTGACCTGGGGCAGGGAGGAGTCTTTGCACAGAGGACAGACTGAGACTACCAGGTCCTTGCTTACCCCAGCACAGACGTGACACCCCGGAGCTTCACCTTGGACACCGAGAGCTGCAGGCTCAGGTTCACTGCCTGGGCACACAAGGAGTGCAGGATCAGAGGGCACCCAACTCTACTCCACCTCACTAATAAGTGTTTGGGGAATACCTGCTAGACGCCAGGCTCAATGCAGTGTAAAGAATACAGACTAGGTTCCTGCCCTCCAAACACACCACCAGCCAGCAGGGGAGGCAAGCCATAACCAAAACAACCAGTGGAACCCTTTCAGACAGTGGGGAAGCCATGAAGGCAGAGTGACTTGGAGAGGGTTGATGAGGACATTCTCACCCAGTGGGAAGGAGTATCCAGGAAGGTTTCCCAAAGGAAGGCCACAACATTTAAGCTGAGAACTAAAAGAGGAGGAGCCAGCCATGCCAAGAACCAGGGAGAAGAGCACCAGGCAAAGGGCTCAGCATGGGCAAAGGGCCTGAGGCAGGAATGAGCTGCCCAGGTCAAGACATAGGAGGCTAGTGAGGGAGACCAATGCGCAGGGAAGGGCAGGAGTTCTCCTCTGAGAGCCAAGTCCCTACCAGCCAGCCCCTCCCAGCCAGTCCCTCCAGGCCCCTCTGCTCACCACCTCCAAGGAGAAGAGGGACTGGAAATCCGAGTTAGAGGACGTAGCCAGGACTTCCACAAAGGGCTGCAGCCGCAGTGTGGCATTGTGAGTGTGGAATGTGATCACAGGCGTAGCACCCAGATGTACCTTGAGCACCAGGGGCATGGGGTTGGGAAACTGGCGGGCCACCTGGGGTGACAGAGGGAGAGGGAGAGAAGGCTCTGCTGGACCCACTTCTGTGCGCAGTCATGTGTTGCACCATGGTGGGTGGAGGGACCGAGTGGCTGCATGCACAGCCTGTGTGTCCTTGTCCCCCTGGAGCAGACAAAGGGGCCACCACTCCCCCAGGAGAAGTTTTCTGATTTGGGCCTTGAAGGCAATAGAGACAAATGGAAAAAGTACATGCAGACAGAAGGAAGCTGGGCAGGGGCAGATTGGAGAAAGAGTGTGAGGTCTGTGCCAGCGGAGGGGCTGTCCCAGAACCCAGGGAGCAGATCTACATGCAGATGCATATGACACAGGATGCATATGACATACACAGCCCGAAGACCCCAATCCTGTATCTCAACTCCTGGAATGGCCAGCAGTTTCACCAACCTCAGGGATGAGCCGGCCAAGTGCAGAGGTGTTCAGAGGATTGTCATCGGAATTCTGAAATTAGCCCTACCACGTCAGGTTCACAGCCAGCCACCCCCGTACCAGACCACCACTTGCCCCTCACCACCAGGAATTCCTCCCCAGAGACCCCACAGTGCCCATGGCCTCATACTCTAGCTGCTCCCTTTACCACCGTTTGGCGTCTGTGGGGTCCCCTAGGACTAGGCCACAGGGTGCTCCTGTCCCACGTGACCTGGGCAGCAAGCCCAGCCTCACCAGCTCCCCTGTAACATCCAGGTTAAGGGCGCCAGCCTTCTGCAGCAGAAGCAGCACACAGTCGAACAGTTGCTGGGAGAGGCCCACGGTTGCCATGACACCCTCAGTGCCCACAGGCCAGGGTAACACGAAAGAGGCAGAATGCAGTGGCAGGACGATAGGTTGGCCCAGCAGGAAGAGGATAGCCTATGGGGAGGGACAGGAGCCCAAGAAGGGGTGGCCCCATGACCGAACCTGCCACCCCCCAAGATGCCACATGCCACATAGTCACACACCCTTGCCTACATGCCACACTGTCCCTGAAATGCAGCTCCCTAACTTTTCTGCTCCTTTAAGACTTTTCTGGGATACCACGGACCCACCTCTGGGCTCTGGGGTCCTCACCCCCTAGCTAACAGGGAAGTGCTTACGTTAACATCCAAGGCAATGTAGTCATCAGTGATGATGGGCTCGCTGACCACGGAGTAGCGAATCTGGGACTCAGGACCCACGGGGCTAAGGCCTTAATGAACCAGAATGGAGAAGAGAAGTGTCATACTTCACCATATCCACAGCACCTTGTCTATCCAGAATGCTAAACTATCTGACCATCTGGAGTAGCCAGCAGTAGGCAGGGCCTCTGAGAGCATATGCTGACGTGACAAAGTGCACACATCCAGGATCCAGCCACCACAGAGTGCTGCCTGGTGTCTCTTAGTTCAAACACAGTTCTAACAAGTGTGTGTCCTGCCTTCCCCATCTCTGGAAGGCTCGTGACCCCAGATCAGAAGGATGAAGGTCCAACTCAGGCAGAAATATGCCTAATAGAGGCAACAAGGAAGAACAGAGAAAGAGAAGCTCTCGGGCTGCTCAGGTCCTGACAAGTGACTTAGACTAGCTCACTCAATCACCCAACTCTGTGGCTCTTTCACACATGTGAACACTTGCACGCGCGCACGTGCGCGCACTCACACACACATGGAGTTTGGTGTGACACTCTGTCTTGTCCAGGGTTGTGAACCTGGCCAGTCTGATCCCAAAGCTGTGGCTCTGAACTGAGAGTGCTTGAGCTATGGAAGGTCCCACCTGGGAAGGTCGCACAGCGGAGCCTCCGTGGGAACCTGGTCCCTGGACGTGACCGGAGGCGTGGCCAGCCCAGATGCAGCCCCAGTGGCCAGCAAGAAAGCCCAGCTTAACCCCGGCTCCAGCCCCAGGCTCTGTGTGACTGGAATTACAGATGCGCGTGCGCACGCCTGACTTTGTAGATTGTGTACGCACCTGTGTGTCTGTCATCCGATACCTGTCATGCATCTATCTTACAGTGTTTGCGCAGCTTTGTAGAGTTGGTTTTATTTATATACAAAATACACAAATATGTTCACTATTTTATATGTAAGTATATAAAATATATAAGTACATATTTTTAAATACATATGCTTATCTAACTCCTTTCAGATGTCTGCTTTTCTATTGTCTCACCCAAATTTAATTTTATTTTCTCTACTCTTTTATAATTTGAAGATTATGAAAGCAACGTGGCGTGATTCCTTTCCACAGGTCAGCAGTTGTGGGGGAGGGGGCACAACCTAGGAGGATCAGGGGTCTGGTGAGAGGTCCCGGATCATGGGGGTGAGGGGACTCTGTTCATCAGAACTTGGAGAACTGAGCACTGAAGGGCTGAATTGCTCCATGACTAAAAAATAAGGAAAATTAAAATTCAACAATAATAATACATATTCATGATGAACACTTAGAAAATATTTTTAAAACGAAAAACACAGCCCAGAATCTCACATGCACTTCATGTTAAATATATTCTTTTGCAGAGGCGAACTTCTCCCCACTCCCGCCCCGACTCCCTCCTCTCATGGGAACAGAGCTACAGTTTCCTGTCCTCTTTTTTTTTTTTTTCAAGCACGTGGTTTGAGATCTTAGTGAAGAGCACAGGCTCTCAGGGCAGGCTGCCCCCAGTTTCTTCATCTGTTAATTAGGGCTAGCCATGCTGCAGCCTTAGCTGGCTTTTCTCATGGGTGTCTCACCAGGCATGCACACATGCACACTGATGCACACGCACACACATGCATACATACATGCACACACACAGAGCAAGAGCCTGGTCCTGCCTGTCCCCACAGATGGGTCCTTCCCCCAAATGTGCCCTGCAGGGAGGGACCTTGAGGCAGCACACAGAATGTGAACAATTCCAGATTCTACAATTCGATGGTGTTAAGATTCTCCAATATTAAGATTCATCATTTAAAGACTTGATATTATTTTAGCTTTTGGATGATTTGACCTAAAATATGCAGATTCTAGAATCAAAGACTTGGTTCTAGCATTTGAAGGTTCCTAGATTCCATGAATAATTATGCAGTCTGAAGAGCCCACAGTATAGATATCCTACAATTGCTCTCTCAGAGTTTGTCCTTGGCAAAGAAGGGGTTTCTGAAGAGTCCTGGGCACCCCAGCCCTGCCCACGCCTCTGGGCCCCAGTCTTACCAATCAAAGTGCCCAGGCGGATGTTGAGGTCCTGTACCAGGTTAGAGATGCACAGGCACACCTGTATAGGACAGAGGAGGCTGTGCTCAGGGGCCCACAGAACTGCATGACAGAGGCTACAGGGACCCAGTGTCCCTGCTGGCACTACAAGCCTGGCTGCCCTACTTCCTCCCCACCGAGAGAGCCTCTTAGCACCTCCTCTAGGCCCAAAGCCTGGCGAGGTCACTGTAGGCCCACAGGTATGGAGGAAAAGCTGTCACAGTGGCCACCACCAGGCTGAGCAACTGAGGCAGGGACCCTGCTGTCACAGGTTACGGAGGACCAGCTGCTTCAAGGGTGAGGCCCAGAGTGGCAGGTAGTGACTCATTGGTCACTGTGCCAGGCAGGAGAATGGAGGTTCTCTGGGCATAGAGATGATCCAGAGAGGCATCCTAAGCTCCTGCCCAGCATAACAGAAGATGAGGGCAGAGAAGAGACTGCGAGGGGACACTCACAGCCTGGGCCAGGCAAGGCCAAGGAGGGAAAAGACAGGGGCTGCCCTTCCTGCCTGCAGTCCCTTGCCCTGGAGAGGCTGTGAGGGCAGCGGGAGAGCCCAGGGAGAGGCTAGAGCAATGGGCCACCCCAAGCACAGCCTGCAGCCTGCAGGACAAGCTGCCACCCACACCCCGCCAGCCTCACTCCCCCACCTCGGTGGGAGGGAGGGAGTGGCATCCAGCAGGGTGATTTTGTCTCTGCTACTGCCCCTTCTGGGGAGGAAAGGGCGGATGGGTCAGGACAAGGAGGGAAGACCAGCTCTCCTTGGGTGGTGGCCTGAGGGACAGCATTTCTCACCAGGTCAACCACATGCAGATAACAACAGGAACTAAAAGTATCTGCAATAATTTCAGCAGCTATTGATCTAAACTCCTTTTGGATATTAGGGTCCAACCATGACCCAGGCAGCCATTGGAGGGACCCAGATTCCAGCTCTCTAGCAAAGTTGGACCAAAGGCAGCCACAGCACACAGCTGGACAGGCAGAGGGGAGATCGAGCTCAAACCCAGGCAAATCTGACCCCAGAGCTGTGCCCTTGTCAATATTGCCTTGTCACCCCTGAAAACACTAACCCTGCCCCCTAGCATGGAACCCAGGGGCTTCCCCAAGAGGACAAACCTTCCTCCCCTTTGGCCATAGGATTTCTCCAGCCTTCTCTGGACCATGGTGTCAGCCTCTTCCCTGTCCTCATGGGGAAACTGGAGCCCTCCTATTAAGAATCTTCTGTCTTTAAAAAAAGTCCCAAAGTGGGACTACCGGTAGTACAGTGGTAGAGCACATGCTTAGCATACTGAGGCCTTGGGTTAGAGCCCCAGCACTGCACACAGAAAATCCCAAGTGCCCCCCCATGACTGATACTCCAGCATTTGCTCCCATATCTCTGAGGTCAACAGTGACCCCTTCAGGGGCCACCCAGTGGAAGCGCTTTACCTTGTTGCTCAGGACGGCTTTAATGTGCTTCTGCACCAGGACCAGCAGCAAGGGGGAGGTACTGAGGAGGAGATGCACGGAGGGGTCTCAGGCCACAGCCTGCCTCTCAGCAAGCCTGCAAGGCTGGGACAGGAACCTCTGTCCTGAGCCAGGGACCCAGTGCCTCCCACCGGGATCCCACTGTGTGCCAGGTGCTGCTGGAGTTTCTATTCTCATACCTACAGAGATGGAAACTGAGTCTCAAAGAAGAGAGTCATTTGTCCCAAGGTTTGGCAGTGCCAAGAATGTGACAACTGAAGCTAGGCTCAAGAGAGACAAAAGACCTTGCAAAAGCCAGACTAGACCACAACCCTGTCATGACCACTTTGTGCCCATGAGGACGGGGCAAGAGGTAAGATTCCAGGGCTGCTTCTACTCCAGTTCTCTGTGACCCATCTAGCCATAGACCTCAGTTCCCCACTGAACAATGAGATGATCTAAATCTGCAGCACTCAGTGGTGGTCCATTCGAACCTGTGTCACTTGTTTGCTAAGATGCTGATCCAAGCAGTACCCAAGATCCCCAGTCCCCATAGAGGCAGGAGGCAGGCATCTGTGTTTTTATAGCATCAACCTGGGGCCTCCATTTCTCCTTCAATAAGTGGGAAGCCATAGGGACAGTCCACAGCTGTGGGTTGTACCTGATGATCCCAGAACACTGCAGAATGCACCCCTCTAGTGGGGCAAACTCCAGGCCTTGCACAAATATTGCATTGCTTTTTAAGACTCTGAAATGCTCAGCCTGCCCACATTTAAGAAGATGATGCAGACATAATAGACACGGTATGGGGCAATCCCAGGCAGTGGATTAGTTGGGCTGCCTGAGCTTGAATCTGGCTGACTCAAGCAAGGCACTTCACTGTTCTTTGCCTGTTTGTTCTGTAAAATGAAGGGAATACCCACACCTACTGTGCTCTAGGTAATCTCCATAAAGGGCCTGCCCAAGTGGTGCCCAGCACATAGTAGGTACTCTGAGAGTGGGGACTGCTATTAGCCTTCGTGCAGACATGAGCAACCTCCTGACACTGAGACCTTGGTCCCCACCCCACCCTGGACTCCTGGCTTCCCATCTCTGCTAGAAGGAGTAGCCTCTAAGGCTCTTACGAGCTGGTCTGACCCAACCAGGTCCCTCCCTGAAGAGGACACTCCTGGCTAGAGTACACTATCAAAGGCCAGAACAGGGGCTGTCCCTCAGGCGAGGCTGTCCTCTGTTGACTCAGCTCAGAAACAGCACCCCAAACTTGACACAAAGACCCCTACACCCCCATTCACCCACCTGTTACTGCCATTGAGCACGCTGGCCAGACTAAAGAGTGGTGAACAGGTAGAGATGCTGACCACAGGGGTCCTGATGGGACCCCGGGCCACATGGGCATCTGCTGTCAGTGTCATGGGCAGCACCAGTTCCAGAGGTTCAGGGATGCTGGAGGGGAGGGTACCACAGCCTGAGTCCCAGCAGTGCCACCCAGCAGGGCCCACCCACCATCTTGGCCAGCCTATCCCCCATTTGACACTGGAGACTGCACCCAGCATGAGACAATCCCACCTAGGTAGATCCAGGGTCCCTAACCCCACTCGGGCCCACAGATGTTACTGCAGATGGTTGTGAGCCTGGCCAGCTCTTCTATGGACATAAGATTGGTGGTCTCTGCTTCTCAGGGCTGTGCTGAGTTCCCCCAGGAAGTCCCCACATGAAGGCATTCAGCCCTGGCCTGGCCATAAGACTCAGGGTATCACGGTATCAGGCTCAAGTCCCTTAGAACACCAATTCAGAACTTAAAACTAGACATGGTTAACACCAGCTGCCTGGGGCATAAAAGTCATTCTGATAGCTGTTTGCTGAGCACCTCCTGCGTGCTGAACTTCAGCAATGATTCCCCTCACTGCCAAGTGTCATCACAAAGATATGGACACGGAGCTGAAGCAGTGAAGCCCTGCAGGCATCGAGCAGGATTTGGGAACTTGAGTCTCACAGTCTCACCTGCCTCCCAGGGTGGGGCTGAGAGGCCAGGAAGAGAGGCCGACCCCTTCCTTTTCTCTGCTCCTGGTGCACCCCTGAAACCCTTCCACTGAGAGGAGACTCACTCACCAAAAGACCTTGATGGTAAAGTTGGCTGTTGCCATCAGACGTAGCCCAAAACCAGCAATGAATTTCAGGTCGAGGTGGGGCACACGGACATCCAGAATCTGGATCCTGCAGAATAGAAATCAAGACAACAAGGGACCCTCACCCCTTTAAACCATGAAATCAATTTTGGGGTTAGCCACTGTTGATGTGACAAAGCAGGGCTCCAGACACTGGAACCAGGAGGTGCGGGAGAGGCGCTGAGCTCTCTGTCATGAGGAGCATGCAAGCCAGAGACAACCAGTGGGAAAGGAAGACAACCGGAGGGCCCTAGTCTCAGCAGGATGTGGGCGAGATGATTGTATGGATTTCTGACAGCTCCTGGCAGCAGCCTGGAAAGCTGGGAAGGTGGGCAAGAGAGACCTTAAGACCACCAAAGGCAGAAGCCCCGTTGGCAGCCCCTGTGGCATGTGACCCTCCAGGAGCAGGGAACTCCCTCCCTCCAAAGCTGCCTGTCCTGGGCCACTCCCTCTAATCTCTCCCCAGCAACCCTGACCTTCTCTTTCCTAAGTAAAAATTATTATTTTTTTCTCTGCACAGTGGTTGAGGGGGAAATTCAGATACCACAAAATGGTATAAAATATAAAGGTCACACCAAGCCCAGCCTCGGAAACCTGCAGCCTTGGGTGACACAGACCCACAACCCTCCCCGGCACACAGCCCACCCTGCTGACTGCACAACCATCCCAGATGTGCTTCATTATCTACAAATGCTGCCCTCAGTGTGGTGTGGGGGTGCTGCCAGGCCAAAAGGGCTGCAGCGACCTGAGGGTGGCAGGGCATCTGCTGGGTGCTCCAGGGGCGTAAAATGAAGTCTTTCTATTGTTACCATCATTTAAAAGGATGGATGGATGGATGGATGGATGGATGGATGGATGGATGGATGGAAGCTCTTGGGGACCCAGTGATCTGTCAGTAGGAAGTCTGTGTTCCCACATGGATGGGGACAATCAGCCCAGCCACTGGAGGTGACTGAGTACGAAACACCCTATGTCCCTATGCTTCTTAGTCTCCGTGCATTAGGGGGGAGAGGAATTAGGCTCAGGTTTGTGTCTAAGCTCAGCACCTAGCTTCTAGAGGAAGCAGCCATGGGTGTTTTGCATTCTGTAGACCCAGGAGCTATAGTCTTAGCCTCTGAAATTCACTCATTCAGAGGTGCCAGGCCTCCAACTTGGTCCTACCTCTTCAGTCTTGTAACCACTTACCTGGGGGGTGGGAGCACCTAGCATGGTGAGGGGAGGGCTCACTGCAGGAAACTGCATTCATTTGATGGCCTAGACCTGGTGTCCAGGGGCTGGGAGCAGGCCCTGCATGGACATTTACCTGGAAGGGGCATTCTTGCAAGACCTCCCCTCCTGGTGGACTAAAGCACTCACCTGGTCAGCAGGGACATTCCACCTGGCAGCAATAGCAGCTTCCCTGTACAGGGAGCACTCACCTGGTGGGCTGAAGCATCTCACCACGCCAGTCCAGCAAGGGCGGAACGATGACCTTCAGGGCCCGCTGGAGAGGGACTTTCCCAACATCCGACACTGCAGGGCCAGGCACAGTGCGGTCAGGCTGGCCTCAGGGGCACCAGAACACACTGCCCACCCTCTGTGCTGCACCCCTCCAGGAGAGGACTGCGACACAGGGAGGGATGGGCTCCCCGTGAGCCCACACAGGGAAGATGCCAGCTCCACGCAAGCCACAGTGGACAGCTCACACGACCCTCCACTCCTGCCTCTGCTCAGTCAACCCATTCCTCAGAGACAATAAAATTCTTAGCCTTCATTCCAGGCTCCCAGCAGCTGCTGTCTGCTCGGAAGCCTTCCCCAAGCCTGATGGCCAAGGCGACATCCCCTGGGAGGGGCATAGCAGCCTCCCCTGGAGGCTGAGCATGCTAGAGTACCTCAGGTTCTGGGTGCCAGACCCGCTCTACTCACTGCCTGTGTGGCTGCTCTGTGCCTCAGTTCCTATAAATGTACCATCATTGTAATGGCACCTGTCACAGCCATTGCAGAGACTGCATGATGAACGGTGTCACCGTCACTGTAGGTCTTTTATAACTGTGGGGCATCGTGCGTGGCACTCCTCATGTGCCAGGCACCTTCTGAGTGCGCTCCCTCTGCCATTAGGCCCAGCTCGCAGGGAGGGGGAACACCTGGCCAGGGGAGCTGCCTTGGGACCTGGTGCCAGGCTCTGCATCTTCAGTTTCTGCCCTCATCTGTCCCTCTGGACTCAGACACTAATAAAGGCAAGCTGAGATAAAATGAGAAACTGAGGTACCAGAAGAGAACAAGGCTTTAGGAGCAAAGAAGCTCAGACTCGCTGTGGGATGATAGGAAACCGCTGAGCCTCTGTGGGCCTCAGTTTCCCCAGTCACAGCAAAAAGGTTGTGCTCTCCGTGTTCCAAGGACCCCTCCCCAGCCTCACTATCTTCAGCTGAGCTGTGACTCACACCCAGACCTTGGAATCTATCCACAGTGCTCCCCTGGCTCAGGGCCTGAACTCAAGTGGGAAGGACCTAGGGACAGTCACCAGCACAGGCCTGGAGGCAGTGTGTGTGGTGAGGCTGCCCACTGGGTTTCCGCCAAGAACAAATACAGGCAGATGTGCCAGGGAGGACTCTCTGAGGACAAAGGAAGCCTGCATAGGACAGGCAAAGAGCAAAAGGGTGGCAGCAGGCAGTGAGCCTTGTGTCCCTGCCTGCAGGCACCGGTGTGCAGTGAGAGGAATCACTCTGTGGCACGGATCACTGGCAGCTTTCACTGTCTTCCCATCTGCCCGGATGTAGGTCCTGGACAGCTGTGTGTGCCCTGGGGGTGGACACAGCCATGGACTCAGTTGGCTGTGGCCTGGACCATTGAAAATCTCTTCTACTGTCTGGCTTGAGTCCTCAAACTGTGATCTAAATTGGATCAGGTCTTGGAGAAAATGCTCACTGATTCCTTAGATTGATCCTGCCTTGGGAGGGCCCCCAAAACTTCCCTAAAAGACGGAATCACAAGTTTGAGGCCAGGATGGACAGATTAGCAACCTAGTGATACCTACAAAACTATTTTTAAAGGTTTCAAACTGAAAAAATAAAAAAGGGCTGGGGATACAGTTCAGTACCATCCTCCAAACTAACAGCAAAGCCGTAAGACAGACACCTGGCCCCAGTGGGCCCAGGGCGAGGCTGGCTCCTGCGTGCTGAGCCCAGCAGCCTAACTCCCTGTAGCCCAGGCTTGATACACCTGCCTTTAGCCCATGTGTACAAAGACATAATACACATGGCAAGCAGCCACACCTGTGACACACATGCAGCTCACGCACACCCTTCCCCCAACACCCACACATACCGCGGGCACATCTCCACAAGGCACCAACTCTTAGGTAGACGTACACTCACAAACATCCCCACTTGGCCCATACAATGGAGGTCATGCACACAGCTGTGAGCACACACTCCGGTCATGCTTCTACCTCAAAACAACTGCTGAGCTGTAACGTGTCAGACGCTGTCTGAGAGCCAGAGATGAAAATCCAGTCACACATACACACACACACACACACACACACACAGCTCTCACACACTTGCTGGCAGCCCATCTCTTACCGTAGCTCAGTGCCGCCCTGTTGATTCGGACCACAGTGCCCGTCGAGGAGGCAGAGACTGTGGGCAGCAGCACCAGCAACAAGCCCAGCCCATGATGTACCCCAGTCATGGCTGTCTGGCCGCTGCCCCAGGATCCACAGGCTGGGGTGGAGACAAGCATCAGGGAGTCTGGCCAGCAAAATGCCCCCTCTTGGGCTGCTGATAGCCCACTCCAGCACAAAGGACTCAAGCCCTTGCAATGATCTCAGCCCTGCCCCTGTTGCTTGAACAGCCCTGTTTGTATTTCTGCACTTAGGACAAGCTCCCTCCTCTGCCTGCTTCCTCTGGAGCCATGAGGTGATCTGGTGCAGAAATGGCCCCCAAGGCCCAAAGAAGGCATAGCTTTGCCTAAGGCCACACAGCGGTGGTGCAGGCGCCAGGCCCACGCGATGTCAGACAAGGATGGTGAGACTCCCAAATAGAGATGTTGCAAGAAGGGGCCCAAGCCCATTGTGTCACCTAATGTGAGCAGTTAGTCCAGCATGACAACCAGCCTGACATCCAGCCTCCCTACATCCAGAGTGGCTCCTGTCCTCACCTCATCCTAGCCAAGTGAGGAATGGCCTGGGACTAGGCCACACCTCTGGAGCCCCAGGCCCTCCCAACACAGCCCACCCAAGCTCTTCATCCAAATCAAAGAGGGGCTACATTCCCAGAAGGAGAAGTGAGAGTCCCACGAAGAGCAGAGGCTAGGAGAGTGGCCTTTGCTTGAAGTCCCTGTGAGCCCAGGCTTGGAGGGTACCTTCCACAAGAAGCAGTGGAGGCAGCCACCCCAGAGAGGCGCCAGCCTACCCTAGCCTACCTCGAGATCTGGAGACAGGCAAATGCTCAGCCCCAGGCCAGCCCAATTCTGCACCAGGGCCAAGTGAAGGCTGCTTATGAGGCTCCCAGCGGGGTGCAGGGAGCGGCAGATCTGCGCGATGGCAAGTGTTTTCCCTGCAAACATGGTCTTTGCCAAAGTGTGCAGTTTCCTGGGTGCAATGGGGCTGCCACGTCACCAGGCCTGGCTGTCAACTACTGTGGGACCCTAGAGGGACAGCCGAGCCTCAAGGGCCAGGAGGGTGGAAGGAGAGCTCTTCCCGGGATCATCCCCACATCATCCTGCCAGGCCCAGGGGCAGCGGGTGGAGGTCCATCAAATCTAGCATCATCACACTCTCACAAAAACATGACCCTTTCAGGAGAGGCAGAGAGCTGACTAAGCCCCACTCCCATCACTGCCTGCCTCGACCCTGGCCACACACTGAGTCTTAACACAAAAGGGAACAGAGAAGTAAGTACGGATGGCCCAGTCCCCACCACTCCACACTCAGCCCTCTACAAATGTACATCCCACGGCTGCGGCTTGGGCCACCATCCTTCCCACAGAACACACTCCAGAGTCCGTCCTGGCTTTGCAGGACCTGAAGAACTGGGCCTGCAGGTGAGGCCCTTGTGCCTACATGAATGTGTGTGTTCGAGAGAAGACTGTGTGGGTGGTTACGGTTACATGTGTGCATTTGTGTGGATGGCTGGAACCAGAGGCAGATGTGTGCTTGTGTGACGGGAACCACAGCCCGGCACACTAACTTCTGGGTGCTCAGTGTGACAAGCCAATTTACACAAGCCGACATGAGTGCAATGCACCAGACTTTGTGTAGGTGTGTCTGTGCGGGCTTGGTTTGCTCTATCTGTGAGTGCAGATAGTAGGTGCATGTGTGTGCAGGAGGCTGTCCAATGGGAGTGTGTGCATGTGTACACATGCAGAGAGGGTGCTGGCCCAATTGTAGGAGGGATCTCTCTGTACCTCAGTATGATTCACCAGGGGGAGCTGCCCAAGAAGCCTCAGAGATTCCTTTCTTCCATAGCCGTCTGTGGCTCCCACTGACTCCACACCAGTCTCCAGATAACTAAGTCCAGGTCCACTTCACCTTTTAAACAGTGGGCTCAATGAATAGGAGCTCAGATAAGATATTCACCACTCTGGGAGGCTGAAGCAGGAGGATCATTAGTTCAAGCCCAATCTGGGCAAGTTAGCAGCACAGAAGTACCTTGTCTCAAAATTAAAGGGAGGGCCGGTGAGATAGCTCCACTGACTAAGCACCTGCCCAGGCAAGCGCAGGGACTGGTGTTTGATCCCTGAGACCACACGCCACATTGGCTCTGCCCCCAGGCACAATGAGCCGGCCACCAAGATGGAGCATGATGGTTCATGCCTGTAATCCCAGCACTGGGGAGGCTGAAAACAGGAGGATCACTACAAGTCTGAGCTGCAGAGTGAGACCCTGTACCAAATACATAAAAAAAGAACAAAAATCAAAATCAAAGGGGCTAGGGATATAGCTCAGTGCCAAGGCCTAGGTTCAATCCCTAGTAGCACACACCAAAAAACCCTGCAAATATTGACTAAAGTCACTCTCAGTGTTTGCACTGACATGAATACTTCCTCTAACACTTGCAGCACAAAGAATATTTTGTTGGCATCCAGGTAACACAAAGGAAGGATTCCCATCAGCCCATCCCGAGTGCCAAGCCACCTCCCCCAGCAAAGTCCAGTACTGTTTGCTGAGTACCTGGTAAGCTGGTATGCACAAAGAGCTCTGCACCCACCCTACCTACAGCCCCAAGATGAGAGTTGCGTCTGCTCAACCCCATACCTGGAGCACAGTAGGTGCTCAATACATGTTTGTTGTGTGACAAAAATGAATGAATGTACAACTGAAAAACCCTTGTCACAACTGATGGCAGAATTTGTTTCCCCTTCTCTGGATTTCTCAGGAGTCCTGAACCCACCTCCCATTAATGCTGTAACAAATAACCACCAATTTAGTGGCTCAAAACACAAACTTTTTTTTTAAGGGGATGAAGCTGGAAAAATAGCTCAGTGGTCTAAGTGCCTGCTTGACAAGGACTCAAATTCAATCCCCAGTACTGCCTGCTGTGCTGGCCCCAGAACCCAGGCGCACCATGCCAGCCACCAAAACAGGTGGAGCAAGCCTGTAATTCCAGCACTGGGAAGGCTGAGACAGGAGAATCACTATGAGTCCAAGCTGCGTACCAAGACCCTGTACCAAATAAATAAATAAATAAATATTTTTTTAATCTGATTTTAAAAACCACACAAACTTATCATCTGTCAGTCCCAGAGGTTACAAGTTCAAAGTGGGTCTTGCTGGGCTAAAATTCAAGTGGTGTCAACAGGACCACATTCCTTGCTGGAGCCTGTAGGAAAGGCTGGCTGTCTCCCACTTCTGACTCCTGGTTTGACCATCTGCCTTCAAAGCCAGCAAGGTGCCATCTCTCTGTCTCCTATTCTGCTTACAAGGACCCTTCTGATGATACTGGGCACATCTGGGTGACTGAGGATCCTCTCCCCATCTCAAGGTCAGCTGAACTCCATCTGCTACCTTCATATCCTTTGACATGTAACTTTATTTTTATTTTATTTATGTATTTGTTTATCTATTTATATATTTGATTGTTGCATGGTCTCACTATGCAGCTCAGACTTGTGGCGATCATCCTGCTGTCAGCCTCTCCAGCTCTGGGATTACAGGTGTGTGACACTACACCCGGACTCTGACCAGCTGCCCACCCTGGGGGAGGTGCGGGCACCACATGTGGTGCAGGGGATTGAACTGTGGTCCCTCTGCTTGCCTAAGCTTGCCTAAGCAGGCACTTTAGTCCACTGAGCTATCTCACCGGACCATGTCATATAACTTAATGTGCTGGTTTTGGGTGTCAACCTCTTTGGGGGAACATTATTAATCCCCTTCTCACAGGGACTTAGCCCGCAATTTTGAACAAAGACCACCAGGGGAAAAAAGTTCATTTTAGCTTCAGAAAACACCTAGAGAGCCCCACTGTGGCTCTTGTGCTTTTATTTTCCCCAGTAAGAAGTATATATTTATTAAAATAACATATGGAATGTTACTGTGTACCCCAAGATGCCCACCAGTGAAAAGCTCAGCACTGTGAAACAATTGTGTGTAACTTCGGGGGGTGCATAGAGGCGGCAAGCAGGAAATCATCTGGGGAGCAAGGCAACGCAGGCCAGAGCTGGAGCCTCAGCTCACGTCCCTGCCCCACCCCCAAGGCCTGGCATGGCTCTTCCTATTTTATGGCTTCAGTTTCTGCATCTTAAAGATAGAGAGGTAGCCACAATGGCATCCTCTGATGGGGAGCTTCTGGGGCCAGCTGAAGACAGGGTGACCTCCCTGCCCACCTACTCTGTGAGGTCACAGTGCCCATAGTTCCACCTGCTCTCAGTGAGTCCACATGTCACCCTCCAGGTGACACTCAGAGGTGGTGGCAGGAGCCACGTCCTCCTCATTGAGTCTCAGAGATCCCCACCCACATTCCTCCATCCTAGAAAAAGACATCAATGCCACGGTCCTCGAGGATCCCTGGGGACCCATTTGTCCTGCCTGAACATATGGCTTACAATACCAGGCCCAGGAGGTGAGGACAGCAGCCCCTCCCTTTGCCCAGCCCTTTACAGTTTACTAAAGGGCTCATCTTCTCTGGGAGGTAAGCCAGGGGAGCAACTATGCCGAGCAGACCAGAGATGTCCCATGGTGGCTTCCCAAAGTCTCCAGTCAGGAGATGGCAGAGTCCAGTATCCCTATGTTTCTTGCACACCTGCTGAGTGCCAGGCATGGGGCAGAGGCCAGGGAGCCGTGCAGTGCTAATGAAATATGTTTCCTGCCTTCATGGAACTCATGCTAGTGAAGGACGTGGGTACTAAACAAGAAAGCACACATCCCTGTCCCTATGTCTACAAGGGGGCCTCTGGTTGCAGGTGACAGAAATTCTAACCCAAATGATGCTCATTTCTGGGCCCCAGAATAGTGTGTGTATCCCAGGAAGGTATACAAAACAAACCATGGTAATTGCAGCTACTCAGGAGGCTGAGATTGGAGAATCAGGAATTTGAGGCCAGCGAGACAGCACTTGCCTAGCTTGTATGAGACTCTGGGTTTTATCTACAGTACTAGAAACAAACAGCCACAAGAGTGAGGGAAGAAGCTATTATAACTTGAATATGTATTTTTTAATTAATCCCTCTGTTTTTAATTAACATTTGAGAATTGTACACATTTATGGGGGACAAGTGATAATTCAGCTATTACTACAGGTAATGATCAAATCGTAATGAGCATCTCTTCATGTTGGGAAGCTTCAGCTTCCTCTCACTTACTTTGATATACATAATAACTTGCTATAAACCATTCACCTGGTTGTGCTATATATTCTTTAGGAATATTTAAATAAATATGTACATTTGGAAAGGATAAATAATGTTAGCATAAATGGGTGTTATGTCAGTCAACCTTCGGTCACTATCACAAAATATTTGAGGTAATTAACTTAGAAAGAGAAAGGGTTTATTTGGCCTCAGGGTTCTGAAGGGTCCAGTCCATGGTCAGGTGACCCTGTTGCTTTGTGTGGCAGTACAGCATGGTGAGGGTGACAGGACACAAAACTTCCTACAGCATGGTGAGAGTGAGTGGACACAGAACTTCCTCATGAGCCAGGAAGCAGAGAAAAGGGAAGAGCCTGGATTTCCACAACCCTCTTCAAGGAGAGTCCCCAGTGACCCGAGGACCCCCCACTAGCCTCTCGCACACAGGTCACAGTACTGTCCCACAGCGTCACCCTGGGAAGCAAACTTTTAACACATGGACCCTGGGGAAAGGGCACTCAACATCCACACTGTAACAGGCATATGGGTACTTTCTTAATAAATATAAACACAGAGGGGGTATAATTTGTAAAGCTTGTAGCACATTGCCACATCACAAGATGGCTGCCACAGCTTTGGTTATCAAATAGAAACATAGGTGTCTAAGGTAGGAGAGTGGGCACTGCTTTCTGATGGTCCCATTTCAGCAGTGACAGAATTGTTTCCCCAAGTCCTACACAGCCAGAGTCACCACACCCCACCCTACCTCACCCCTGCAGATGCCCCATCCTTGAAACCAGTACTCCAAGGGAATGGGTGGGCCACAACAGGCTCCAACCAATATGATGCCTTACCCCATGTGGGGTAGTAACAGGGATAAGACAAGGCATCTGCCAAAAGTAGAGGGTGGCTTTTAGGTGACATGCGCCATAGTGGCCATAGCAACCAGTCTTTTCCTCAAAAGAGGCCTGGATTTGGGACCAGCCAGAGAGATCTGTCCTTGCAGTGTTGTCCAATGTTTTATAAACCACCCTGTGGTTCTTTTTCTCCATCTGAATGTAGTGACATCACATACCCTCCAAATTTTAACATGGGATCGTGACCATGACCCTTGTCATCCTCAGGGGCAACCAGCGAAACCGGAACCCCTGCAGGGTGACAGAGGAGCCCACAGCATGCAGGAGTGAGCCAAGAGGGGGACCCTGGAGGGCTGGTGGGCAGCTCAGAAAGGGCTAACAGGCAACACAGGGGGCCCAGAAAGAGGAGGAGATGGGGTGGGGGGTCTTTGCACCAAGCCTGCTCCCCAGAGGCTGGCAGTTCCCTGACAGTCCTGTGTTCTCTGCAGATGATACCCTCCTATTGCCTGCCCGCATCAACACCCCAGCCATCAGCCTGACGCACTCCATGTTGGGATGTGTGTGTATGTATGCACTGAAGCCCCAGCTTGGCCATCGATGTGGCCCACGAAAGTGTCCAGTCTCAGGCCAGGTGGACCCAAGCCAGGCGAGGCCAGGCCTGCTGCAGGGTTTGTAGGCAGCAGCAGGCTGAGCTCTGAAGCCTTCCCATGGGATGTAGGGGTGACTTCCGGGCAGGGTCACCCTGGCAGTTGAAAGGGGAAGTAGGAAGGAACCTGGCTGTTTAAAGGAGGATTTACCTGCCAGCCCTCCTCTGCTCTGGTCCCACCCATCCATCCCTCTGTTGAGTCACTCATCAATTCACGCATCCTGGTATCTGTTGATGTCTGTCCATCTGCTCACCCCTCTCTGCTCTTCAGTCCAGTCTCTCCTCCTCCCATGCTCTCACCCATTTCCCATTCATCCGTCTTCCAGGCCAGGCAGCTATCCTCAGTCCTCCAGCCACCCATGTGTCCTTCTACTTCTGGCCATCCTGGACCCCTAATTTTCCCCTAGCTCCATGCTAGGCCCCTAGAAACGAAGCTGACAAGGACCCTGCCCTTTCCAAGCTCCCAGGGCTTTCTGTGCTCCAAGGTCACTGCTTCTGCCTATTAAGTGCCACAGCTGTGCAAGCAGTGCTCATCTGCGGGGCCTGTCCTCACTCCAGCCTGGGGCTCATGCATGGCCCGAGCTGGGGCTGTCAAGCGGGTCTCCAGCTCCAGAGTCTCCCCTAGCTCCAGGGCTGCCATGAGTCTGCACAATGGCACTCACTGCCCTCCTGTCTCCACTGCAGCCTGGTTCAACTACCTGGCCTGCTTCCTGAGAACCCAGGCCCAGCAAGTCCTGTTCAACACCTGCAGGTAAGCAGGAGGTGGGGAAACAGGACAGGGGACAGCTGGTGACCATGCAGCCCTTCATAGGCTTAGATTTTGTCTGATAGCCAGAATGGATAAGAGATTCCTAACCTGACTTTATCAGAACACGCTGTGACTCCCCTCCTCCAGTTCATCCTCCTGTGGCCTCCTCAAACCCTGCCCATGTTCCCTTTCCAAACTGCCCTCCTCTGCCTCCCCGCTGTGGGCCCACAGGGCTGGGCAGGCTGGGGCTCTCTCCCTAGCCACTGCTGTTGCTCCCAGCCCTCCACCTTTGCCTGGCCTGTGTTGGGAATGCACCCACCAGACCCAGACACAGACTGTTCATCAGTGCTGACAACAAAGCACCCAGACATCAAGAAATCTCAACAAGGGAAGGTTGCTTTACTCCTGCAGGAGGTACTGGCACATCTTAGCATGAAGTAGCAAAGCACAGCAGCAGGAACCTTTTATTTCCTAACTCATGGGAAGCAGCTGACCTTTTCCCGGTTGGCTTGTTTGAAGGTTCACAATCTGCCCGGATTGGCTACTTTAAGTGGTGCTAGGAAAAGGCCTGAAGGTTGCTGGGCAGGGCTGCCAAAGGAGGGGAGAATGGGGCATACGGGGAACTAACAGTTCCTGGCTGTTGATGCGTTATCCTCGGTGGTGTGGTGTTGCTGGAATCTAGGCTGAGCAGACATTCCCAATACCTCTAGTGTAAGGGGTGGGTGGGGGGTCAACCTAGGGTGGAGAGGAGTTTGAGATGGAGGCGCTCCAGTCTAGGTCCTTTGATAGAAGACAGGGCTGTGGCTGCTTGAAGCTGTGCTTCCAACCTAGGCCTCCAGCCCCCTCTCCCCCTCTACCTGCTCCACGCTTGTAAATTCCGTTGTGCTCCTGCACAGCTATCTGCCCCATTCCTCCAGTTAAAGTTTAAATTGTAACCTTTCCTTAATGCTCACTCTGGGTCCAGGCTTGGCTGCACCCCTCATGAGCTCCCCAAAGAGGCAGATGAGAGTGCTGGGTGTGCTGATCTGGGCATCCCGAGAAGGCGGCCACTGGGCTGGCAGGGGCCAGGGCTAGCAGGAGGATGGAGCGGGAGCCTGCAGAAGCAGCAGGGAGTGGGGGGGGGGGAGGCGCCCGCCGCTCTCCCACCGCCTGTTGACCAAGGCCTCTTGGGCTTCCAGGTGCAAGATGATCTGCCACAAGTTCATGGAGAAGACAGGTGTTCTGGTCCTCTGCGCCCTGGGTGCGTCTCCAGGGTCCTGAGCTGGGAGGGAGCACCCCGGGCCCGACCCCAGACCCATACTGAGGAGGAAAGGGCAAGGGCTCTGGCACGGACTCTGTGACCCTGGGAAGGCTCGGTCCCTCTGTGTGTTCACTTTCCCCATCTGTCTAAGGGGGGTACTGTAAGGAATAAGGAAATTGGGCTGGGGAGATAGTTCAGTGGTTCAAGCGTCTGTCAGACAAGCTCAGGGTCCTGAGTTCAATCCCTGGTACCGCAAAAAAAAAAAAGGACTAAGAAAATGATGTCCAAGAAAAAAATTTTGAAGCTAAATAACACTTTGAAAACTGTAGGGGCCAGGGAGATGGCTCAGTAGAGTAAGCACTTCCCTGGCAAGCACATGGGCCTGAGTTCAATCCCCAGTTCCACCAAAAAGAAAAAAGAAAGAAAGAAAGAAAAAGAAAACTGTAAAGCTCTACCCAAATCATTTTATGATCACTGTTACAGGTCTCTTTCTGGGTTTCTATGGCTTCTTTCTGGCCACCTCCGCTGCCACCCATGTCACCTGGGGTTGCTTCCAAGCAAAGGAAGCTGCCCCCCAGTCCACTCAAGTATGCTAGCCTTGGAGTGGGAGTGTCGGGGGGAGAACGAGAGAACCAAATTCGCCAAGGAAAAATAAGGACAAGAGAGTCCCTTCCCTGTGTTGACCTCACAACATGACTTTCTAAAATAACAACTCTACTAAGATACAATTTCTAGAAATAAAGTTTTCCCCTTTAAAGCACACAATTCAATGCGTTCACAAAGTTGTATATCCATTACTTTCACCAGTCTAAAAAGAAACCCTTTATCTGCTGGTAGTCATGTCCATATTCCTCCTAGGCAGCCACTATTTTTTCTGCCTATTTTGGACATTTCTTATATTCTTTGTGACTTCTTTCACTTAACATAATACTGTCATGATTCATGCTTGTGATAGCATGTATCATGACTTCATTCTCTTTTATGACCAAAAACACTTATGTGGGGGAAGGCGCCATCTATTCATCAACAGATATTAGGGTCGCTTGATTTTGCGTTTTGGCTATTTGTGCTATGAAAGTTCTTGTGGTTTTTGAGTGGATGTGCTTTCAACTGTCCTGGGTATTTCCCTAGGAGTAGAATTGCTGCGTCCTCATTATTTCAGGACCTGCCAAACTGTTTTCCAAAGCACCATCTCCATTCTACCATCTCACCAGGACTCTTCCTTCCCACTGTCAGTTTCTCCATGTTCTCACCACTAGGTTTTTTGTGTGTGTGGCACTGGACCTTGACTCAAACTCAGGACCTTGACTCATTCTACTGATCTAACTCCCTGACCCCACCACTACTGTTACCGTCTGTCTTTTTTTCTATAAACCATTGCAGAGGGTGTGAAGTGATATGGCCTTGTGGGTTTGATTGGAATTCCCCTAATGACTAGTGATGTTAGACATCTTGTCCTGTGCTTACTGGCCCTGTGTATACATTCATTCAGATTGTCTTATTACTAAGTATAAATAAGAATTATTTATACACTATAGATATAAGTCCCTCATCCAGACATATGATTTGTAAATATTTCCTTCTATTTTGTGAGTTGAATTCTCACTTTCTTGGTAGTGTCCTCCACAGCACAGATTTTTTAAATTTTGGTGAAGCCCAAGTAATCTATTTTTGGGGGGTTGTTTTGTTTTGTTTTTCAGTAATCTATGTTTTAGTTCATTGCTTATGCTTTTGTTATAATATTTACAAAACCATTTTCCTGACTTAGGATCATGAAAAGTCTCTCCTATGCTTTCTTCTATGAGTTTTCTACTTTAGCTCTTACATTTAGGTCCATGATTCACTTTTTACTTTTGCATATGGTGAAAGGTTGGATCCAGCTTTAACATTTGAATATGGGTACCCCATTGTTCTAGCACCATCTATAGAAAAGACTGTTTGCCTCCCAATTCTCTTGGCACCCTGTTGAAATGCAGCTCACCCTGAATGTGAGGGTTCTACCTCTGAACTCTCAGTTCTGTTCCATCTATCTGTATGCCAGTATTCCCCTGGATTAACGGATACAGCTTGTTGTCCATTTTGTAATCTGGAGTGTGAGTCTTCCAACTTTATTCTTTTCCAAGATTGCTTTGCCTATAATGGATTCCGTACATCTCCATATGAATTTCAGCAATAGAAGTCAATGGGATTTCCAGAAGGGCTGCATTGGTGTAGATGAATTTGGGCAATAGTGTCACCTTAACAATATTAAGTCTTTCAATCCATGCCATAGGCTATCTTTCCATTATTAGTGGCTATCTCAGTGTCTCCTTTAATTTCTTTCAACAGTGTTCCCTTATTTTTAAAGTACAAGTGTTGTGCTTCTTTTGTTAAATTTATTCCTAAGTATCTCATTCTTTACGAAGCTATTGGAAATAGTATTGTTTAAATGGTGTAGTATTGTTTGCTTAATTTCATTTGCAGGTTGTGCATCACCATAATATAAAAATACAATTGATTTTGTATATTAATCTTGCAACCTGCTAAATTCATTTATGAGTTATGACACTGGGAAGGTTGTCTAGTCTTCAGTATCTTAGGATTCTATGCATAAGATCATGTCATTTGCAAAAAGGGATAGTATTACTCTTTCCTTTGTGCCAGTCTTGATGCCTTTTATCTCTTTTTTCTAACTGACCTAGTTAGTACCTCCAAAATAATGTTAATTAGAAACAGCAGGAGCAGACATGCTTGTCCTGTTCCTGATCTTAACAGATAAGCATCCAGTCCTGTGCCATTATGATGCTAGCTAGAAGTGTTTCAATAGACAGCACTCATCAGGTTGAGGAAGCACTCTTCTAGTCATAGTTTGCTGAATTCTTCATTAAGAACATACAGGTTTTGGGGCCGGGGAGATGGCTCAGTGGAATAAGCGCTTCCCTGGCAAGCGCAAGGGCCTGAGTTCGATCCCTGGTTCCGCCAAAATAAATAAATAAATAAATAAATAAATAAATAAATAAATAAAACATATAGGTTTTAAAGACATTTGCATAATGGCTTCAGTAATAAGATTTCAGCCAGACTGGAGACGCTAGAATGTCACCACCCAGAAAATGCCACCCTGCCTTCTTTTCCTGGTCAATTATCCCCAGCGAGGAGGGGATGGGAGAGCGGAAGAAGGCAACTCCCATACAGCTTATGTAACCTATATCAGTGGAACACAAAGTGGATATTACTGTTGCTCCCACTTTACAGTGAAGGAAACTGGGTTAAGTAAAGTCACCCAAAGTTGCACAATGCTAGTAAGTACCAAGGCTGGGATCTGAACTCAGTTACCTTCATCCCAGAACCCAGGCTCCATATGTTAAGCAGTTCACTCTTGTTCTCATGGCTCCACAGGATTCTGGGTATTTTCTATGCACATACCATCGAAAATGGAAGTCTGGCAGGTGAGTGTGTCCTCTTCAGGTACCACAGTTGACTGCTGTCATCACAGCCAATCACCACCCCCCACCTCCTCTCTCTCCTCACATCTAGACCTCATTAGTCCCTTATTCACTGACTCATCCCTGACCCAAATCTCTGCCTTTGTCTCACTTCTCACCTACCAAATGGGCACCCATCTCTCCTACCAAATATGACTTTCAAAGACCAGCTTCAATAGTCCTTCCACTAAGATGACTCTTCTGTCATTCTCCCCCAAAGGTGGCCTTCATTTCTGAAGGCCCCCACCTAAGGCAAAGTAGTAAGAATAAGGAACACCTTTATCAATCTTATCTATCCAAAGTAGTTTTTTCATTTTTGTTTAAATAAAATGAGATCCATTTTCTTTGTGGTTTCCAGAGAGGAGGAAAGGGAAAACACATGGCCAGAGTTCCCTATTTAAGGAAGTCTCAGAAGGCCTAGAAGACATGGGGACCCAAGGGCCCTGTCTTTCCCCCTTATGAATGCCTTCACATAGTTCAAGGCCCAGCTAAAGTATCACTTGTTCCAGAAGCACCAAGACAGATAAGCCACATTCCCTCTCTCCCACATTTATGATCACAAATGCAATTCTCCGTAATCCTATCTCCCTACTCTACTGCCAACAGTTTGAAGGAAGGAAAGAGGGCTGACTCATCCAAGCAGTGTCCAGCTCCATGCCTGGCACAGGCTGCCACCATCAGTATTGGATGGCTGAGTGGCCAGCCAGATGGCTGGGTATGAACTGAAAAAGTATGCATAGGAGGACAGATGAGTGAATGGGTAGATGGATGAAGAGAGGTTGGATACAAAAGAAACAGGAATGAGGGAACTGATGTGAAGATAGATAAATATATCAATGGGAAAATGGATGAGCAAGATACTTGATAGGAGGTCAGATGGAACAGATGAGTGGATGGATGGATGGATGGATGGATGGATGGATGGATGATGGATATACAAGCTAGGGTGAATGTATGAGAGGATATATGGAAGGGGAATTGGGGGAAATAGAAAAGTAGATGGATGGGGAAGGTAGGTAGATGGGCGTGGGTGGATAAAAAGAGTAACTAGCGTTGGAGTTTGGACAATTGTGGATGACTTGATGGAAGAGTAAACAAGAAATGGAAGAATGGATAGATTTATGACTGTGGGAAAAGGGATGGATGAAGCTCTTAAATCTAGATTAGGCCACCTGATGGAGATTCCTGCCTCCTTCAACACCCTACCAGGATGACAGCATAAATAGTCCACTGCAGAGCTTGAGGTAAGAAGAATCTGCTTATTGGTTCTATCACCTAAAAGCCACAGATTATAGCAAAAAGTTACAATGTATTAATTAGGAATGCATGCTTCATAGTCAGGCCAAATTGGATTTAAATCCTAGCCCTATAGTTCCTACCCACCTAACATTATTCAAGCCTGTTTATTTCCCTAAGCCTTTGACTTATTTGTAAGAAGAGGCAAATCACCCACCTTTCTCTAGGTAATGATAGGCCTTATAAAAACTGTGAAGAGCCTTGACTAGTTCCTAGGAAATAGTCAGAGAATAGTAAATGACAGCTGTGAAGAAATATTAGCCAAGTCACCATCTGCATCCTTACAGAATTCTTGAAACCATTTGAAAGGAAAGAGCTGGCCTTGAGGATATTCTAAACAGAAAGAATGGGCCTAGGGATAGGCTAAAGACAGTGGTCTTAAGCTACCTAGTTCTGTGAGGATTGACTAGCAAAGGGTGTGACTGAGGTTAACAATAGCAAGATCACAAAGTCAGTACTTTTTTTAATCCTTCTTGAAAAGGTTGTACCAAGAGAAGGTGAGACACCACACTGGGGAAATCCAGGACCTCCGAGGTAGTGTGAACCAGCTCATGGCCAAACTCAAGGAGATGGAAGCCATGTCAGATGAGGTGAGATGCAGGCCATTCTGCCCAAATATCTAACTTCTCAGTTTGATCTGTCTTCTGTATCTTGTCTTAATCTGTCTTGATTTTGTCCCTCATTTTGATGGAGCCTATCTCCCAACAACCTTTTATGAAAGAGGTATACTTATTTTTTGACAACTTGTATGTTTAGAAACACCTTTACTTTGTACTTGATTGATAGTTTGGCTAGGTATAGAATTTTAGAAAGTTTTTAGATGCCAATAGAATACCCATCTGTGACAGGACTGAACTGGAGAGGGGGAATACAAAGGAAGGACTATTTTGTGTTTGTGTATACAGAATAGTTAGGATAGATATACAGCTACTTTCGATTGGTTCAGTGAGAGGAAGGATTTGTAGTAGTAGTGTTTGGACGAGATGTCCTGGCTGCTTCTTGTGCTGTGGATGGCCACTGAGAAGATAACAATGTGCAATGCATTAAGTATTGAAAATGTCCTGTAAAAAATTTAAAAATAAAAAAAAAGAATTTTAGAAAGTTTCTCCTGAGAATTTTGAAGGAAGCGCACCATTATATTCTAGTTTATACTATTGCTATTGAGAATTGTATTACTACTCTTATTGTTAGTCCTTTGTGTCTAATCTGTTTCTATCTTTTCCTTTTTACTCCATTGTTTTATACAGAACTCACATGGGAGTTGGGTTGGCTGAGTTTATTGAATCTGTAGGTTGATATTTTCAACAGTTTTTGCTTTCATTCTTAGCCTTTATCTTTTAAAATATTGCTTCTTCTGCATCATCTCATTTTTTCTTAGATTCTAATTATATCAGTGCTAAACCATTAAAGTGTATTTTATACGATTTCTATGCTGTTACCTGGCTCATGTATTTTTTCATCCTTTATGTCTAAGTTTTGATATCTTCTTTTGAACTTTCTTCAGGCTTGCTAATAATTTTGTATTATGTCTACGAAGTCTACTATTAATTCAAATATTGTTATTTAGTTCTAGAATACATATTTGAATTTATGGTTTTAATTCTATTGTGAAATTCTCCATCATTTTATCTATGTTATCAATCCTTTCCTTTGTTTTTATAACACATTAGTCATGGTTATTTTAAAAATCTTTGTCTTAATGACAATGTCTGGATTATCTATGATCTTCTGTTTTCTGTTTAGTTTTGTTTTTCTCTTGGGTATCAACTATATGGTTATTTGCTTTCTAATATCTGGTAATTTTTAGCATTTTTCTAGATATTGTGTATGAAAGAATTCTATATGCTTTAAGGAATTATATCTTCCCTCAAGACAGTCCCCCCTCTCTTTTTAAGAAAAATAAAGTAGGCTGACAACTTCCTTATAGACATGCATTGAGCCAATCCAGTCACAATTGTAAATTTTATGAAATTTACTCAGAGATTTTCAGTTTAGCTCCTTAGACTCTTGACCTTGCATCTGTAAAAACTCGCAAATGTTGTCAGAAGGCTGAAGGTATTTGCTGTAAATATCACCATGATGTTTTAAAGGATTGTTTAAAATGTAAACAGTTTTATTCGGACACAGATAAGGTATTTGTTTATACAATACAGTATGAAGCATGGTGTGTACTCTCTAAAAGCTAACCAGTAGTCAGATTCAAGAGAGCTAGTAGCACTCACAGAATACACACTGAGTGTGCAGTTACTGTTCATCACCACCTCAGGCAGGCCTGTTTTAAAACTAAAAACAAAAATTGCAAGTGTTTTAATATCAAGATCAGCCATAGTTTTAGTTTAAGGACTCTCAAGTTTCCAATTTTGTCTTCTAGCCTTGCATAAATGTGAACTCTCAGGCCCCAGTGGTACCTTCTCTGACAGAGGCAAACTTGGGCTCTTGTTTCTAATTATGCCTGGGGGTAGTATGCTAGGGAAAATATAGCTCTGGGTACTCTGTGTTGACTCACCATTTTTTCTAGGACAGTGCAATCTCAGTGTGCCTCAGTATGTCTGCAGCACCATATCTGGGCCCCATCCAAGACTAAGGAATCAGATATTGGGAAGCTGGGAGCAAGCAATGAGTTCCTAACATATACCATAGAGAACCACTATCCTAAGGCTTCCATCTCACACTTGTTTTGTGTTTTGTTTTGTTTTGGGACATCCTCCTTTAGATGAAGTTGATTCTTAAGCTATATGAGGATGTGATGTCTTATTCTTTCAGAAGTGCTGCACATAGTTCATTAGTCTCCTGTAGTCTTGAAATGTGGGGGACACTGGCTATGTTGGATGCTCCCTCAGTCCTCAAATTTGTCACTTTGTCCCTGTGTGATCACTAACGACCTTATTGCTTTCCCTTTCACCAACAGGAGTCTACTGCCTGGCCTAAGCCCAGATTCTGAGCTCATGCCCAGAATCATCAGATGCCCCAAGGGCTGATTAATAGAAATTGCCAGCAAATCTCAGAATAGTTCTCCTCACTTTAGAGTCTTAATCTGACTCATTTATTCCATCACTTTTTTTTTTTTTTTTTCAGAACCAGGGATTAAACTCAGGCCTTGTGCTTGCCAGGCAAGCGCTTATTCTACTGAGCCATCTCCCCAGCCCCCATCACTCCTAATGGCTTCAAAATATGATTTAATGGTGCCCTGAGTTTTTCTACCCATTGTTATTGTAAGCTTTGTGCTTACCTCATCTTACTGTGGAGCCCTACGTCTTACCTGACAACTGTCGCAAAAACATACCAATAGGCTGACTAACCTTAGAAACCATTCAGTCTGGAAACTCATGTCCCTCAGTCCTAAGAAATATTCATTAATCATATAATTAAACTAGTGGAAGGACCAGTGAGATAGCCCAGCGGACTAAGCACTGGGTTAGGCAAGCGCAGGGACTGGGTATTCAATCCCCAGAACCACATGCTGCACTGACCCCACCCATGAGCACACTGAGCCATCCACCGAGTCTGGGCATGGTGATGCGCATCTGTAATCCCAGTGCTGGGGAGGCTCAAAACAAGAGGATTACTATGAGTTCGAGCTGTGTAGTGAGACCTTATACCAAATACATAAAATAATAATAATAATAAATAAATAAACAAACTAGTGATTTTTCTCACTGGTCCTGTTTTTTTCTTTTCTCATTTTTAGGCACTTATTATTTGGGTGCTAACTCCTGAGCTAATTTGCTACTTTTTTCTCTCTTCTCCCTGTTTTCCTCTCTTTGTCTCTTCGTTCTACAGTTAAGAAAATGTTCCCAGCCTTTCTCTACCAAAACCTTGATGGTGTTTGTGCTGATGTGTTTTGAGTTCTCCAGAACTTTGAGTTTGTTCTCCTAGGCTTTCCCTTTTGTAGAATTTTGTTCTTGTTTCATAAATATGTATCTTTTCTAACTTCTCTCAGCTTTTAAAGATCATTTTCCTTTTGAAGTCTTCTTCCTCCTGCACAGGCTCACTGTAGCGTGACCCATTTTGCTTTGATTTCCTCCCTGTTAAAAACTCTCCTTGGCTGTCTGAAAAATCCTTAAAATGACTGCTCAGATAGAGCCTGCAGGGCATACCACCAATTTTTATCATAAAGGCACATATTGTGGAGGAATAATAACTACATTTATTCTTTAGATTATATCTATTGATAAATTATTCATTTTAATTTTATGAGTTTTTTTACATCAAACAATGAGTACTTAACAGGAAAAAATCAAAACAATAAAATGTTAACTTTTTAATATTTATTATTTATTTAAAATACATCAAAATTTTCAACATCAACTGGTTTTAGTCTTCGTAAAAAAAGTCTTCCCCAGTTCCGCAAAAAAAAAAAAAGTCCTCAAAAACTGGGAGAATTAAGTTCCTATATGAACTAGAATGAAAATATCAATTGAGCTCTACTAAAAAATAATCTATCTTCAATTATCACACCTAAGGCAGTCGTCACACATGACAACAGCATGTTCCACACATACGTGTTACTTACAGTGACAGTGTGTGTGTTTTGCTTTCCTGGACTTTTTGTAAGACATACTTGACATCTTGCTGGCCTTGCTGTTTTGTCAGGAGGTTCTTATATTATACAATGTGTAGTTAACAACACAGCATATCCATAACAGAGTATTAAGTTATTAATATGTATTGTGCATCTAGAATGAACATCAACATTTTCACATCAGCTATGTACTTACTTACAAAACCTAACATATAACATCAGAAATAAACTTCTATATGAACTTCAAGGAAAATACCTAGGGCTCTACAACAAGTCTTTGCTTCAGTTGTCACACCCAAGACAGTCCTCACATATGACACCTGTGTGTTCCATGCACATGTGTCTTTTTTACACTGATAGCACACAGACTTAGGTCTCCTTTCCTGTGTGGCAGGCCATTCTTGTCACCTCTGTTGTTTCCTTGTTTTGTCAGGAGCTTCCTACTCTATTTTACAACCTGCACTTAGTATAAAAATAAGATACCAATAAAGTAAAATGTCAAGTTTGTAATGAGTGGTTAGAATAGACATCAACATTTTCACATCAGCTATTTACTTGCTTACAAAACCTAAAAGGTAACATCAGAAATTAAAATCTATGTAAATGATAATGTAAGCACAAACAAACAAAAGTCTGCCACACAAATAATCTCTGCTTCAACTGTCACACCAAGGCAGGTTTGACACATGAAAAATACATGTTTCATACACAAATATGCTTACACTGATAGCGTGTTCATTTTATTTTCCTATCCTTCCTTGTAGGGCAAAGGTAACATCTTTTTTATTTTCCTTTTGTCATAGTAGGTCTTTGTGGTGCCGTGCCTGGCTATTTACCTGTTGGCTCACCAGTGTGCTCCACAATTTTTGTGTAGTTCCCCGGGCAGAAACATTTTGTTTTTCCTCTACTGTAAATGATCTCTTACAAGTTCCAATCCCAATTAGCTAAGAAAACTTCTCCATGATATTTTGCACTTGTTGTTCTCTTTGTAAACTGTGGAGAGCAGCTGAAGTTGGAAAGTAAGTACATGTGCAGGACGGAGCCAGCCCAAGGACACAGGAGCTCCTCGAAGCATGTAAACAAGCTGTTGCGGCTTGTTAACTGCTTTCTGGGTACAGAGGTTGAAATTTAAATCAACCTCTCAAGGTTGTAAATAAATGCTCTACCATTCTTGAGAAGTTCCTCTCCCTCACCTGGGAGAGAAAGGAGTTCGACCTGACCCAGCTGTTGTCTCTTGTCTATGTTTTCCTCATTGTTGCCACCATTCCTGCCCAGGGTACACTGAGAGTCCAACAGTTCCCTACAGTAAATGGTCAAATTGTTTATGCCACACTTGTTTAGGGTAAAGTAAAGCAACATTTGTGTTTCAAGTGACATCACAGTTACTGCACAACTCATGAACAACATCTACTCTGTCTTTGATTTTTTTGTTGCAAGTTACTATCTCAGGCTTCCATTTTGCCAACTTTTCCTATCCATATTTCCATCATGGTGCAATATTGACACTAAAAGTACCAGTTTGTTTTTCTTCCTCATATGAGGCCAATGTTAATCTTTCTGAAACCCAAAGATTGTACAGTTCTCTGTTTTGAAATTGCAACATTTTATTTGGAATTTCTGCTTTGTTTCTGCATATAGTTCTTATACTGGCCAACTTGTGCTTTGTTAGCAAATGTAACATCAATTGGAAACAGATAAACCCAATTATCGAATGTCACATTCTGATTACTTAGGGAAATGGGAACAACAAGTCTGTTCACACCATTTGGTTTACAACTACACAAATGGGGAAGGGGGCAGGGAGATGGCTCAGTAGAATAAGCACTTGCTTGGCCTGAGTTCAATCCCTGGTTCTGCCAAAAAAAAAAAAAAAGCCATAAAACTACATAAATAAGGACCTGGTGGCTGAGTTTCAGAACAAATTTCTAAACTAAAAGCATAATAAGTCTTATTCATATCTATAAGCACATAAATTTTAATGCCATACTTTGAAGGTTTGGGGAAAATATATTCCCTAAAACTACTGCAATCATGAAATAATGCGAGATGTTCGGTAGTCATGTATTCAGATGGTGTGTAAAGTGCTTGAAAATTACCTATAAATCTCTCAAACAATGAGTGAATAGCAGCCAGATTATTCCTTTTGTTGTTGGTGGTGGATGGTTTTGTCAGCAAACCTCAGGCAAAGAATCTCTGCAGAGTCGTCATTCTACAAACCTCAAGCCCACACCCATCTTTTTTCCATAAGTCTTTTACATCCCTGCAATTACCATGAGGAAGCCCTGCTAGGTACAGCAGACCCATGAATGCTTTCAGTTCAGTTAATGAGGTGTCATAATAAATATATCTTTGTGTATGGCTATCGATGCATATAGAACATTTTATTTGTATCTCAGAATTTGTGTATTTTGCATTGTATAGCATTTCCTCTCACAGAAAAGTTCCAACACTAACTGGCAGCTCTGGCATTCCATCCAATAGGCTCTACCTCTGCCAAGAAGATCCTCACTATATATTTCTACTAGTCAAATATGTACTCACATTGCTGTTATCTTCACCACCTGAATCCAGGAGGTCTGCATTCCTTGTATCTGTATTGATTGATTCCTGCTCCATTTCACTGCCACAGGAACTTTGGCTCACATGGACAACATCAAAGGCATTATCATCTTCTTGACCCATGCATGACTGAGCAGATGATTCACTTTCCAACTCCTCCAAAACTTTTGAATCTGTTTTTTCACGTGCCATTGTGCTGAATTGGGCTACTCTTAACAGAAAAATCAAAAGATGCCATTTTTTAAAACAAACCCTAAATACACAGAAATTTATCAAAGAGCATTTCATGGATACAACTCACCTGTTGTGTTTTGGCTGTCCTGTATCCACTTTGCCATTCATCCACCAAGTAGCCAAATGCCCAGGTGGGTTTCTCTTTTCCCCAGGCACAGCTTCTGTGAGTCACACCCACATTCCAGTTGGGGTAAAATATATGCTTACTGAAGTATGGTGTGGGTGTACATCACCCCCCGTGATGCTTAGATAAACAGTAAAAATCCCAGTTTAACACTATTGCACTTTTGGCATATACCTTGCTGTTCATCATACCAAGTGGATAAACACAAACATTACTTTCTGTATCCCCTAGGTGCAGCCACTGAGTCACACAGCCAGCTACTATTATGTTTAAGCACAAACTTAAAGTAGAAAAGTCTGAGAATGGTTACTGTAACTCAGTGTTGTGCTTAACAGGAGAATGAACAAGCTGGCTACTAGCTCTAAAAGTGTGCCAAGAGGTCAGCAACTTTGGGTTTTCCTGCTGGGCACAGTCCCTTGGGGAACACCTGATGAGGTACCTTGGGTGGGCTGACTCCCCCAAGACTAGGGAGTGGGTTGGAGGGGTCAGTGTACATGCACATCTAAATTCTACCTTCAACCCTGCCTGCCCTTCCTCAGACCAGAGATTGTCTAATCTTTGCTTTATTGAAATATACATAGAGCAAAATGCACTAGTCTTGCTTACCCTGCACAGTGAATTTTACATTATACACAACTATGTAACCCTACCCAAACCACAATCCAGGAGATTGCTAGCAGATTTCGTTGTCTCATTTCCCAGGCTCTATTCTCTCAGAATCAACCACTATTCTGACTTTTACCATTGCCTATTTCTGGATTTTTATATAAATGGAATACTATAATACTATGTTCTTATTTATGCTACACATAACATCTGAGACCCATTCACATTATTGGTAACAATAGACCGTCAATAGCTGCTTTCCATTTTATCACTGCCCAGTACTCCATTGGTGTTATATCATGGATTACCCATTCTACTAAGGATAGAAATTTGGATTGGTTCTAATTTGAGACTCTTAAAGCTACCATAAGCATTCTTGTACAAACCATCTGGTGAGCATAGATACTTAGTTCCCCTTGCGAGTGTCTATTTCTAGGGGTGGAAGTGCTAGGACATAAGGTGTGTATACATTCATTTTATTAGATGCTCCCAAGAGCAGCACATGCAAATTCTAGTTGTCTCAACTCCTTCCAAAAGTATGAATTATGTCTTTTTCATGTTCTCATTCTGGCAGGTGAGAAGCCATGCCCCACTGAGGTTTACTTTGCATTGCATTGATTGTTAACCATGCTGGATGTCTTTTCATTATTTATTGGCCATTTGGATTTCTGCCTGGAGTCTCCAGAGAAAGGGAGTTCTTAATTATGTGTATGAGTTTGTATGTGCTCTGGACACATATCCTTAGCTGGATATACATATTGTAAATATCATTTCCTATGGTTTTCCAGTCTACAGTCTGCCTTCTCCCACTCAGTGGTGATGATGAGTGAAAGCTTTCAACTTTAGTTGGTCCAATGTGTCTATCTCATGCTGCAGCTGGGAGGAGTCTAGTGCTGCACCTCTGCTGAGACTGCGTAGTCTTCAGCTAACAGGGGAGCGTGGAGGTTAGAGACTGTGCTGCCAGTTCCACCTCTTAACTATTGTGGGAACTTGCATAAGCATCCTCTGCTCAAAGGGATGATGAAGGGCTGAGTGCAACCTGTGAGGCCAAGAATAGCCCTGGTACCTAGGGACTTTGTAGACCTCTCTTACCCTCAGACAACTTCACAGCCCTGGACAGAAGACATGAGCATGGCCCCATCATATAACTGAAAAAAGACTCAGAGAGCCCAGGCATAGTGGCACATGCCTATAATCCTAGCAACAGGAGGCTGAGGTAGGAGGATGGTTGCAAGTTCAAGAACAGCCTGGGCTACGAATTAAGCTCAAGGTCAGCCTGAACTGCATAGAGAGATCCTATTTCAAAAAAGAAAGAAAGAAAGAAAAAAGAAAAAAAAAAATACCTCAGAGGTGACTCTTCCCCAAGGCTGCACAGCAGCAAGCATCCTTGTGATTGCAGAGCTGTATCCCTGACCTCAGCGACTCAAGGACAGCCAGTTGTGATGATACACAACTATAATCCTCAGTACTCTGGGAGGCGAGGCCGGAGAATCAGAAGTTTGAGCCCAGTGAAGGCGACTTAGCACTTTAAGGAGACCCTGTCTCTTAAAAAAGAAAGTGTTTTTAAAAGGCTGGGGATGGAGCTCAGTGCAAAGGCCCTGGGTTTAATCTCCAGAACCGTAACACTCACACACAAACGACTCAGGACCTCCAGATGACATCCCAGCATGGTGGCCTTGAAAGCTCACAGCAAGCCCAAGTGAGTGATTTGGCTCTGTCCCAGGAGCTTCCTCCTGCACAGCATCTGGGCCTTCTGTCCTGTGCAGGGCCAGCCACAGCAGCTGCAGGTGGGGACAGGCCTGCTAGGAAAGAGGATGCCCCACAGCCACCTGTGCCTTGCAGAGGACTCACACGAGACTGTGATCTGTACAAACATACCAGGCACAGCTTGGGTTTTCTGTCTTTTCAGCAAAAACTGGCCCAGAAGATCATGAAGATGATACACGGTGACTACATTGAAAAGCCGGACTTTGCCCTGAAATCCATAGGCAAGTGGGCTCCTCAACCCCATCTACCTATTATCTCCAGTGTCCTCAGAGGACGACACTAGCTCTGGGTGGGCCACGCCTGCTGCTGGGATGTCCCTCTTTAAGCTAGCCTCTGCTCCCAGCCAGTTTCATTTTCCCTAAAAGAGTCTGGCCCGAGGCAGGGGCAGAAGCCCAAGGCCCTCTACAGTGCCCACCTCCCCACTGCTGCCACCTCACACTATTCTCTACATCTGGGCTGAGTACACAGAGGTCACTAGGGCAGCCTTGTCCCTGTCCTGGGGGATTGTGAGACTGGCCAGAAACAAACCAGCCAGGTCAGAATGGCAGGCAGGAGCCATAAAGCAGGGCTCTGGATAGGGGACCCAGGCAGGAGGGCCTCCTGCTGGGGGACACTTGGGTTGAATTCAGAAAGGAAGGAAAATCTCTCCTGACCAAGTGGACACATGAAAAGTACTCTGGGCAGAGGCCCGCAGGAGCCAGCAAGGAGCACCGGGAAGGCAGTGAGGAGACAGATGAGTGGACAGGACAGGGGCATGCGGGGCCTCCAGGGGGAGCACCAGGCAGCACCAGCTGACCTGTGTACCCTGAGCTTAGTGGCAGGTGTAGTCAGAAGGCAGCAGCCGAATGCAAGCCCGCTCAGGCCTGGCTAAGCCCCCAAGGCCTGGCATCTCCCTTCCATGCGCCTGGTACACTTCTGGCCACAGGCACAGTGATGTGGTGCACACTCCAGGGTCACCAGCTCCAGCTGCACCTCAGGAGCGCTGCATCGCACTACCTCATTCCCGCACTCCCCCTGCACAGCACGGGCCCCAGCTAGTGCTGTTGTGGTGACCTCATTGCTCCCATTGTTCAAAGGGGACATGAGCTCTAGGGAGGGCCAGGGATTCAACCAAGCCCTGGTGAGTGAGTGAGCACCCCAGTCCATGCGGCTTCCCTCCATGCAGGTGCCACCATTGACTTCGAGCACACGTCAGCTACATACCACCATGACAAGGCTCGCTCCTACTGGAACTGGATCAGGCTGTGGAACTATGCGCAGCCCCCAGATGTGATCCTTGAGGTAGGGGACAGTGGAGGACAAGGGAAAGGGCAGGGGTGTGGCTGGTATGAGGACAGGAGCTGGCAGCAAGGCAGGGTGGAAACCAGGGTCAGAGGCCTGAGGTGGGGTCAAGAAAAGAACAGACAAATGGGGGCCACCAGTGCTGAGCCCAAGCAAGGACAGCAACAGCTTGTTTTGTGCTGGAAGGCCCCACTCAGCCCTGGAGATTCAGGACCTGGGAGCCGAGGGAGTCTTTGGGAACAGGCCCTTCATCTACGCATTTACAAAGCTCCAGGTCACCTGACTGTGGCCACACAAATGGTCATTGGCATATGGCAGAGCCAAACCTCAAAGCTGAGCAAACTGTTGCTCTGGAGTCCTGCCTCCCAGAGGAGGAAACTGAGACCCAGAGTGGAGAAGGGGTCATCCAGGTCACAGAGCAAGTACTTCTGGGCTTAGCAGATGCCAACTGAGCATATCATCCTCGTTGCCAGCCCCAAGTGGTGCAAAGTCCATGGGTGACACATCTATGGGTCCCACCCTCAGGGACCTCTAGCACTCAGGGTCAGGAGGGAGCAATGGCCTGGCAGGGACAGGGAGGCCTTCCTGTGGAGGCAGCCAGGCGTGAGCAGGGCTGTCAGATAGTTAGAAGGTAGCAAGGCCACATTGGGCATGATAAACTACTTCAGGGCACAGGGAAGGCAAGGTAGTGACAGATCTGGCCAAGGAGGGGCCAGGCCACAGACACACGGCAGGGGTAGGGTGAGGGTTCTCTGCAGCCTAATCCAGCTCCCTGAAGCCCCCGCCCCCTAGGCTGCTCCACTGGCCACTGGGCCTTTTACAGCCTCTGCTCCCTATCCAGCGAGCCCCCATCTCCCCTGTCCCAGCTCCTCCAGCAGCCCCTTGCCCCACTTCCTAAACCCCTGCTGTTTCAGGTCAGGTCTATCCACCCTCTGTCTCCAAAAAGCTCAGGATCTACTAAATGAACAAACACCTTGGCTGTGTGACCTCAGATGAATCTCTTTCCTTCTCTGCGCTTCTGCCTCCTGTTTATGGGGGAGATTGTACTAGTTCATGTTGGGCTCAGGGTTAGATGGCCTGGGTTACACTTCCCGCTCTGCATGGTCCTGAGCCTGTCTATTCTCTGCTGTTTTTAAGTTTCTCCATCTGTAAAACAGGGAAAGTAATGGTGCTTTGGAGGGTGATTGCAAGACTATGAAAAAGAGGGGTGGGATGAATGTGAGAGAATGAATGAATGAGTGAATGAATGAATAATGGTCAAGGGGCTGGAGGTTGAGAAGTCAGAGCAGGTAGGAAGCTCCCAGGAGGAGTGGACACAACCTGGTTCTGCAGAGGAGCAAGAGTGGCTCCTTGTTCTGGGGAACAAGCACAGATGGAGAACCAGACAGGTTGAGGAGCCCCTGTCACAGCCCCTATGACACCTCTTCCAGCCCAACATGACACCAGGCAACTGCTGGGCCTTCGAGGGTGACCGTGGCCAGGTGAGCATCCAACTGGCCCAGAAGGTCTACCTCTCCAATCTCACACTGCAGCACATCCCCAAGACCATCTCTCTGTCAGGCAGCCTGGACACCGCCCCCAAGGACTTCGTTGTCTATGTGAGTTGCCCGGTGGGGAGCATGCTTAGCGAGGGGACACCACATAGCATGGCAGCCCAGGACCCAGCCTTCAAGGATGGGCACAAACACCTGCTCCAGCCAGCCAGGCTCTTCAGAGCCAAGAGCCTGCAGAGACCACGGAGCTCCCATTTTGCTGAGAAGGTCCAGAGAACTGTCAGGACTTTGTGGGTAAAATGAGGTCCAGATGTCAGCAAAACATTCCAGTCCTACATGTCAATGGCAGAGTTGGGAGAGGCCCTCTGCCTCTGACTCCAAGCCCAAGGCACTTTCTGACCATTAAACTGTACGCCAATGGAACACTGTCCACAAAGTGAGGAGCTCCCCATCCCAGGTGGTGGGCAACTCTCAGCGGGAGAGGACACACACCCCTGGAGGAGGGCCTGTCCCTAAGGTCACTTCCTTGGTCGGATTTCACAGGGCATGGAGAGCTCCCCTGGGGAGGAGGTGTTCCTCGGGGCGTTCCAGTTCCAACCGGAAAACATCATCCAGATGTTCGAACTCCAGGTACCTGCACACCTGCTGTGCTACCCTGGGCCCCACTCATCCCCACAGCTGGGGGCACCAGGTGCTAATACCCATTTGACAAAGAAGCCAAGGCTCAGAGAGATGGAGCCACTGCCTGGGCCAACAACAGGACCCCAGGGAGATCTGCCCACCTCTGGAAATTCCCACATTCCCTGATCTGCCCAGGAGCCCTCTTGCTGCATTTCTCTCAGGGCCAGCAGATGTTGGACCCATCAGGTGAGGGGGGTCTATAGATGCGGAGCCCCCTTATCAGTACCTGACCCAAGGACAGGTGGGGAACTAGAGGGACTTGGGGATAGGAGTGGGATCAGTGGTGGCCGGAATGGCATGGTGGCGGTGTGCAGGCTTGAGAATTAGGCCATGACTGGCCCAAATCTCACCCTGGCAACTAATTTTGTATAGCGTTGCGGCTTTTTCTGCCTCTGAGCCTGGTTTCACCCCTGTAATTCCCGGTTGGTTGAATCCAGCAGTGAGGTCTGAAGGTCACGCCTCCCCCCTTTCTGCACCAAGTAAACACTGGCTCCATCCCTCCAGAGAGAGAAAGGAAGCCGGTGCCCCGGGTCCCATTTCATGCTCACAGCAGTCGGGAGCAGGTTTTACCACTCCCATCTGGGGGGGGTGGGGGGCTGAGGCCCAGAGGGGCGTCCCATAGCACAGGCCCCAAGGCCCGACCATTTCCCTCACCCCAGCAGGCCTGGCCTGGCCTCAGGGCCTCCTATCCCAAAGCCTGAGTACTTTTGGACTTTCTATGTGGGCCGGAGGCAGTTCTCTCGCCTCTCTCTCTGGGCCTGGGAAATGGGAGCGTTCCCTTTCACTGCCGAAGGCCCCTTGGCTGGGCAGCACGAAGGCCTGTGGGTCACGCTGGCTCTGTGTCCAATCCGATCCTCCAGAACCAGCAGCTGCAGGCCTTTGGTGCCGTCAAGGTGAAGATCTCCAGCAACTGGGGGAACCCGCGCTTCACCTGCCTGTACCGCGTACGCGTGCACGGCTCTGTGTCCCCGCCCCCCAGAGCCCTGCCCTAGAAGACTATAAAATGTATTCTTTAGCCCAGCCCACATCTGTTTGTCTGCACGCCACTGGGCGCCAAGGCACCTTCACAACAGACCAAAGGAGGTAGCATTTCACAGATGATAAGAGTGAAGGTTCCACACAATAAAGTGACATACTGGGGGCCACAGCCAGCAAAAGGTCAGACCCAGTGTCTGATTTCAGTACAAAGGACACATCTCGGTTTCAAATGGAGCTTAGCCCAGACCTGTGTGACCTCCAGCAAAACTCACCCTCCCAGGGCCTCGGTCTCCCCATCTGTACAACAGGGGCAGGATGATGGGTGTTACGCCAGATGAGGTGGCAGGTAAGAAGTCCCACGTCTGCCCTCCTCAGAGTGTTCCACCATCCTGTGACTGATTCGCTGTGTGATATTGGGTGAGACACGTGCCCTCTTGGGACATCAGTTTTTCCAGGTATGAAAGTTCCTGTTCCCCAACCTCAGTCATTCCAGTTATGTATGTGTGTCATTTTTCTCCTTTGTACTACATTTACTTGGCAGCGTAGAGAAGCACTCAGACAGCATCCTCTGTCAGTACCCCTCACCGCACCAGCATGACACACAGTAGCATGACGACACACAGACACACACACATTTGCTCTTTAGTGCGTAGACACAAGATACAGATATATGAAAGCTCCTTAGTGCATCTGCAGTCTACCTCGGTGAGTGGTGTGAGGTAGGGATCGAATTTGCATTACACGTGATTACACTGTAGCTCACAGCATGGCACCATCTGCCTTATTTGTACACACAGTTGGTGTGGCTTGCAGTCCCTCCATTTCACTGAGCGCTGCCCTCTCTGCATCCATACCAAGTTGCTTGATTTACTCTGCCAGACAGCAGGCTCCATTTGTGTTCAGCAAGTATTCTGCCTCCCAACACCTTACTGAAAGTTTTCCTATACTTTCTTTTCCAGGGAAACTTTAGAAGGAGCTTTTTGGGTTGCATTTTCAAAACACTACTGCCTGCCCAGGCTTTGAGAGATCGTATATGAGGGATGAGTACCTTGGCCAAGTCAGTGTTTCTCTTCCCAGAACTAGAACCTTCCCTCCACTTCTCAACATCCTTCTGTAAGGTGGCATCAGTTGCTTCATATGAATTCTGCGCTTCTTGCTGGATTTAATCCTGGGCATTTAAGCAATTCTAGGGCTACTATAAATGAGGTCTTTACCACTGGTGACATCTATAAAGGGCATTCCTGCTGTTTGGTATTCAGGGTGGCATTTACCCTTCCACAGTCCTCACCTTCCAGGGTTCAAGGTATTTCTCAGGAACATTCTAGGTAGACACTCCCAGAATCCTTAAATGTTACATAATCTACCATGTGTTCAAAACCATCACCCCTCTCCTCAATATAGGGATGATGCTTCCCCACAGACACTAGGAAACTGAGGCACAGGAAGATCCAGCTTCTCAAGGTCACACAGTGACCTGCGGTACAACTTTAACTAGCCCAGACACTCCAGGCCCCAAAGTGTTTCCTGGCCCACCTCCCATGTCTTCCCATGGTCATGGCAGATCCCAGAGGGTTCGGATATCTGCACTCCATGGAGCAGTGAGTAGAAGGCAGGACAGTGGCTGTGACACTGGTCCCTGCAGAGTGGGACACCCCTCCTCAGGATGCTGAGATGGGCACAGACAATGTACAGCCGTGACAGAGCCCAGCAGGTGCTCTATGAGCGAGAGTCTCGTTCCTAACAGGAGGAGCCCCACAGCACCTGGCCTGGCCCAGCCCGGGTCACCAGGCTCCCTTACCCTCTGTCTTTACCATCCCCTCATGTCCTTTGAGACCAATGCACAACCCACTGGGTGGGCACTGCAGTTCACCAGGCACTGAAGTGGCCCTCTGTACAGACACAGCAAGAGCCCCCAATTCTCCCAGAGCCCTGATCTGTCCAGCAGGCAGCAGGGGCCAGATGGATCAAGGAGACCTTGCCTCTGCACAGCAGCCTGCAGGAAAACAAAGATGCCTCCCCCTCCTATGCAGAGGCCTGGAGTGGCAGAGTGGGCCACCAGCCAGCGGGGGAACAGCTCAGCTTAGTGACCAAAACCAAACTGGAAGCTGGGTGGGTGGTGCATGCCTGTAACTCCGGTACTTGGGAGGCTGAGGCAGAAAAATTGCCTTGAGTTTGAGGCTACCCTGTTCTACACAGAGTCCACAGCCAGCCTGAACTGCATAGTGAGACCTTGTTTCAAAGAAAACCGGAGGTACAGAGTACCAAACCACCCCCAGGGCCCCAAGGTGGCACCTCTGGTAAGCCTAGTGCAACCCAGGGATTTAGCTAATCCTGCTAATCTCCAGAGCCAGCTCAGCTTACTAGGCAGGCAGGCAGGGCCTCTAATTCTCTGAGACTCAGAGACCCCAGGACTAATGGGCAGTGGGCCACAGAACTCTGAGTCCCCTGTGTCCCCTTGAAGGCAATGCCTTCTCGGTCTCAGTTTCCCCATCTGCACCAGGAGATGCTGGCCCTCACCCCTCTCTTCTGGAGGTAGCCTGGGACCCAAGTCTCAGTGTGCAACACCCTTGCTGTCTGAAGTGCAGAGTGTAACCTCCCTCATGAGGACAAGAGGAAGTACACACTGTTTGTTCAAGTCAAATCCCAGTGAACCCTGTGTGCCTGTGCCAGCAGGGAGCCCTACCATGGCCAAGATAATGGCCCTGAAGAGGCTGCTGGTCCCCTATCAGTCCTGGACACAGCAAGCCCAGCCCCAAGGCCCCCAATTAGCCCTCTCTGTGACCATGGAGTCCCTGGGGCTCACGGGAAGCTCTAGGTGGCATAGATCCTGGCCCTCACCCCACGCCCCATAGCCTCACATCTGTGGCTGCAAAGAACTTTCTGTCTTGTGCACTCTCAGGTCCTCCGCTCAGGCTCCAGGAGGGGTCCAAGCAGGGTCAGTGAATGACAGGCACTCCTGTCTCAGGATGGCATGGGGTGACCTTCCAGCCCCTTACAGGCTTTTCAGGGCATCAGCTGAGTCTGGAGTAGCCAGGGGTCTCAGACACAGAATAGTGGAGCTCCCTCTCAGGCTGCCACCCTTCCACCACCATGCCTCCAGCCAGCAGTGTGGTCACCCCACGGGCATTACCTCTGGAGGCCCCTCTGGGACAGGAGGAAAGTCCCTGGATGTCCTCTCCACCCAGCACAGATAAGCTGGCGCCACCCTGGGAGCCCTGAGACCTGAGCTGCACAAGGAGACGGGCACCAAACACGCCCCACAGCAGGTGCGCTCGCTGAGCACTCAGCCTTTGGTGGCCGTGCTGGGTGGCTGCTGGCGGGAGGTCAGGGAGGCTGGGCCGCAGGAACAGGGTTTGTAGCTGTGGGTGCTCAGGGAAGATGAGCCAGGAGGTGCCCAACCCCTATGCCATGGCACAGCTAGCTCTCTCCTGCAGCCCCCATGAGAATTTCAGGGGGACACAGCTGCTGGGCTTGGGACCCCAACCCAGGCTACTCAAGAAAGGACTTTGTGACAGTCCAGTGAGGAACTGAATCCCTTGTGCTGGCAGGTGTGCAAGCCCAGGTGGATGAGTGTGCTCAAGAGCCCAGATTCTGTGGATTTTCCACTTTCTCCTCCCCCATAAGGGGTCCTCAGTCCTAGCTACCTAAGAGTGCCACCCACCAGAAGGTGGCTCTTATTTTAATCTGACACACTAGGAAGGTCTGCCTTGCTTACCAGATTAGGTCCAGACAGGTTCAGCCACCAGCTAGTGATCATCCAGCCCCTTGTGGGGCACAGCCCAGTGGGCATCCAAGGATCATGTGGGAGAGAATCTGGCCTGCTGTCCATCCTGCTCTGACTTCCATGCTGCAGGGTAGCCTTGGACAAGTCACTTCCCCTTGCTGAGTCTCTACTCTCTTAAATTGAAGGAAAGGCTACCCAGCTCCCTGGGTGTCCTCAGGACAAACCCAGGGGCTTGAGTGTGGCACCTCCCTTGCACCTATCTCACTGCCACACATCCCGACAGCCCTACTTCCTGCACCACACTCAACTCCACTGTCTCACTGTCCCCTGTACACTTCAGGCTCTGACCTTCCTCCATGCCCACCCCATTGGGTGTGGAGCTGCTAAGAGAACTGATGGTCCCGCAGAGGCCTTGATAGGTACTTCCAGGGCCAGAGGAAGGCTCTAAAGTCAGAGGGCAGCAGAGCTAAGTAGAATGCTCCACCATGCTCCAATCTCTGCTGAGACAAAATAGCACACAAACACGGGCTGGGGAGCAGTGCCTGATGGTAAAGGAAGTAGCCACTGCCACCCATGGACAGCTGCTAGGCCTCTGGACCAGGTTGGGCTTCACCCTTCTGTAAAGCTAAATTGATTTTTCCACCATTCAGCATCCCCAACTGGTGACCCACCTTCTGCACCTTCATGGGCCTACCAAGCCCCTAACCCCAAGTACCAGCCTGTCACTTGCCAGGCAGCTGCATCCTCGAAAGGGAGCACTCTCCTTTCTGCATCCTTGCCAGGGAATGACTGGGCTCAAAGTTATAGCAGGTACCTGTGCAGGCATCTGCAGGTGCCATGCAGCCCAACCCTACCACCTGCAGGATTTCAACATTGGAGAACATTTATTTTTTTTCTCCACGATTTTGTGTGGGGGCAGAAGATAGGGAGACTTCTCCAGAGAGGCAGAGTGGCGCTATAAGGGAAGGTTCCACGTAGCCTGGGCCTGGCAGGGTGTGAGCCGAGGACCCCAGGATTCCGTGGGCTGAGGTGCCCTGCAGTACTGAAAAGGAGGTCAGGGCCTCTCTGCAAGGCCTCTCTGTCCTCTGTGCAGAGAGGACACAAGGGTGGCTTCCAGAGGCCCTGGGTGTTGCTCAAAAGAGGAGGCAGTGTCCACAGGCTCTCTGAGCTCTGCAGATGGACATGGACCCCAAGGCAAGGCTGAGACATGGGATTGGGCTATGGAAACTTGCCAGAGCTATTATAAGGGACAGAGGACCTGGGCCTCAGGGATGCAGGTAGGTTGGAGGCTGGCAGCTTGGAGGCCGAGGTCACTGTGGACACAGATGGGGAAGTGGAAGGGATGGTAGCCAGGGCCTCGGCTGGGGTGTCCACAAAGGTCCGCTTCCTGACAGTCTCCAAATTCTTCCGGATGCCAGGGGCCACCTGAAAGGCACTCTGGACCTGCTGGTCAGAGGCCCGGTTGGTCAGGAAGTCAGGTTGCTGGACAGGTGTCAGATCGTTGAAGTAAAGACACTGGTAGATCTGAGGTGAAATCTGTGGGGACAGGGCAGGCAAGAGTGTGGGGCACTATGGGAGCTGACAGCACACAGGGCCAAGAGCAGGCTTGCAGGAGAGAAGGGCCTGGAGGTCTTCCCGACAAAAGCAGCAGCCTCCAAAGCTCAGGGTTGTGCTCCCTCTCCTCCAGCTGGAGCCCCCTGAACCCCTGGGAGGTCAGCGCTATTCCCTCCTAAGAACAACGCCATGACCTGGACCAAAGCAAGCACAGGTGCAGAGAGCCGCTCCAATGTGCACACTTCTCCCATAGAGCTCTGGTGGCTAGTCAGGTGCCTGGAGGAGGAGGAGCTCCTCCTATGGACCAGACAAGCTAAGGAATAAAACCTGTAATCATGGCCTCAACTGCACCATCCCTGGCAAGCACCGAGTCCATCGCAGTCTGCTGCCAGAATTGCCTGTGCCCCAGAGCCCTGACAAAGCCCACATGCTCCTGCTCCCCTGCTGGAGGCCACATGGGAGGTGGGATCCCAGGCTCCACAGGCCCGTGCTGCTTACCTGCTGCTTCATCCAGCTGTAATTCACACTGGCAGACAGGACTCTGTGGGTCTGCAGCCTTCTCCTGGGCTTATATGCTGCTCCTACGACTTTGCTCACCTGCAGGAGCAGCAGGGGACAGTGAAGGCTGAGTGTGGGCCCCGCCCCTCCCACACTCACAGCAGCCTCACCTGCCTGCCTTTGGACACCCATTGGTTCCAACTCTCCTCGATGTCCTCCAGCGAGTACTCTCGGGCCCATGGGGACATCTGGGCCATCCTCTGCAGCCGGGTCCTGGCCTCAGCCTCCACCTCCTCCTTCCCATTTAGGAATGCCATCAGGGCCACCTGCTCCCGCTGCTGGTATGCCAGGGCCTCCGCCAGATCCCTTCTGAGAGGGGCTTTTCTTCACAACACACCCCTCACCTTCCCAGGAGGGTCTGCCTGTCCCCCAGGGATGCAACACGCTCTGCAGAGACCATCACTGAGCAAGTGTTCACTGATGTCAGCAGAACCTAGCTGTGGCTGGCCACTCTGCCCACCACCCTGTGCTTTCCTGTAGCGTGGCCTGACCCATCACTCTAGCTTGCCTGGACCTCCCCAGTGGAATATTTCAACATCCACCCCCACCCTAGGCAAACCTTGCCTCTGCCTTGTTTTCTTCCCCTCACAGGACTGTCAAAGCATATGCCACAATGGGAGCAGAGAAGCTACAAAGATTCTATTTGTGCCTAGCAAACTCCTACATATATAACCCAACTCCAAAATCTCTCCTAGAAAGTTTTCCTTACTTAAGCTCCCCAACCAGGTAGCTTGTCCTCAAAGCCATCCCCATACCTAATATCCCCAACACTATACACAGAACTACATCCATGAGTTTGTATGTCTATCTCTTAAAGGGACTATGAGGCAGAACCTGTATGTGGAGGCAAGCAGAATCTCAATCATAATCTCAATAATTGTGTGTGTGTGTGTGTGTGTGTGTGTGTGTACTAGGGGTCAAACTCAGGACCTTGCACAGCTAAGCTAGTACACTACCACTGAGCCTCACCTCCAAGTCTCAAAAAAATTTTGAATAAACCAAAATTATCGGAGACTTGGACAGAATAAGAACAGGGAGGGTGGAGAAGGAACAAGCTGCTGCCTGCCCACTCTTCCTCGTGACTCAGGGAAGTAAAACGAACGCCTGCTGCAGCGCTGGGCCATGGGCCTGGGCACGGGCTCCTCCCACCAGAAGCCTGTGGCCCTGCGGAAACGTCCTCTGGGGGCTCCGCCAATGCCCTGGCAAATCTGAATCTGGCTCAGTAGTGGGATGCTAGCTACATGCTTGGGGACTCCATTTTGTTCACTCTACAGTCTCTGCACTGAGCTGAGCAGGCTGTCTGCAGGCCCCGAGCCACAGGTGTTCCAAGGGCCCCCCAAGCTTGCCCGTGCTACTCTGTTGAGGGAGAGGCTCACAGCCTCCTATGCTGTGGCCAGAGACCACCAAGTAGGCTGTGGGAACTCACTGCAGCTCCAGGTGGGAGCCCTTGAGCACAGTGCCTGTGGAATCTGCCTTCTCCTCTAGGCTTGTGCTCTGTTCTTGACCATCCATCGTGGCATGCTGGACCTTTTTCCAAATGCTCAGGCCAAACGTCCCTGTGATTTGAGCAGACCCTGCTCAGAACAAGGACCGGCACATGCCCATCTCTGAAGCCACCACCCCTTCCCTCTACCCTCAAGAGTCAGCCAGTGACCCCTTACCTCCACCCCAAACATTTACTGAAATATTCTGTGCCCAGCATGTGCCAGGCTATAGGCTAGGTACTGAACAAATACCCAAATGAGCCAGTCCTAGGACATACTTGGCACTCAGACCTAAAGCATCCTGCCCCACATGCAGGTTGGGATGGGAAGAGTTCTATGGCAATGACCAGGGACCCTCAGCAGGCGGCAAGCAGTCAATGGGGCTCTTGGAGTGAAGGTAAGGAGAGCTCAGGCTGGTATGGAAAAGGTGCAGTGGGAGCACCGCTGCTCTGCAGTGTGTCAGGGTAGTAAACCCTTCTCCTGCTGCAGAAATTTTTTTTAACTAAAATAAGAGATTTGTTCCAAAGTCATTCTAAAGAAATCAGAGAACTACTGAAGCAAGGAAAAACCAAATGAAATAAAATCACAGTAAGCGAAGAGCCTTCCCAAGAACTGAGGTGAAGAGCTGCTTTCTTCTCTGGGGGCATCCTGGATCTGGGCATAGGCTGAGCGAGGAGGAGGCTTGACCTAGACAGAGGAAGCTACCAGGAGGAGGAGACAACAGAGCTTCTGCACTGTGGCCAGCAGGACAGGCTGAGTCCAGCGGAGTCCTCAGTGTACTGCCCGTCTGTAGGACAAAGTCCTTGCAAAGGAAGAAGCCTATGACAGACTGCTGCCCTGAGACCACTAAAGACAGAAGAGAACTGAAGAAAGTGCTCAAATGAGAAACAGGACAGCGCAGGGGCTGGGGAGGAAATGCTAGGAAATAAAGAGGATAGAAGGAAAAATGGAAGCAAAGCTTTTGTGAATAAGGAAGGGCAGAGGGGTGGGGAGGGTAGGGGAATGGGAAGAAGCAAGCTGTGTCATGCTCGGGCACAAATGCCCTATGGCAAATATGGTCAGCTTCTATACTTAACATGTACCAATTTAAAAATTTATATTTAAATTTTTAAAAAAGAATTGGAGGGCTGGCCAAATAGCTCAGTGGATTAAAGCGCAGGGGCCAGGAGTTCAATCCCCAGGCCTGCCTTGCTGGCCCCACCTCCAGGGTGCCCCAAGACAGCCATCAAGACTGGGTGTGGTGGCATGTGCCTATAATCCCAACACTTGGGATGCTAAAAATAAGAGAATCACTACAAGTCCAATCTACATGGTGAGACCCTGTAGACCCTATAGACCCTAGACATTAGAAACAGACCATTTAGGTGACTCAAATACTGGAGTCAACAGATAAAAATAACCATTAAGCCGGGTGTGGTGGTGAACACCTGTAATCTGAAGCAAGAGGACCACCCTGGGCTATAAAGAGTGTTCAAGGACAACCTGAACTGCATGAGACCTCATCTCAAAAAGACATAAGAAAAAGAAAGAGGAGGAGGAGGAGGAAGAGGAGGAAGAAGAGGAGGAGGAGGAAGGAAGGAAGGAAGGAAGGAAGGAAGGAAGGAAGGAAGGAAGGAGAAGAGGAGGAGGAGGAAGAACAACAACAACAGCAGCAACAGCAGCAACAACAACAAAAAAAAATAGTGTGAAGTAAAAAATGAAGAAAATGGACAGAAAGGCAAATTTCAACATGAAGTTGACATCTGTAGAAAAGAATGGGCATCCTAAAACTAAAGATCCAATGAGACGCTCACTGGATACACTTAATACCAGGCTGCATGCATAAGACAACTGAATTCATGAACCGAAGGCAGGTCAACAGAAAATAATCTAGCCAGGCATGGTGGCATACACCTGTAATCTCAGCTACTCAAAGTATGATACAGAATCACCACAAATTCAAGGGCAACCTGGACCACATAATGATACCTTGTCTCCAAATTTAAATACTAAAAAGGAAAGAGTAAAATAAAACACCAAGTCTAGAATATAGAGATCAGATAAAAAGAACAATGTGAGAGACGTGGGATTAGCATATGTGTAGCTGGAGTCCCACAATGAGAAAAGAAAGAGAATAGGGCAGAGGCAACACTGAAGAGGAAACACCTGAGGATTTCTCCAAACTGATGAAAGGCATTAACACATAGATCTTTTAAAAATTAGTGCACTCCTAATAGCATAAATCCAAATAAAACCACACTGGGCATATCAGAGTCAAACTGCTCAAAATCAAATGAAGCCAGAAAAAAAGGAAAATAAGCAACATATAACTTTTCAACAGAACATGTGTTATGGCTTGTGACTAGATGCCCCCCAAAGCCTCAGGCAGTCGTAGGTGGGACTTTGTGGAGATGGCTGGAGCTAGGGTGCATGATGCCAGGATCTGGGGTGCCCCACCCTAGGAGTGAGTGCTATCTGCTGCAAAATGTAAGGGGCAGAAAGAGGCTGCTGCTTCTCTTGATGCTGCTTTCCTACCTCCCTGCTTAACTGCTTTCTGTCTGCTGTGAACTGCTTCTCCTCTGTGAGGCCCCTCTGAGTATTTTTGACTCAGCAATGAGTAAAGAAAGACAATATAGAAGCAAAAAGTCAACCAAATGAACTTTTTGTTAAGTATTGAAAGAAAAACAAAAGCTGCCAGCTGGGAATTTAGTACCCAGGTTTTTCTAAAGACTTAAAATTTTAGGACAGGGCTTGGTGGTGTATGCCTGTAATCCAAGCACTCAGGAGGCTGAGGCAGAAGGACTGCTGTGAGTTTGAGGGCAGCCTGGAGTACATAGTGAACTGAAGGCCAGCCTGAACTACCCACTGAGACTCCGTCTCACAAATAAAAATTAAGACAACTAAGGGCCAGGGAGATGGCGCAGTAGAATAAGTGCTTGTCTGACAAGTACAATGGCTGAGTTCAATCCCCAGTTCCTGAAAAAAAAAAATTAAGACAAAAATCTTTGAGACAAAATCTTACGGAATTTATCAGTGACAGATAATACTATAAGAAATGAAGTTCTTTAGGATGAAGGAAATTGATTATAGGCAAGATCCTATAGTTTCAGGAATGAAAAATCAAAAGTGTCAGGTTAAGTGGATAAACAGGAGAGGAAACTGTTTAACTCAACATTAGCACTAATGTGTTACAGGAAAATACAACATAATGAAATAAAATCCTGTATCATTTCTTGAAAGATATATAATTGTTAAAGTATCCATACAAACCAAAGTGATCTATAAATACAACTCAACCCCTATCCAAGTCCCAGCGTCATTTTTTGCAGAAATAGGGAAAAATACTAAAATTCTTATGGAACCAAAAGAGACCCTGAGCTACCAAAACAATAATGAGAAATAGAATAAATCTGTAGACTTCACACTTTCTAACCTCAAAATATATTATAAAACTATAATAATCAAAGAAGTGTGGTATTGAGATAAATACAGATACCCAAACCAATATGACAACAGAGACTCAAAAAAAAAAAAAAAAGACTGGCAAGAAAAGTTAAAAACTGGGAGCCAAAAAAAATTTTGCTAAGTTTAGTGAGATAGCTCAGTGGCATAAGCACCTGCCTGGCAAGCACAAGATCCCGTGATTGATCCCCAATACTGAAAAAAAAAAAATCTGCGAAGCAAAAATAAACAATTGGCCCTTAACAAAGACCATGCAATAAGGAAAATTCCATCTCTTAAACAAACAACAACAAAAAAAAAGTGAAAAACTTATCTACACGAAAAAGAATAAAATTAGACTCCTACCCAACTGTACACAAAAAAACCCTCAAAATAGATTAAAAACTTAAACATAAAATCTAGAACTGTGACACTTCTAGAAGAAAACATAAAGGAAAATCTTCCTAACATTGGTTTTGGCAATGATCTCTTGGATATAACAAAAAAAAAAAAAAAAAAAATCAGGACTATACCAAATTAAAAGCTTAAGTAGCATAGCAAAAAGACAACTTGTAGAAGGGCCAGCCAAATAGCTCAGTGGATTAAAGCACCTGCAAGTAGGCACTGGGGCCAAAGGTTCAATCCCTAGGCCTGCTGCACTGGCCCCACCCCTGGGGCATGCTGAGATGGTGATTGAGACTAGGCATGGTGGCGCACGGCTACAATCCCAGCTCTTGGGAGGCTGTAAACAGGCAGATCACTACAAGTCTAATCTAGTAGTGAGATCCTGAATACCTTGTAGACCCTTCCCTAAAATACAGGGGAAAAAAAGACAACTTACAGAAAGGCAAGAAATATTCTGCAAATATATACCATATATCTAATAAGGGGCTAATATCCAAAATATTAACCCCTTCAACCCATTAGCCAAAATAAAAATTGACTATAAGGTAAGTGAAGGATTTGGATAGACATTTCTCCACAGAAGACATGCAAATACCCAACAGTTTTATGAAAAGATGCTCAATGTCATTAATCATCAGGTAAATGTAAAATTAAAACCACAAAGAGGTATTTGCCACACACCAACCAGAACATCTAAGAGAAATTTAAAATGTTGTGGAAATATAAAATTGTGTTGCCACTATGGAAAACACTGTAACAATTAAAAAAAAAAAAAAACTACCATATGAGCCAGCACCTTATTTATAAAAAAAGAAGAAGAAAAATAGTTGTCGAAAAGAAAAAAAGAAAGAAAGAAAGAAAGAAAGAAAGAAAGAAAGAAAGAAAGAAAGAAAGAAAAGTACCTAAAAAAAAAAAAAAAAAAAAGAAAAAAAAAATAGAGTTGTAAGGAAAAACTCCCAGGTTTTGTTGCAGAATTATCTTATAGTAGACAAAAGATGGGAATAACTTATGCGTCCACTGACAGGTGAAGAGCTAGAGATATGGTAAATATATACAATAGAATAGTATTTACCTTAAAAAGAAAGGAAGTCCTGTTATAAGGATGAACCTTGAGAACACCAGGCTAAATTTAAAGGGCCAGTCACAGACAGACAGATACCGCATAATTCTCCTTGTCTGAGCGATCTGAATTAATCAAAGTCATAGAAGCAGAAGGTGAGAAAGGTGGTTGCCAGGTGCTGCCGAGATGAGAAATGAGGAGTTTCCATTAAGGTACAGTTTTGCCCATGCAAATGAAAAAGTTCTAGAGATCAATCCATTGCACAACTAAACATGTAGAGTTAACAGCACCATACCCTTAAAATTTTAAGAGTAAGAAATTTTTCTTAAGTGTAAGAAAATTGGGGGGAGCTATAATGAAAAGAAGCAAAAACACAAGCCAAAAAATGATGAGAATGATAATATGGAATTACTTCAAAATTAAGAACTTTGGTTCATCAAAAGATATAACTCAACATAAAAAATCAGGCCACAAAAGTGGAAGGAGACATCCATATAATATTTGTAATAGCCATACTTATAAAATATAAATAAGTACAATAATTTAGGGTAAGATAATTCAATAGAAAGAATATCTGAACAAGAATTTAACAAAAGAATATAATAAGTTGATCCACAAATAGATACTCAGTCTCAATAGTCTTCAGGGTAGCTCAAGTTGAAATTACAATGGGATGTCATTACATACTCAAGAAATGGCCAAGACTTAAAGCACTGACAAGATCAAGTGCTGGCAAAATAAGGGGACAATGAAAATGCTTACATCTGGCTAATGAAATAATGCAAATTGGTAATCATTTCGAAAGATCATTTGGTAACATCTAAGACTTAATGTCTATATGTCCTGTATTTGGGAATTAATTTCTAATATATACCTAGCAGAAATGTATACATTTATTCACATGTGTATGTATGAATGTTCTTACCAGCATTTTTTGATCAAAATAGCTAGAAATAATCCCCAAACCCATTAACAATAGTACAGATAAATAATATTCATTCAACAAAGATTGAACTACTACACTCAATAAATGGATGAATTCCACAAAAAATGATTTGAGAAAGTGATACAAATGAGAACCTATCAAATGGCTCCATTTACACAAGGTTCAGGGTAATAATCTATGGATATAGAAATAAGGATAGCAGTGACTTGTGAAGAGGTGTTGACAGTGACACTCAAGGTGGGGGTGAGGACAGCCCTAAGAATGGTTTCTGTTTCTGGACATGGATGATAGCTATATGGGTATATGTACATACTTTATGGGAATTCGCCAAGCTGAATGTTTTGGCTTGTGTACTATTCTTTATGTGTAATGAAGTTTATTTTTAAAAAGAGAAAGGTGGGGCTGGAGAGATGGCTCAGTGGTCTAAAGCACCTACTTGAAACAAGCTTGGCAAAGCACAGGGACTGCGGTTCGATCCCCCAGCACCACATGCCAGCCAGCCCCGCCCCCTGGTGGGCTGAGCTGGCCACACACACACACACAATAAATAAAAATGTAATAAATAAAAAATAAATAAATAAATAATAAAAAAAATAAAAAGAGAAAGGAACAATTAATCAGGTATATGATTTTTTAAAATATACATAGGCGGGGCTGGTGAGATGGCTCAGTGGTCTAAAGCACCTACTTAGAACAAGCTTAGCAAAGCACAGGGACCACGGTTCAATCCCCCAGCACCACATGCCAGCCAGCCCCGCCCCCTGGTGGGCTGAGCTGGCCACACACACACACACACACACACACACATAAATAAATAAATAAATAAAATTTAAAAAAAAAAAATATATATATATAGGCAAACAATGTCGGGTAGGTGGATGGATGTGTGGATAGATAGTTGATTGATACTGCAGATTGCTGAATGCATGCATGGGAAGACTCACATCCTATAATACTATTAGAGCAGCAGCAGCTGCCATGGGGAGATTTGTGCCAGTGTGTGTTCCATCAGAGACAGGGCCAAGAAGGCCTAGGGGTTGGGGTGTGCTCCGGCAGGACCCATACCAACGGCATCACCAGAGAGTTTCCAAGTCTTGACATCGCGGTCCTGGCCAGCACTGATAATCAGCTGCAAGTTGTCTACATACAGGATATCTGCCACACTCTCCAGATGGCCCTTCCAGGTAATCAGGAGCGTGGGGGGAACCAGGGAAATGGTCTGGCCATTCACAACCTATAGGGGACAGTGAAGGAGAATTGCTTATAGCAAGATCACCAGACAGGCTCCTCAGCAGCCGCCCAGTACTGGAGGAAGCTCAGCCCAGGGGAAGGCTGTGGGACACGGCCCAGCCTTGCAGTCTGGACATTTCCCATGCTAATTTTCTGGGACCCTTCAGTAAGTCTCAGCACTTTTCTGGGCTCACTGGCCCCTTTAGTAAAACCATAAAACATATTCGTATATGTCTATATTGTTTATCAAGTGCCTCTAGATTATCCCACTTGAACCTCACAACCTTATAGGATATACAGGACTCACTGACTTACAGAGGAAGGAAGTCAGTCAGAAATGTTTAATAATCAGAAAAAGCCACATAGCTAGAAAGAGAAGGGACAAAAGCCCAGGTCTTCTAGTTAGACACTGGGAGAACAGGGTAAGAGGGTGGCAGGTTATATTATACTATGAGAGAATAAAAATCTACTTAATTTGAAAATTACCAGAGCCATTTTGAAATACACCAAGATTAAGGAAGGGGTATTTATTCTACTACAATAAAATATAGTAAGGCAAAATAATCCAAACCTTAAGCAACAATTAAATAGAGAACACAAGCCAGCCCAAGTATGCACAGCACTTTCATATGCAAGCATGGTAATATAAAGCATGACTCAATAAACAGTGCTAGGATACCTGAAGGACTATTAGGAGGAAATCAAATCATTATCTTATATCTTAAATACCAAAAGGGCTAACCGTGGCAGCACACATCTGTAATCCCTGCTGAGACAAGAGGATCACCAAGAGAATAAATCCACCCTGGGATACACAGTGAGTTCAAGGCCAGCCTGGACCACTTATGATTTATAGCCATCTCAGTGAGTGGTGGAGTGAGGTCCCATTAGGGTTTTGCATGCATGTCTGTCTTTCTTTCTTTCTTTCTTTCTTTCTTTCTTTCTTTCTTTCTTTCTTTCTTTTGCAGAACCAGGGCTTGAACTTAGACCCTTGCACTTGTCAGGAAGCACTTATTCTACTGAACCATCTCCCCAGCCCCTTGTATGCATTTCTCTGATAACTCACAATGTTCAATTTTGTTTCATATATTCAGCCCCATTTGCATATCTTCTTTGAAGAAATATCTATTTAGGTATTTTGCCCTTATTTTAATTGGGTTTATTGTTTTTATTATATTATGATCACTCTTCATATTAGTATATTCTAGTACTAGCCCCTTACCAGATACACAGTTTTGGGCTTGGGAGATAGCTCAGTGATCTAAGCACCTGCCTGGCAAGTGCAAGGACCTGGGTTTAATCCCTGGTACGCATGCCATGCCAGCCCCAGAACCTGCTGGCTCTGAAGCAGGGCATGGTGGTGCATGCCTGTAATCCCAGCACTGGGGAGGCTGAGACAGAAGAATCACTATGAGTCCAAGGTACATAGTAAGACCATGTACCAAATAAATAAATAT